GAAGGTCCCTCTTCATAGATGGGGCCTTTGAACATTTTCTCACAATTCTAACATAGGACTAAATGTTCACCCTGTAGATAAATGTCATGGTGGTGACATCATCCATCCTCATGGCCTTTGGTGGCCATATCATGAAGCTTTACAATAGTTGTATGCCTTCTTGTGTGTGCACTCATGTTGTCCTAGGCATATGTTGTGCCACTAGGCCAATCACAGATGTTGTGCCACCTTGTGATGTGTCATGCCATCATCCACATGTATTACGCCACCGTGCATACCATGTTGCTGCTAGGGATGATTCCTATCGAAGGCGTTACACTACTATGCATATCATGTTGTTGCTATGGACAATTTATGTCGAAGGCATTGTACTACCGTACATACCATATTGTTGCTAGAGACAATTCTTGTCGAAGGACCTCGATAACAACTTATCATAACCAATTTATGTCACAAGTAATGCCAACAATTCAGCTGCCCTTTGTGGCCATGCCCTCCTTCGACATTATCATAAGCACCTGGTGGGCAATTGGTAATGGTCTTAACCGAATGTTGAAATGTAAGACCAAGTTAAAAAGGAAAACCTTAGGCATCACCAACTTCCACCAGTCATACCTCTTTGGAGATATGATGCAGCAGAGGAATTTGACCACATAGATTGACTAACATGTCACCCACCACATAGGAGACTGCTAGAATCCTCACCACGTGGGAAAATAGCAGCATGTTAGTTTTCATTGTGAGCATGAGGCCCGATAAAGATGGCATGTGGTCTAGTGAGTAGGAGGTGGTGATGATGAGCCCAACTTGAAGGGCAAGAGGGTGGAGGATGCCATCAGATGTCTATAGGCAGTCTAAGACCTCCTAGGTGTCATCCACACCTTGGGCTCCGACTGTAAGCTCTAGTTTACCCGTCAAAACCTTTGAGTCACTACCGACATGGGAGCTTCTTGCAGCCTCACAAAGGATCTCCTAGAGATGAGAGAATCAGGGCAAGGCTATGTGTGATGGTGGCACTATCACATCCCTCCAAGGAAGTGAGGGGAAGAGTGTGGGAGCAAATGCTTTTGACATTATGAATATTCAAAATTTCTAATGAGTATTAAGATTATGTAATTTTAAATGTACTGAAATGTGGTTAGAGACTAAAATATTATTAAATGGTAGTCTAATATAAGAATCTTATGCTTATAGGGAGAATACTAAATATTATACCAAGATGTGATTATAATGGCTCCACATGAAAAATAGTCCAATATTTTATTAAGATAATACTGAAAATAGTTGACTTTAGAGCACATTCGAAATTTCTAATTATTCTAACCAATTTGAAGAATCATCAATTTTAAGGGGGGGATTTCAAATGTTTTGAGAAAGGGCAATATATAGAACAAAAAAAATCCTTATCTTTGTAGGGCTCTTGATAAAAAATATAAAGAGCCATGATTGTACTTTTGCAAGATTTCAAAAGTGATCATTCTCAAGAAATATTTTCAAATTTTATAGGGGTGTGGAGGAAATTATAGATCAAAAAGCCTTGGTACCTCACATTTATGAAATAGATGCCAGCAAAATAGTCATCAATTTTGTAAGGATATAATTGAAATGAATTAGATGTGATCATATGGATATTCATATATTATTATTGTTCTAATAGAATTGAAGAATCTTCAAATTTATAAGGGAGAATTCTTAAATGTATGGGGACACATATTTAAACATCTAAAAATAGTAGCCAACATGAGAATCCTAATTTTATAGGAGTATTTTAGAATACACGTACACATAAAAAATTTATTAAAATGATGGTACAAGAAAATAGTTCTCAATTTTATAAGGTTTGAACTGAAAATAGTACAGATTATGGCATACAAAATTTCTTTTTATTCTAGCCGAATTGAAGAATCATCAAATTTGAGAGGGGTAATTTTAAATACCCCAATAGAAGGTGAAATAGTTAGATGTTATATAAAACGAGTCTAACTAAAATCCTCAAATTTATTAAGGACTAAATTAGAATATACATAGACGTAAAATTTCTGTGGTGGTGGTGCTTCCAAAAGTATCGTTATTCATAGGGGTGAAATTAAATATACCTCGACAAGCGTTGTCACCGAAAATTTTTAAAATGGAGGCACAGAAAAAGAGTCGTCAATTTTACAGGGATGTATTTGAAATCGATTGAGAATTTTTACGTCATGTCCTCATAAAATTATGGTCTCTCTTTCAAAGTTTTAAATAAAATTTACCCGACCGCCTCAGCTCATCCGGCAGCGTGCTCCGCCTTCGCGCCATCCTAGCTGGGTTCGTCCTCGCCGCCTCTGCCAGACCGATCAGCTGGCCAGCACCCCCCCACATCCCGGAGCCCTGCGCAGTGGTCCTCAGGCTCATGTCAGATACCAACAGGCTGCCGCCCGAGCCCATCCCCTCTCCAGTGCCACCTTTCCCACTTGGTGAGGATTCCCGGTGGAAGCTGGCGATGCTCGAGGTCTCCCTCTTGATCGCTGCAATTCCATCGGAAAGCTCTCAAACTTTTCTCGATACATTTCATCGGCTCCCTCTAGAACTATCGCTGCCCAGCGTTATCTATTCAGGAAATTTCTCCACCATTTGTCGTTGGCGTGGAAAGCTTTCGACGCCGACGGGCCGCGCCAGCACTGGGAAACTGGTGGGAACTTGGACTTCCACCTTCGCCACTGAGGTCTTTGAATCTTGCTAACCAGCCGATTCCTCTAGCAAGGGATCCACGATGAGGAAGCAGCATCACTCCGGCGAGCACGGCCACAGCCATGGATTCGTCCATCTGGCCATCCGATTCTGATGATGCTAATGGTGACCTGATGTCATCCCTAACGTTGATGTCTGTGTCGCACTGCAAGCTCAAGGAGCAGCCGCCCTACCTCTCTCTCTTGGCGGGAGGGTTCTTCCTGCCAGCGGGTGTGGGTTACGAACACGTGGCGCTTCGCCCCACCCGCTCTCTCTCTCTCTCTCTCCCCCACTCTATCCTGGCACGAGGGTGTTTCTTGCAACCGTCTGGGCTACGACTTCGTAACACTAGGCCGCGTTCCCTCTCTCTCTCTCGACTTCGTAGCACGACGGGACGGCGCTCACGTACGACGGCAGGGGGGGTCATGGAAGACGAGGAAGATGACCTTGGGAGGGCGTCCTCCTCGTCGGCCGGCTCCGGCGATGACGACGGCGGCTCCTCCTAGTCGGAGTTCGCCGAGGACGACGACGGCGAGGTGGCGGCGCCGCCACCGGATCGGTAGGGGGACCTCTTCAAGATGCCCTCTCTCGCAGCGCAGCTCCCTCCCGAGCGCGTCGCCCCGATCAGATCCACTTCTTTTTTTCCTTCCTTCCTGCTTCTGTCCTAACTCGGCTGATGGACGAGGGAGCTGTCGAAGCATTTCTAGGGCAAGTCGCAGTCGTTCACCTGCCTGACGGCGGCTAGGTGCCTGGAGGACCTGGCCGTGTAATGGGACGCTGGCGGACCAGGGACATCCCCCCGCCGAAGGTCCTGACGGTAAACCACCGCTAACCACCGACTAAGGAGACGGGACGTCTTTAACCACAGAAAGGAAGGTGTCAAATCAGCCGCAAGACGGCTACAAATATGAGGCCCCAGCTGGAGAAAGGGTAGGAAGAGAAGTCGAGATAGGAGGCTGAACCCCCTCGTTTCGGGTCATTTTCTGTGCGTGTTATCCCTTTTGCCGCTCCTTGACCTTCCTTAGTCCACCAGAGTCGCCGGTTCTTCTTCCTCCTCGAGGACCGTGACTTGCAGCTCCGTACGGCATCGATGGCCCAGGGCGTATTTCTCATTACATGAGAAACAGAGTCCCTATGATCTTCGCGCTTGGATCTCCGTCGGGGTGAGGTGGAGTCGTCGGTTTCCTCTGACGCAGGTTCTTAAGGAATGGATCCCCTCCCTTCGCTGTTGAGGCTGAGCGGGGGACCTCGCTCAGAGAACTGACGTCGTCGGAGCTGATACCCCGAGTTGGTCCCCTCGGAATTTGCAGAATGTTGGGCTCTATTGGCCATGGTGACTTCCCGCAGGGCGCTTTGTTTGAGTTCGGCCCGTTGGGCCATCTTCATCATTGCCGTGAGTTCCAGGGCCTCGAGCATGGAGGCCTCCACTTGTATCTCCTTCCTCAGCCCCGTAAGAAAGGTGCTTTCAAGAATATGTTCCGGAAGATGATCGAGGATCGCGGACAGAAGCAGGAAGGAAGGATCCTGTCTCGGGGTGACGGAACCTGTCTGATGGCCAGGAATTTCTGACAGAGGGATCCCAGTTGGTTGGAACTGAAGCGTTCCAGGAGCCTCTGTCGAAGATCCTCCTAGCTGCGGAAGGGTGCCCGTTTCTCTGCCCACCGAAACCAGGCGAGCGCCTTCCCTTCCAAGCTGATACATGCTGTGGTTAGTTGATCTGCCGCCGAGAGCCGATGCATTGAGAAGTAGAGGTCGGCTCGGAAGATCCAGCTTTCTGATTCGTGACCGTCGAACACCAGCATTTCGAGCCTACGCCCATCTTGCCACGGCTCAGTGTGAGCCCGGATATGATTTAGGCCACAGAGAAAGAAGATGAAGCTGTGCCGGATCTACGCCGGCGGGCTGAACGGCCACAACAACCCCCACTCGCCCAAGGCCTGCTCGAAGGGCATCTCCAAGAAGCCCTCCAAGGGCCGCACCGCCGCTGCCCTCTCTTCCCTCGTGGTGAGGCAACAGGGCTTCCTAGCCGGCCCCAGGCCACCCATGGCCCCCCACAGATCCTGCAGCTTCTCCTCCCAGACTCCGATCTTCGCCTGAACCACGCCCACTGCTGATCTACATGATCGACGCAGGAGGCATTCTCCGTTCGCCATCGCTGATTAATACTTAAAACCAGAGAGTCATTACTCGGTGTGTATATCACTACCAGATCGTCACGGAAAGTAGGGTCTTTTAGACGAAGGTCCAAATGGGTATACGATATAATCAAACTAAGGTATCATCAGCCTCGCGGCTTAGAATAATACCTTGACACCTAGTAACTCTATGAACTGGGAGATGAACTCCGGATGACCTGGCCAGGCCGCTCCGGTCACCAGATTTCCGTCGGTGAAGCAACGGTGGATGGGCTCGGGCTCCAGCCAGGCTCCCCCTCCCAGAACCACGTTGAGCTTGACCGCAGGGTAGGCTGTGCATTTCTTCCCCTGCGATGGGAACCCAAATCCGAATACAGAGTTGGTATTTGATTCATGATTCTTCAAAAGTAGTAATTATGTGGAGGATGGTCACCTTGAGGGCGCCGGCAGCAGCTAGGATCTGCTGTCCGTGGCAGATGGAGGCAACTGGCTTTCCTCTTTCCATGAAGTCCTTGGCTATGGCGGTGACTCTCTCATCCAGGGCGAGGTATTCTGGGGCTCGGCCACCGGGGATGACGAGCCCGTCGTAGCTTGCTGCGTCCAGACCCTCGAAGGTTGCGTTGAGGGTGAAGTCGTGGCCGGGCTTTTCACTGTACGTCTGGTCGCCTTCGAAGTCGTGAATGGCCGTCGGGCAGGTTTCACCCGCCCTCTTGTTGGGGCAAACTGCGTCGACTTGGCAACCGATTGCTTGGAGAGCTTGAAATGGGACCATCACCTCGTAGTCCTCCATGAAATCCTGAGAGAGAACGAGTTTCGGGTAGCATTAGATCAAATAGAGGATTGACATAGTGGCTATTCACAAGATGTCGAGAGTGAGGAAGGAACTCCCACAAACTTCGGTTCTCTACTGCATCTGGCTAGAAAAGAACATCATCATGCCCTGACTGATTCCCAAGAATAAAACTGTGATCGACAACCGAGGAGCATTTCAAGTTACAGTCACCGAGGAATTACGTAGGAGTGCCAATTAAGCAAGACTCTCGATTCTTTGTCCACCAGGGCAGAAAATATACCGGCGATGAATCGGGGGCCAGGCCTAAGCGCTAGGACAAAGGAAATATAAAACAAAGTTGATCTCAAGTGCCGACTCCGACAAGTTCTGCCAGGAGGGGTAGGGGAAGACAAAGCTTTACGGAACGCAAATCTCTGAATCTATTCGAAACATCCTTTCAGTTCCAAGTTCTTTTAATGACGCCATATTGAACAGAAAGGTTAATCACCTTAAATGTGTGGTTACTAACTTATCAGTTTACTGTTTGCCTTCGCATAATATACTTCATTCAGCAATGCCAACTCGCATTAATTAAAGGTAGGAAAAGGTCTGTTAATCACTGCAGAACTGAAATCTAGGGAGAAAGGGATAGACGACAAATTCTGTCAAGCATGGCAACATATAAGTGTATGGAAGTGAAAAGGTGCGTACCCCACAAAGAAACAGGACCCTTTTATCGGCGCCTGTTATGGTCCCACCTAATGCTTCCACAAAAAGCCGAATAAACTCAGGATGTCCTTTATATGTTACTCCAGTAATGATGTTACCGTCCTTAACACATTTAGCCGTTGTATCAGACTCAATCCAGTGAGACCCCGCAGCAACTACCACAGGCTTTACAGACTGGTATGCTGTGCATTTCCGGCCTTTCACGAGATCTGCAGCCGCCAAAACCAACTGTCCATGGCTAATAGAAGCGATTGGCTTCACAGACTCGGAAAATTTCCGTACAACATCCAAAACTGAATTGTCCATGGCTAGGTATTCTGGCGCACGCCCTCCTGGGATCAGTATAGCATCATATTTGCTCACATCAATCTCATCAAAACTTGCATTGAGTGTAAAATTATGTCCCCGAGACTCAGAATATGTCTACAAAAAAGAAGAGAAAAAAACATTTAGAACAACATAAATTCAGATAGTGACCGAGGTAAAGGCATGAATCTTTAGAAAAAATGACCACTAATTGAATGAATAATCTGTCAGTCGTTCACTAACAGTTATTAGAAGATATTTTCACATAAAACAGTACTAAATCAGCACTCGATAAGTAGCATACAATGAGTAGCCTCAGTCTTTTGCATCTAACATTCGCAAATAATCACAGGTAAAGTAAAGTAAAGTGGTATATGGTAACCACTCAACTGCAAATTAAAACCATACATAACACTTACAGATTGCGAACCTAAACTCAACATCTCCCAAATATATGGAGCGAAAAAAGAGCTAAAATCCTTTTCTAGCACAAATGCATAATGAGACTTTCGGGATTGAACACGTCCAGATAACTGAGGTTTCTAACCTGGCAGTATATCAGAGAACACCATGTCCATAGAACTAGCAACAACAGTAATCAGATTACAGTTTGTCGTTTATGCTTTTACAAGATAAACTGGAACAAAAAAATGGGCCAAATGTGATAAAAACTTTTTTTTCTTAATCTAGCATGTCAGACAAGCACAGAATCTGAAACTTCTTCCGAAGTCAACGGGCAACCACAGCATCAATCTTAGGAATAACTTTAGTTTTATTTTGGTTTATAGATGAGTAGAGACGTATGTGTTGTAAGAACTGTACATCCTTCCCGTGTCTTCTGCCATATTTCTAAATATTTTCTGCGAACAACGTCTGAATGTGTTTATAGTACTGTATCAAGCATAATCCTGACGCTCGTATCCAGATTCCAAATGCCATTGGTTCTCGTCAATCTGAGAAGAATTATAGTATTCTAAAAAACATGCCTATGTGATACGTCGATAGAAATCTCAGTTGAATGCCAGAGCATAACACTCAAGATAAACCCCTTCTCCATTTCATTTCCATAGAAGGCAAATTTTAAAGTATTTTTTTTTCGACCACCGGATAATGCAAATCACTAAAAACACTAGATAGAACTTGCTATCATTACATTTTGTTTAACCAGCAAATACCAGTGACACGGGCGTTCGTTATCCAGCCTTTTACGAAAGCGTAGAACCTCATCCGGAGAGTTGAATATATTGCGGTTATACCTGGTGACCGGAAAATTGATGGACGGCCGTGCGGCAGATGTCACCAGCCTTCTTCCCGGGACAAACTGTATCCACGTTGATTCCGAAAGCCAACAACGCTTGGAACGGCACCATAACCTGCAAACAGATTTTTTCAAAACATTATCGCCGCGAAGCAAGCCTGTAAACATGACGCAATAGAGGGAGATTCCAGAATGGCAGAAGGACTCAGAGACACGGCAGATCAGAAACACGGAAGCACGAAATAGGAATCGGAATTCGACAGCGACGGTATACCTCGTAGTCCTCCATGTAATCACCGCACAGAATCAGGACACTCTTCGTCATGGTTCCTCGAGAGACTCCTGCCTGGGGGTGGAGAGAGACCTGCAACTGAAGGCGGGGGTGGAAGGGAGTGGGCTCCATCGACGAGCAGAGGGCCTAGAAATAGTGAAGGTGGCATCTACGAAAGAAATCACACAGACACCCTTATAATTTACAGAAACTATATTACCTCCCTCCGACTCCGTTGGAATGTGGCACAGTGGTGTCATCGTAATTTTAACAAAGGTGGGTCCTGAGTTTGGATTTGCATGGCGACATATGACACGTGGCAATTGGGCCAAAACCCTCGAACCAAACAGGCCTCTCGGACCCGCTTGTTCCGTCCAGAGGAGCCTTATCCTTCTTCCCTACTGGTTGCCCACCTGTCATTTCCTCTGTTGTACACATATCCTAGTGGGCTAAATTTTTGAAATGTGGCAGTATTTAAGGTCTACAGATGTCGGGTAATGACAGGTTAGCGCACATTTGCGTGTAGAATGAATCGTATCTCAGAACTACAGCAAGCTTATCATCGGTTACGAGAAAATCTTGAGAATTCCCCTACCGCCCGGAAGAATTTAGGGTTAGGGTTTTGCAGCTTGGCTGGTTTTCCATTCCTGACTCCTCCCCGCATGATCGTGAGATGATGGATCAAGATAGCTCGACGCAGGCCGCGAAGCGAAAGCGGGGAGACGAGGCTTTCCTGGCTCCGCAGACGGCCGAGAACGGGGTCCTAGATGGCGTGGACCTCTCCCTCCTTGAGGCTGTGGAGAAATCACACAACGGCGGCATCGAGGTTCTCGATCTCCGGACGATGAAGAAGTTCGTCCTCTCCTTCGAGCGGCGCCTCCGAGACAACCTCGAGTCTCGGATGAAGTTCCCCGACCAGCCGGATAAGTTCGCGGAGTCGGAGGTCGAGCTTCACAACGAGATCGAGCGTCTTAAGATCCTGGCGGGTGGTCCCGAGCTGTACCCGGACCTTGTCTCCCTCAACACTATCCCTTCCATTGTTGGGCTCCTTGGCCATGAGAACACTGACATTGCTGTGGATGTTGTCGGCCTCCTTATGGACCTTACCGACGAGGATGTCCTGGAGGACAATGACGACCCCGCGCGGGTCCTTGTTGACGCCCTGGTGGAGAACAATGTCCTTGAGCTGCTTGTCCAGAATATCGGGCGTCTGTCGGAGAGCGATCCTGATGAGGCCACTGCCATCTACAACACCCTTGCAACGATTGAGAACATCATTGAGGTGAAACCTGCTGTGGCAGAGATGGTCTGTGAACGCACTAAGCTTCTGAGGTGGCTCATGGGAAGGATCAAAGTGCGCGAGTTCGATGCCAACAAGCAATATGCCTCAGAAATTTTGGCTATTCTTCTTCAGAACAGTTCGGCAAACCAGAAGAGGTTGGGTCAGATGAATGGCGTGGACGCTATGCTGCAGGCTGTTGCTATGTACAAATCAAGGGACCCAAAGACCTCAGAGGAGGGAGAGATGCTGGAGAACCTCTTTGATTGCTTGTGCTGCTTGCTTATGCCGGTTGAGAACAAAGAGAGGTTTGTCAAATCTGAGGGTGTGGAGTTGATGATTATCATAATGAAGCAAAAGAAGTCGGCTTATGGCTCGGCTATCAAGGTGCTTGATTTTGCAATGACGAAGTATCCCCAAGTTTGTGAGCGGTTTGTTGACGTCTTGGGCCTGAAGACAGTCTTTGCTGCATTCATGGGTAAGGCAAGTCCTTAACTACTTTAATTTGTGCTACATGAAGCATCAATTTTCTTCGGCATTCATTAGTTTCCAGTGCTTTGTGCATTTTTTCCCATGTATTGCTTCTGGTTCAACGTATGTCTCTTTACTTAATTTCTGGAGGATCCCGAGGTAAAACCTTTTGTTAGGTGCCTTATAGCAGCATCATGGCTTCCAGATATAACTTAAGAAATCTGAAACCTACTCTGATCTGCTCAAATGCGACCTCTGCTTTTCCCTGAAGGGATCAAAGTAATAGTCGGAATGAAAACTGTGTCATTTTCATTGGTAGGACGTGAAACCAAGATAAATACCCACTGTGAAATTTTCTGACTGAACAAATCAGGATAAGTTCCATATTCTAATCTGATAAAGGTTCTGTAGGGTACATAAAGCCGATTTCATGTTAACTCGGTTACTAATGAGCTTTCTCGGTCTTTTCTATTTGCTTATGTGATTATACAGTTGGTTTTTGGGTGACTTAAGGATATGTGGTTGTCTGTTTCTTTGGGACCTTATTAAAATTTTATGTCATAAGTAGTCAAGATTGCTTGGAAGAAACTAGTGTGAGGGTCTAAGGCTCTCTATTAGCCTATCTCGTCTTTTGAGTTTACCAAGGCATTAGCTGGGATAGCTGCGCTTATCCTGTGTACACCGTCCTGTCTCATTGATGTTTGAAGTTATTAATGGGAGGCACATGCTATACATGAAGATCTCAGTTTGGGCTTGGTTTTCTGCTGGACAGGTGGTATCAAAGTTACTTTAGCCTATTAACTGGTCTTCAATTTCGTCTACTTATAGATCGCATGAATGCATGCTTCTAAGGCCATTAAGTTGGAGTGCAGTACCTTGATGAAGTGGAACGCAGTTTGTGGCTAAACTGGACGTCCTTTTTTTCTGATGAAATGTTTCTATGTCCTGCTAACGTATCATTTCTCTGCGAAATTTAAGTTCGATCATTACCTGTTATTGTCCCTGTTGGCAGAAAGATTAAGGCCCATATGAAGTAAACGGACTACTTTCGCATCCAATGTTCCAACGGGAGCGTTCATTTCCTATTTGTGACTCCAAATTCCAGCGATTTGTGTTTTATCAAAGTTGATGTGCAGGCTTATAACCATTTCTAATGCTAACATCCGCTTTAATGGTTGAGTTTTTCTGATCTAATTTACTGTCATCCTAATCTGTTGAATAAATAAAATAGTTGATACTCCTGCCTGTCTGGATCGTCTCAATCAATGGTATATTTCTCTATTATTCCGTATTGGTCTAGCATCATCTCTATCCTCTCCCTACCTGGCAGGTCTTTCCTTAGACCCCTTATGTAGCTGTTTTCTTTCCGCATTGAATAAGATTTTGTCCTACTACAAGAAGAGACGTGGGAATAAGTTGTCTCCTTGTCTCAATCCGTTTGAACTTGATACCTTGAAATAATCAATACGTTCCCCATTTATAGCAACAGAAAACCTGGGTGTTGAGATGCAACTCATCACCTAATGATCTGATCGATGTCTAAACCATATTGTATTAGTGATCCCATCTTCTTTATTACTTTCATGATCAATCTTACTGATCACAAGTTCAATATCAGTATCGTGGAAACCAGATCCTTTTATAACTACATTATTTATCTCAATAACAAATGCGGTCTTCTTTTTTTTTTCTGGAACGCATTTAGTTGGTTTCTGCATATTAAGAATTCGAGTGTTTATTAGTTAGTGTTCCAGTACTTCACTTTTTCGTTTTATCACCCAAAGTTTCGAAAGATTGTATGAAATCTAATTTAATTACTCTAACGGTTTTTCTGTGATTAACTTGTTAGATCAGAAAAGTTTATTTTCTGAATTCTAATTGAGATAAAATTCTTGAATATCTCAATCATTGCTCCATGCTTTTTTCTCCTAAATTGCTGGCTAATTTCCTCTATTTCTATGCTTTATTGATATTATGTTTATTCATGTGCTGAAAAGTTTACCGTTGTTCATAATTTTTCTTATTCCGATGGTGTATCCGTGTCACCTTTTTTCTTGTTCTTTTTATTTTTTTTGCAACGCTTATTTTTATTTTGTGTGTTTTGGCTAATCTTCTATATTACATTGGTGATGCCAGATCCCGGTGAACAAGAAGAGCAAGCGGGAGAGATATGAAGAAGAGCTAGAAGAGCGTCTTATCTCGCTCATAGCTTCCTTATTTGGTAAGAAGGCAAGTGAATTCTTTGACTGCATATTTGTATTGTACCGCTTGATCTGTAATTCGTGGAATAACGATAGCTCTGGAGGAGATGCGTGCCTTTTCGATGTGCTTAGTGCTGCTATATGTTAGTGTTGTTTTATGTTTGGGATGATTGGCCCTGGCGGGGTGCTAAATGGCTAATGTATTTCATGAAGTCAGTGGTATTTCTTCCACTGATTCTGTATGCATACGCATGCTCGATTTTTGTTTTCAAGCTGAAAAATCGCTCTGTGTAAAGCTGGGACGGGAGTGGCAGCCTCAGAAAGTTTATTTACGAAATTTCTTCCATTCGATTATATTTTCTTTCTCAACATAGCGAATGGTGCTGAGTAAAACCTGAAGAAGGCGCTGCAGTGTCCACCAATTCTAATTTCATTTGCCACCGCTTTGCAGGTGGCGTAGTGAGAGGCTCTAGACGAGACAGATTATTGAGTAAGTTCGTGGAAAATGAATATGAAAAGATAGATCGACTCATGGAATTTTTTATCAGGTACAGTGAAAATGTGTGTCTTTACCTATGTCGACCTTTTAACCATCTGCACAAACTTTTGCTTGATGCTTGTGTTTCTTCAATCTGATAGATTAGCTTGTTCTTCAGATATGCAGACCGAGTCAAAGAAGAGTCAGAACGGCTGGATAAGCTTGACCTGGATGATCTAGAGGTTGTGACTCTCTGTAATAGTAATTTTGTGGAGGAAACTTAGTGAAAAACTAAACTGATCTGGTTTTTTTTTAATCGGGGGTTATCAGATGGATGAAGAGGAGCGCTACAACAGGAAACTGGAAGCTGGTCTTTACACTCTTCAGGTTGGAATCTCTTAAGTGATTTCCTATTTTTGTCCTTCTTACTCCAAATGAAAGTTTTTATTTAAAAAAGCATTGGAACCGTTCATTTCACGCCATCCCTGATCCCCTTCTTTATTCACAGTTGATTGCACTTATGATGGGTCACCTGTGGTCTTCCGAGTAAGTTCTTCAATTCATATCATTCTTACATGTCCTTGCCTTTTTTTTAATTGGCATATGGACAGTTTGATCGCCGACCTGACTTAACTTTGTGTTCTTGTGGAAGGCATCCTGGAATAAGAGCGAGAATGGAGCTTCTACTCAAACAACAGAAATTATCAAGGCAGTACGTCATAGGTATTCTCCAGGTATAAATCCTCAGGAAACTCGTTCTGACTCATGTTACTTTTTTTTATTTACTTTAATAAATTCAAGCAAAATAAATGACGAGATTCGCCATGTTGGTGGGCTTTTGTTTTCATCGTACGTCAGGGATTTGACCCCAGTGATCCCACTCTATATATTGTGAATGATTTAATGCTGAAAGAAATACCTGTGAGCTCAAAGATTTTTCTATTTCATAGCCCATTTATCTCCACATTTTTTGGTGATACTTTTCAGATTGCTTGGGAAAAACTAGGAAAAATTGCCGCGGCTGTGTTATGGTTCTTCAATACAGCCTGACTGGACAGACGCAGGCCTGTGTTACACTTCCTAGGACATGATTCATTTGGCAACCATTTTTAGTCAGTTTTCTCATGGTCAAGATCAAACCAAATCTCCGATTTCCTTAGAAACAGGCCAACTCCGTAGGAATTAACCCAATTTCATTGCAATGAGGATCATATTCATTGAAGATGATGAATATGATAAAAGACGATGCGGATTTAAATACAAATACGCATCTGATGAGAATGTAGTTCCAGAAACTGTCTACATGGGGGCTCAGAATACATAAGGTTTTCCATCAAAGTCAACTCTCCCTAATGGCCCCCAAATTTGTAGAACTTCTACCAAAAGAGACACATATTATCTGTAAAATGTCCTTGCTCTAGATGGGTTCGTCGAAAATATGAATCTAACCTGTCTGATTTCATGTTTTTTGACTCTCGAGTCAAATCTGTGCATTTGGAGTTGACCATTTTCCATGTCTCTGGCCGGCCTGGCATTCATTATAATTAATCCCTGCTAGCAGCCAAATAGCCCGATACAAGGGGAAGGATTAGTGAAAACATAGGGTAAAAATCTTGGATTCCCCTCAAAACTACACTTGGTCAAATAGAAACATGAATTCCCCTCTTCGAACGTCACGTCCTTGAAGGTTCTGCCACCCCCCCCCGGGGATGCAGCGGACCCCATCTCATGATCCCTGGAAACAAAGATGATTCTCTACGTCGTTCAGATGAAAAATATGAATCTTCCTGCCCCCTCTGATTGGAATCTGTTGTCTCCCTGCCTGCAGGAATACCACGACAACATCGGCGACATAGACGGCCCCGAGGAGAAGGAACGGGCCCAGTCGAGAATTCAGAGGTTCATCTCCGCATTCCAAGTCTAAACCCTTCTTCAATTCAAGTCGACAGCAGGTGCTTGTTTTTTTGCTTCTCTTCATGCCCCCCCCCCCTCAAGCCGCCCCTTGAGTACCCAAATTGACCCGTCTTTTTAAGTGAACAGAATGCCCTTCGCCTGTTATCAGTTTCCTTGCCTGTCTTCAACTTCACGCGGGGGCAATGTATATAAGCTTCGTGTTTCGGACTAAAGTCCTCCACTCGATAGAGAGAGAGAGTGGGGCTAGTGACAGGAGGGCGGGCATTAACCGTAAATATGTTTCCCTAACTTACTCACTGCACACTCTGATTCCGTCTCTTAAAATTAAGCAAGAACCAGCAACCTCAGATGGCAACTAAAATATCAATAATCCCTACAAAGCGCAGCCGCCCCCTCCTTTTCATCTCACCATACCACAGAGAGGCCTCCTACGCATGGTTGCTCCTTTCATGCGATACGAGTTTTCTCCCTCACTAGGATGTGCTCAGCCACGCCCTCTGGCACCACCTGTTTCCGCAGAGCAGGAGCCCGAGTGTTAATTAGAATGGGGGATGAGAAATGGATATGGGGGAAAAGGGGGAAAGATAAACCTCTGCCTCTCCCGCCGGCGCCGCCCCTGCCGCGGCCACCGCCCATTCCTCTGCCGCTTCCATCATCCTGGCCGCGGCCCACGCCTTTGGCGGGCCGGCCACCGGTCGCCTCTTCTCTGCCTCTTCCCCTCCCGCGGCCAACGCCGGGTGGCTTCCTATCTGGAAGATGGAACAAGCAAACGAAGAAAATAGAGTAAAGCAACTGTTCTTGGTATCCCCTTCAGGATCTAGGGTTCCAAGTTTTTTAGAGTTATGGATCAACGAAAGAATCGCCTAATATACAGGTTGCCGTGGTGAGGGACCAGATAAGAGAACCATGATCTTCAAAAAAATTCCGAGGTGAAGAGAAGAAACGAGTCGGAGCTATTTACCAGAACGGCTCTTGCTAGTCTCTTCTTGAACCTTATCGATCACCTGAAAAGATCATCCAGGTCATGGATGAGAGTAATTATATGAGAGCTTGACTAGGTTAATCTAAAACTGGCTAAGAAAGGCAATGATCACCAAAAATATAATAGCACACACATGCATGAATTGGAGATGGTAGCTGAGCAACTTAAGAAGAAATAAATGAAGCTGAGTTGGATGCGATTCCTGTGTTTATCATGTTCAGTAAAACAATCTCACGACCGGTTTTCAACGTGATTACCAACCTCTTCATTATTTTATGAGCAGACAAAAGTTTTTTTTTATCCCAAAGAATGGGAAATGTGTCCAAAATTACAATATATTAACCATACCACAAGAGAATGATGCTTGAACCAGCATGCAAGCACTATAGACAATACAAAATTATTGATTTCGCTGCGATGAAATAGGACTTCAGCATGAAAGGAGCCATAACACCTCTACACTAGGGTTCCACAAGGACCAGTCTTTCGTTAACAGTCAACCATTTTGAAGTGTTATTCAAGTAACTAGAATTTCCCCAAGAACACTTATTCTCATTTTAGGAATCCTGAAGAACATTCATTTTTCTCCACCAACTAAAATTGTATGCCACAGTCTCTGCATTAAAGGAAAAATATGTTTTGATCCAAAGAAAAACCATTTCTTCACTCGGATTATATCAGCTCATCTGGAGGATTCATGTATTCTTCAGGGAAGTAGAGAAAAGAATAAGGCATACCCTACCGGACACCAGTCTAAAAATTACACTACCATGATATCCTGTCAGTGGTCGAAAAAAATCCAAATGGCTCCGTTTCTGCTATGAAGTATGAAGTTCCCCGAAATCAATGACAGAAACTCTCCAAAGCACCTAACAGTTAGGCATCCTGACCAAACACTTTAAAACCAAATTACTGAATCACGTCCCCAATCATCATTGCCATCATCCTGATTGCTTCGCAATTCATTATAATTCCAAATCTTCCACACCTTTATGGTAACCTCAACTATGGCCCTTCTTGCTGATTACGATTACCAGAAAATTCATAAGCTTCCCATTCGAAAGTAAATGCTTGTTTCACTATTCATCTCATTTGGATACAACCTGGAACCTTCTGAGGGACCACTTCCAGACAATAAATAACTTGATACAAGTTTTTGAAACACAGAAAATACATAACTAAAATAATGAATCATTCAGTGGGCAAACATGTTGCCTAATCTTTGCAGCAAACACAAATAATCAGCAAACAAAAACATCAAAAAATGGCGTTGATTCTTTCTTTCTAAACTATATATAGCTCAAAAACCTTATCGGTTCAAAAAAATGTATGGATTCCCTTTTTTATATACAAAGCAATTTCACCTCAGAAAAATTATAACACTTTGGTTCAAAAACTTGCGATTTATTGATACATTAATTCCAAGACTGGCAGTGAAAATGAAATTGAACTCTCTACCTCAAGCTTAGGGTAGTCTTGCACTTGCTTTCCTTGTCAATGACACTTAGGTTTAGACAACAACTTTTCCTAAAAATGTTCATATTTCAACAAAAGCGTTTTCCAGGACAAGAAATAACAAAGAGTGTATCTGTGTAACAACATACAATAACTCTAGATAGCACGAACAGAAATCAGTTGCTCAGAGCTGCAGCCGGAATGATAAAGTTGACTCAGCCCCGTCAAAAAATCATACCATTAGGGTTCAGCCGATTGGCCACAATAATTTATGACCGTCAAATCAATACTGGATTTGAACTACACCTGGACCAGAAAAATACTAGTCCCTCCTATGATTGGACTCCAAATACGGTCCCTCCCAGAATCATCCACTAGGATCATTTGCCCTGATTATAAGATACACTTCCCGGTTTCTCAAAATTTTCCCGATAAGTTTGATGAAGAGTCAACAAAACGAGGCCAGAAATAAAGTCAAGAAAGACTGTTTCTACAAATTATAGTTTTCGCGTATTCAACGCATAAAAATTTCAAAGTAAGTTTAAAAGGTAGAGGAAATCACGCTACTTACTCGAGCTCATTTATAAACAACAGAATTAACATTTCGACATCAACTCCACAAACAAAAGGCATGACAATATAACGAATGAATTCTATACAGATCATAGACAAGGAAAGGAGATAGTTTTTTTAGGTCTTAGTGTATAGGATTAGAAACAGACAGGAATATTACTAGCTTCTTGAGAATATCATTGGCTAACGGACGAGCGAAACCTTCCAGCAAATCTAATGCTAATCAATTCAGGTGGGGAAAGACGACAATAATTTACATCCAAATACCAGCCGTCACCTCATACAGTTGTGCAAAGTCGGAAATATTATTTTATTGATCAATACGGCATCAAGCGACAAATAAAAGCCAACCTAAACTACCTAGTAACGGAGGCTTTCACAGTACAAAATGATCAAAGACATGGATGAAAAGTGTCCAACCTCATCGGGTACACGCAGATACTTGATCGTATTACCACGTATATAGCATTCGGGCATTCTCCAGAACCGGTCCCCATCCTACAAAGCGATGGAAAAATCAGAAAATGGGATAGATGGTTGAGGAACGACGCGAGAAACGTTGAAGGCCTCCGTCCTGACCTTCGAAGTGCAGATGACTTCCCGGAGGTGGATGTTCATCCAGGTGTCGCAGTTCACCAAGTGACCATTGTAAGTCTCTCCATTCTTCAACTCCACCAGCTGTCGGGAGAGAAACCATCAATCCAAAAAAATGGGAGCAAGAACAGATTCGTTTTCGTTAAGAACGTCCACCCTATTACCAGAATAGAACAAAAGAAACCCGTAATTTCTATACATCAAATTGAAACTAAGGCCAAAACCAAACACTAAACACGATCGAGGAAAATGCGTTAGCAAATTCCCTCACCATGGGATGACCTTGTGCCGTCTTTAGCAGAGAAAGAGGAAGCTGAAAAGCGGCAACACGCCAACAACCAGAGTTAGAGGAGTAAAACAGCAAGAAATCAGGGAAATAAACCAAAAGAAAGCAAAATCATAGGACTCAAAAAGTTCTACAAGGGACGCCATTAGACGCGCACCATTTTTTTCACTTCTCTTCTGTTATCCCCAGATCAACCTAACAAGATCGCCCGCAACCAATGTTCCCAAGTTGAGTCGCAATCCCAACACGTCGGGCTCCCGCGAACACCGACTGCCAAAACCCTAGGTTCCTTCGAGGGAGGGGGGAGGGAGGGAGGGAGGGAGTTGGAGCCTCTGCCTATGCCGGCGTGGACGCCCGGATCGAACTCTCTCACCTGTCAACGGGCCAAAGCCTTCTTGATATTAAAATGACCAAGGCCGGTAGGGCTTTTATGAATATGAAATTTACTTATAACCTCTCAAAACTTAACTAATTTTTTTAAACCCTTATTTTATTAGCCGGCGGTTTCGGGACTGAGAAAAGATATTAAAGTAATACTATCAAATGTAAGTTATCCGATTTGATTTTTAAATATTTGTAAATAAACTCCCAGAATAGCAATAAACCGGACATAAAAGTGATTGTTAAATTCCAACCCCAAATATTTGGTCCAAATTATTTCCTCTGGCTTGAACATGTTCCCTAAAAGCCATTCACTATATATTCATTTTTTTCAATTTTTAAAATAAATTTTATTATTTAGCATTCTCACATTACCAATTATAGAACTAGTTTCAGACACCTCAAGTTTTTAGAGACTCACCGAAAATATGAAATATAAAAATTAACCAACAGGACCAAATATTTCATTTTCCACAGTAAACTGTGTTTATAATTATTACTAAAAGTTTATTCGACATACCAGAGGGATCTTGCCTCCCGGGTAAGCAGTCGGTTACTACCTACATTGACTTACAGTGGGGGAGGAGGGGAGAGAGAGAGAGAGAGAGATTTGGGCTTCACCCATCATTCCGGTAAAGTGGAGGAAAATATTTAGTTATCCATGATAAGCTGTCTACATAATTATCAATATAAGTTTATTAGACTTACATAGAGGGATCAATAGCTAACTATATTAATTTACAGTAGGAGAAGAGAGAGAGAGGGAGAGAGGAACCATCATGTTCCCAGCCTCTTAACACCACACTCCGAGCAGAACTTGGACGTTTCCCTCAAGTAAGGAGCACCACATTCATCACAGAACTTCGCAGGGTTTGTTGGCTGAGGAGAACAGAAAACTCGTCACTTAAAAAATGTTCTGAGAGAGATTAACAGCCATTATAGAGATGTTTACATGGTGGGCAGGAGCAAATCAATCAAACTAATATGTACCCACCAGCAGATGCAAACGGCCTCCCGCGTGACCTCCAGAGAGAGATTGTAAGCAAGCCATGTGTTGAGGTAAAGTAGCGGATGACTGAAGCGGGATCTCCGCAATCTGAGAAAAATGTGGGGTTGTGTGCTGGTTCTGATGATGCATGGGCTGGTGATGTGGCTGCTGAATGGGATAGAATGGCAACTGTTGCATCAGTTGCCCATGATGTTTCATCGGAGGCTGCTGCTGATTTTGTTGCTGTGTGGGAATGCAAATCATGATTAATACTCTCTATACAAACGCATTAGGCACAGGATTGCATGTATGCCAAGTACTACTGCATATATGCAAAGATGATCAGCGAATATAACCCAGGAACCGACCCAAGCAAACGTTTACATCATACTGAATATATATATATATATATATATATCGAAAAAAAAAATCTGGGACATTTTTCACTTGCCCACATAGGGGGAAATAAAGAGAAGAAAATAAAAGAAGAAGAGATATTGTGACGGAAGAAAAAACATTCATTTTCCCAACTCATATCCCCATTTTCTTATGAATAGTGTGCAAAACTTACTGGAGTCTCAAGAAGATTTGAAACAGCTTGTGATGGAGCACGCCTGAACTTGTGGCGAGGAGAATAAAACTTGTAATCCCTTTCTGAGATAGATGCTTCACCCCTTCCAGTCAAGCGTTTGAACCTGGATTAAGCTTAATATCAGAATGCTGAACGCAAAATTACATCAGAACTATACTAATAAGCACCAATAATACATAGAAACATAACCCAGAAATAAAATTATACAAATCAAGTATTTATAACCTAGAAAGGGTTTTGTTTATTCCTTCCCCCTACTGAGCTGCAGTCTTCATTTCCACAGCGTGTTCCACAAAACTTAAATAATTGACCTTGTTGAAATCTGATTAAAGTGTAAGTTATGAGGAATAATAAATATCGTAATAAGCAACTTTTAATCATCATAGCTATTGGGCACACATGGGGCGATAAGATGATAGATAATGCTATCAAATAGCACACAAATACCACCTCTCAGGAGGCAGTAATCCTAAGAGAAGTGAGATATTTCAACTTATTCTGGAGAATTTAGATTGACGTGGGCTGCACAACATTATTTTGGAAAAGTGTACAAAAAAAAAGGAACTTGTTCTCATAATTTAGAGCTGCAACAAATCCCGAAACCAAAGTGGAAGAGAATGCAATTGAGTGCATAAGAAATACAGTTTTACCTTTTTAACATAAAACTGTTTGTTACAGGTCCAACTTCAATGAACTGTCTGTTACAGGGATTAGCCATGGCAAGTGCAGTCTTTCCCCGGAGGGATGCCAGCCCGAACATCACCCCAAAGAACTGGGTTTCTCAAGAATCAGTCTTCACGAGATGCATGCGTGTATCATGAGATACAGACAACTTGGTCCATCCTAACCGGGGGTTCATCGGTGGATATTTCCTTTGTTCCTTCTATTTTGCAAAAGAATCCGTTCTCTAGGTATAGAGGAAACAAAGATTTGCGAAGTGTATGCTTCAGAGAGGTAGCCCTTCGAAACATTATTATCCTCATTCATTCAACAGGCTAGATTGTCAAATTGACACAAGGCATTATTTACCATATGATTTACAATTGGTAGGTGCATCAGACACCAAGTTACAGTTCTACTACCCAAGCACCAACCCATTTAATATTTTTTCACTATACTGAAATATTCCTTATTGAGCTTAATATAGATCTGAATGCGAAGAGGATTATGATGCAATCAAAGCTCAATAATGACCAATGTTAAAAGTAACAGAAAATATAATATTACCATTCGGCATCCTCAATAGGCATGCTAATTGGCTTCTCAACAATGACAAGACCATTGACCACTACGAAACGGACACGTTTTTCTTCTTGTACTAATTCGGGAAATCTCGCCCTTGTTTCAAGAGAAGTTGCCAACTCTCTTCTTTTAAAGCCATAAGGCCCTGGAAGAACCAAAAAAAAAAAAAAAGACACAATCTCCCATCATCAACATGTCAAGTTGTTATTTTTCGCAGAAAACATAACTGCACTAGGCCATACCTTTTCTCGGAAACTTTTTTGCTAACCTTCTATATAGCCCACCAGCTGCTTCAAGGGCAACCCCAATAGTCTTCTCGCGAACCCCCGCCAATGATGCAAGCCGAGCATTCGCATCATTGACCAGGGTCTCATACAAATTGGCCACATACATCAAAGGAAGGACAAACCTAGGATCACCTTCATACTGGACTTCCCTTGACTTTCTCTTGCTAACCTTGTCATACCCGCCATTATATTCAGCTTCATAAGCTTGAACCACTTCCACCACGTGATCACGAAGAAAATGATCAACAACAACTTGCAAGAACCTAGCTCGAGCGGTCTCGATGGGCACAACATCTGACGTTCAACACATAGCATCCAGTTCAGAAGACATAGAAAGAAGAAGACTGCAAATTCTGACAGAGAAGTAAACCACTGCAGGAAGAGAGAAGAAACTGTAGACATAACCATCAATAGTCAGCATGTTGGAAGGGGATCTCGAAGATTCGCCACTGTTCTCGAGGCCAGAGCGATCGTCCTCCACCTCGGCACCATGAACAGGTAAAGAGTTGCTGTATGATTCGTGTATGCAATCCTGGGAGATGGAACGAACCCTTATTACCCAAAAAAGCGGTCGGCGAAACTAGTAATCTGAAGGCGAATTCAGCGATAGATCAACCGTGAAAAAATGACTGCATTAGCATTGATAGAACAAAAATTCATCAACTTGATAATCAAACCCAACTTCCAATAGCCATAGTCGGAAGAAAAAATCTTCAAAACTTGGCAGAACTCAGTGCAGAAAAATCGAGGAAGTAAAAATGATGGGGGTTAGAATAGAACAAGGAGAAGACAACTCACAACTGATGTGGATTCTTCGTCGTTATCCAGGCTACCTTCTGTGATTGCATCCCGCTCCACGTCGCTGATGCCCTCGATATCGCCCGAAGGACCGTCCACCGCGTTAAGGTCGTGGAGGGAACCCCCAATATAGGAAGCGGCCATCCTCATGTTGTAGTGCGGCAAGGGAACCCTACTCCCCATCCTCTACAATACCCTAGCCACCACGGGCATCGCGAAGTACTGCGAGCAAACGAAAATCCTTCTCTAGCCACGGGGCCGCGACCGCTCTATCATTTCCTCCATTCCTCTGCCCTCCAGCTTCCCCTCCTGCACCGAAGAGCGGACAGTGAACCTGCTTCCCACACAGACACAGAACAGCATCGACCCAGTTCTACGAGCTCCTAGACAGAATATTTACGCGAGGACGAGAGAGGTTTCATCGGCGAGGGGGGTCAGACCTCAGAGCGGGCCGGAGGAGTTGCGGCGGAGCACTACTTCGAAGCCTTCCCTCCGGCGACCGGCGGCAGCTCCGCCGCCTCTTTGACTCCCTCCTCTTCGGGGAGAAGCCCCGAGGCCGGCCGGCCTAGACATGGCCCCGAGCCGGTCCGGTTCAAGCCGGTCTGAAAAAGTTGGGCCTGATAACAGGGCCCAATTTAGACATTTTGGGCCGAATTTCGGCCTTCGAGCTTTCTTCGTGCTCATCGGCTTACCGGGATTTCCCCTCCCCCTTCCCCGGGGTTGTATCTGCCGGTGGAAGAGAGGGAACGGCGTCGAGATAGAGAGAGAGAGAGAGAGGGTCAGCAGCATTCTGCACCAACTCGGAGGGTTGAGGAATGGGCGGGGCATGAGTGAGTGGGTTGTCTCCTTACCTTCTTCCCGGAGTTGAATCTACCGGTGGAGGAGACGGAACGGCGTCAAGATAGAGAGAGAAAGAGAGAGAAAGAGAGAGAGAGAGAGAGAGAGAGGGTCAGCAGCATGTTGCACCAGCTCGGAGGGTTGACTGGGCCGGGCATGAAGTGAGTGAGTCATCTTATTACTTCTTCTGTTGCACGCACCAGCTTCCCTACCACGTCTGTTACCACTATTTAAAATAGGGTACCGAAACCGCTACGGCCCCGTTCTTCAACAGTGAACGTCTCTTTCTCTCTCTCTCTCGCTATCACTGTTTAACCTAGATGCCCTTTCTGTCGTGGGATTGCACCAGTGTCCCTATCCCCCCCCCCTTGTAGCCGCCCAAGAGAGAGAGAGAGAGAGATGGAGAACGAGAGCGGCGTGGGGGGTCGTAGGGGTGGGGGGGGGATTTACTAATCTTGAAAGTTAACGAGGAAATAATAAAGTCAGCCTGTGACTCGAGTGTCGCCCTCCGGCGGCGTCCGAGGGTGGGGGGATACGCCGCCGCGGGCATCCGTACCGCGGTGGCCGGCCGTCCAACTTGCGGCGCCCCGCGTCCCGACGCAGACGCGCGCCGCCGGTCGCCATCTCCGTTGCCGCAACCGTTGAGGACCAGGCGACGTCGAGGACTCCGACGATCCTATATATCCACCACAGGGATGGCGGCGGCCCAGGAAGGCCCATGGTCAACGCGATGGTGACGTCACCTATCGCGGTCCTCCATCAAGGCTCTCCGCATCCCATCCCCATCGTAGTGCTCGTCTTGATCGGAAAATTTGGACAATATCGCACTGGGGAGTTGCGCGGTCAGCATACCGCTCCGCCAGTTCCCCTCTCTCCATGGCCGTTCTGCGGGATCTGGCCTGGCATCTGTGGGCGGTGAGCGAGAACGCGGGGAATCCGATCCCGGGGGTCGTCGTCTTCTCCGTGGAGGGCAGATCGGAGAAATAATTTTGGTGGTCCGGTGGCCGGAGGAGGCGGTTGGCTGGCCGCGGATATCGCAGGCGGTGTAAATTAGCCGGAAGAGCGGGAGCCATTTCCTCCCACTACCTAAAGGCGGCGGCGGCGGCGGCGGCGGCGGTGGCGGCGGTGGAGGGATGGAAGGATGGGGAGGAAAGAAGATGGACGGGAGGGGAACTGAAAGCCAGTTGTAGAAAGAAAGGCGAAGGAGCAGGGGAGTTTTATATTCAGGAAATCTCGCAGAAGGGGATGGAGGAGCACATCCCCAATAATTGACATCAAAATCTCCGTATCGGGAATACCGCAATCTTCCGAATTCCAAGGTTCGGGTCCAATCAATTTCCTCTTCAGTTGTTGTTGTTGTTGTTGTAGCTGTGTGGATGGGGGTATAGATGAGCAAGGAGAGAGTTCCTATCGTTTTCCTCGCTTCATCCGCGTCTCACCGCCCGCCGCCGGAGGCTAGGACGACGGTGGAGGCACGTACCCGCTGTGATACCAAGAGATATATAGGCTGCTGATCTCTTCTTCTTTTGGGTTTGTTTTCCGAGTTGCAGAGAAAAACTCCCGCGCCAAGAGGTTCTTGCTGAGTTATGGGAGTCGGCTACGATGTAACCCATGGAATTGTGGTCCAGTTGAGCTGTATCATGTGCTACAGGAATCCTGAGATCGTTTTTTTGTCTTGCTGCTGTCTTGGATCTGGGCGGTGATCATTTGCTGCGCTTTTGCCGTCGGGGGGAGAGTTTGGAAATTCGCGATAATTTTCTTGCTGTTCTGTTTGGAATTTGGGCAGGGATCACCTGTTGAGGAAGCAGCTAGCGAGCGAAATACGATAAAAGGTGTGAACATGTGGAGAAAATGGAGAGCGGCTTGCCAGTGATGTGAAGAAGGAATCTAGGATTCAGATGATGGGATCTTAACTCTGCTAAGTTTTCAATTTCGCGCTTGTTCTCTGAGGCGTCTTCCTTCAGTCTCTAGAATATTTTTTTTTGCTGAGTTCTCAGAGCTTTTGCGCAAGGCTCAGAGTTCGATCAGTTTAAAGGAGTAATCGAAATTTCTAGAAGTTGAAGCACAGGAGGCTATGTGGACTCGTTGGTTATGAATTTCTTGATTGGAACCTTGGACTCTTAAGATCTATGCAGCTATAAGCTTGGACGATAGAAGAGTTTGACTATTTCCAGGCCATTCTTAGGTGATGACGGTTTTGTGGGTTATGCGAGAATAACATCAACCGAGATGGCGGCAGAATCAAATATGGGTTTTCAGCAAAGGACGTTGCCATCATTTTTTCACAATCGTCACATGGTTTCCTTCCAGTCAGGAGCAGTAAACAGCTCGAATAGGATTGTGCCCACAGTTACAGATAGCTTCGGTGCAGTAGACAGCACCTCAGGGATGACCTTCAGTGGGAATCCTGGTGGCGGGAATACTTCTTTGTTGATTCCACCTGAGAGAACTTCTGGGGTTCTCCATCTTGATCCATTTCCAGAGCTTAAGCATGATACAGGATTAGCTGTGTTTTGGTCTTTTGAAGAGCAGCTATTGTTGGAGGATGGCCTCGCCAAGTGGGTACTCTGCTGTTGCTCCATCCATTTCTCCATTGACATCTCGGTTATTTCTCTTTTTTAATGTTTTGATCGTGTTTTCCTTAATCAAGTTCATTTTCTCAATATTCTATTGCGTTTGTCATGATTTCTCAATGAAATAAGATCTTCTTCCTAACATATATAGAAAGATCGTCAAGATCATACCCACCATCTATTCGAATAAAGAGGTCTATGTTCTCATCGGTGATCTGATTTGTAAAATTGCACTGCTGCCTCATGGAACCATGTCTTGGGAACATTTAAATGTAAACCTGATAAGCTAATTGACTGACACATGCGTCATATTATAAGGATTCGTGTTCTTCTATTAGTGTTTTGTATGCTAATTTATTCTTGTTGAATCGGATTTACCCTACAATATGTTCTTATTTCTTTAATTAACATGGCTTTAACATACAAAACCGCATATTTATTGCTTCCCTAATTGCTTTAGTTTATTGGCATAATAATTCTACTTTCTACCATTTTCTTTCTTTTTTGCACAAAAATGATCTAATTACGTCGGATTCTGCAGGTACTCGAATGAACCTAATATCAGGAGGTATATCAAGATAGCAGCTACATTGCATAATAAAACTGTACGGGATGTTGCTTTAAGGTGCAGATGGATGACCGTAAGTTCCTCACTTTCTGTATGGATCTTCAGATAGATAAGGCAAACATTTGTCTATTATTTCGCCTTTCTGTGTATTAATCTCTTTTTATGGCTATATCTCTCAATTAGTCTCTCTTTATAAAAACTCTCACACGCTGTCACACATCTGATGGAGTTTCTCAGTAACTTATATTTTCCTTGAGGATCCACTTATCTTGACTTGGACAATTCCGGTTATTGATTGTCAATTTATCCTAGATTCTCTTAGAACGGATGGAAAATCCGAGAAATATTAAGCTAGTCCCTTCATTTTTAAGTTTTTATACTTTTAAATTATTTCGTTCGAAGAAAACATAAAAAAAAATCTTAAATTGAAGGGAAATGAGAAAGAAAAAAGGTATAACTAAATCACATAAATCATTGTTGTCAGCATTCAATGGAGGATGTATGGCATTCTTCATGTTTACATGAAGAAAACTGTTGTTGGAATTTGCTTCAGTAATGTGGAAAAGATTATTGCAAACAATGGACTGAAACGTCACTAAGGATAAACTCTTCCTCCCTTTTCTTGTGCCCTTAATCATTTCCTGTACCTGATGTATATGTTTTTATGTACTTAAAACCCTCCTATTAAATATTTCTTGCACTTTATTATACTCTTTTTAGGAGAAAAAAATACGTTATTGTAGCCCCCCCCCAATCCCCTCCCTTTAATTTCTAATTATTTCATTTATTAAGAGGAAATAGCGTCAATAATCAGCACGAACCTGGTTTTTTAACATACATATACGCTTTTGTCATTTTTCCTTCCACAAAACTCAAATAATAGTCCCTCTGAATTTATTATTTGTAAATGGTATTTACATTCAGTTTCACATTTTGCATCCCAAAAAACAATATATTTTTCATGATTCTCCATTATTTCACTATATAACTTAATTGCCCTTTTTCGTAAGTTCGCTCACATGGTTTTAAAACTGCTAAAACCCAGTCCACATCGTCCAAGTTTTCTCTTAGAAATCCTGAAAATGGTGGGAATCGTCATGTATAATCAGATATACTGTCAGGGACCGGTGGATGTAGATCCTTTTTTTTCTTCCATAAGGTTTTTAATTTATTTTTTTTATAGCAAAATGCATTGATTTTTGATGCGCCAGGAACCTTGGTGGGTACTCCTGCTCTTTGTATCCTGTTAGGAAATGGTTTTGAAGGTGCATTCCATTTTTCTTTATCTTTTTAATAATCACTAACGATAACGATTGACTGCATCGTATTATTTAGTAGAAGGTTTCGATGAATGCCAAGGGCTGTTGTTGACGTACAATCACGGAAGTCAAAATTAGCGCTTTGGGGTTGGCTTGGGAATCACCAATTTGGTACGGAGGGGGAAAATTGACCCCCCCCCCACCCAGATTAATTAATAGGCATAAATCGGATCGACTCACTTCCGGTCAATCTCACTTGATCTCACTCAGAGCAGCAGGCTCCATTCACTCACGTGTAGAGTGTGGAGGAATGGGAGGAAGAGCATCAGGGGTGGTTGACTGCACCACAGATGATAAAATTTATTTACATTTCCATTGTGTTACATAAGCATATCCATCTTACTTTCATGGTGGTAAATGTAAGTTTCTTAGTATATCATTTCTGATCATACGAGCATGCTTTATAAGCTTGTGAGTAACCATTTTCTTATTATGTCATGTCCCCCCCCCCCAGATCTGGCCGATGATTTGGCCAATTCTGGGATCCAACCTGACTTAAACGTCCCAAGGGTGAAGATGCATGGAAGAAGAAGAAGAGTGATCGGTAGATGATCTCCACTCTCTTCTTCATCATGTTAATTCCCCATGGTGAAAAGTTAAACCAATATCTTCATGCCTTCTACCTGAGAGTCCTTCTTTAGCCATCTCCCATGCAACCTGTCGTGTATTACACACATTTTTTATTTGCCCTTTATGAGCATATATATTTCATGGAGATTTATATTTGGTGTTCATACATTTGTTATTTGCCCACCACAGAACGATAATCGAAGGAGACGAAACCAAGAATACAGCAGTGGGAAGATGATGAAAGACAATAAGGTAGCATCTCCCACCTCCTCTTGTGCCTGCTGCGTTCATCTCCTTGGCCCCACCCAGGAACCTAAGGCAAGGCTGCATCACCAAATAGTGGCTTCAGAACATGTCCTCTGAGTTTCTCTGTTCTTTCCAATGGCTTACAGCTCTCATAATTAAGTTCATGTACATTGGTTGGTTGACAACAAAGTGAATGAACCACCTAGCGGTAAGCTTCACATTTTCTGTGACCATTTCATCGGATGATCCTTAAAAGGTGCTTTGATTGCCGATTCCATCCTTGCTTGCATCCTCTGCAACATACAAACTCTGCCCACCGCCACCCCCATGCCACTGGGATTCTCAAGTTCTTCACATGGCAGACATTCTCATGAATGACCATCTGCTCTAAAGATCATGTTTTTTTTCTTCTTTTTTTTTCTTCAGGTGAAGCAGATGGACTATGCCTTAGGAGGGAATGCTGCTCCAAATCGGCTATTGAATGTGCCTTCTCGTTCTGTTGCTGCACACCATCCGGAATGCAGCAGTGGAGTTCCATACGAAGGTCAACCTTCTCCCATGAAATCTTCGATTTTAGCAGGGAGGATTTCGCACCCTCTAATCCACTCTGATCTCTTGCCCTTTAGTGAACCCATCCGTGTGTTCCGATCTCTATGCTTGTATAGATGGCTCTTGATGCTGACTAGAATCGGTGATGTTCTGCTCTGTGTGCTTACATGGCTCTTCCTTCATGCAGCCTCTTGTATTTCTTGTCCCATGCGGCAGCTCCTGGACGATAATGACCAAGTTTTGTGGCAGATTAAAGACAACCTTGACACGTTGAAGGTGGCTTAAGCTTCTCTCTCTTTTGTTGATACTTAGCCTTTTGGTAGATCGACCAAGACATCTATCTGTGCATCATCATCATTTTTTAGATTCTCTTAAACCCCTTCTTGGTTTCAGCTGCAGGATAATCTCAGCCTCCTCTTTCACGCCAAGAACAACCTGACTGCCATTCTGGATAGGTTATCTTCTTCTCTTGATTTGATGATGGACCGTGTGCAGTAATTGCCTGCCCAATGACGACATTAACACGCTAGGGTGTGATCTGTTTTTCTCTCCCAGGATGAGTAAGGCTGCAGGGTTGAACCAGATGACACCCTTACCTATAGCGGTAGATGAGAGTCTTTTCAGCAAGTTTCTCCACGGTTCATCTCAGGTAATCAGTCGGGGTTCGACATCTCCATGGCGATGGAGCTCTTAAAAAAGTTCTGCCAATTGGGAGAACCATTACGCCAACCTGTAGGCTGTCTCCATGCCGTCTGGCAACTGCTGTGATCACATTGAAAATCAAAAACCCTCTATGTTAGAAGAACTGGTTACTGAATATGGTGTCTCTCGAAACCCCAAGTACTGAGTCAGTAGACCATGTCCGGTGTGCTCCTTGGCTTCTTCCATAAGCATGAACCCCAATCTATGGATCACCGAAGAGAAGAACCTTGAGCAGTTTCCACGCGTCCTCCTCCTGACCTCCAATATGTCAATACAGTCCTTGGGACTAGGGTTTGACCGGAGGATCTTAGAAATGCGAGCTTTTCTTCATTCAGAATCTTCTAAATCTGCTCCCCCCCTCCCCCCCCCTTTGAAATAGTTGCTCCTGTGAGAGTTCCTCTGGTTCTGTACAATGCGCGCTAGAATGTTGTATTCTTTTCTTCTCAATAAAAAGCTCCTCAGGATTCCAGACATCAAGGATGGGAGGGCAGACCTTAATTTCTTCTATGGAATATGGTTTTCTCTGCCCTCACAGTTTTTTTTTTCTCTCTCATGAAGGCTTCAATGTTTAACCCGCTAGACGAAGTTCATGCGAGGGAACAACCCAGATTCTGACTGAGGACCTTGCAGGCATCCCCACATGCCTCACGATTGCATGATTTTCTTCTGTAAATGGACAGATTTTTGGGGCTACTTTCCCTGAGTATACCCACCCGGATACATGAAGAGGTGCTTCTAAAGATGCACGACCTAGGGTATGAAGTTGTTCATGTACTAGCTCTACCACATAGCAATAAGAACCACCCCCATTCCCCTGGATTTCAACCATTTCGAGTAAAACACAGATTTCACTTGTCTCTTTTGATGTTCGAGCATTGGTTTTTGTATATCTTTCAAATTTAAGAATTATCTATGCTCAGAGACTGGGTGAGAGATTGAGAGAGAGAGAGAGAGAGAGAGAGAGAGTTGCATGAGCCTGGGGCAGAATGGCTCCACATATATATATATGACAAAACGAATGCATGAACATCATCAACTTACCGCAACTTGGATGATTCCGCCGGCAACCAAAGCTCTCCCACAGTTTTGTTACTATTCCTTGGAAGCTATGAAATTCGGTTGTTCTCCGGAGCAAAGGTTCTCATCGCATACCGATGCAAATCCCCAGTCCTTCCTCAGCCGGAAGATGTCATCTGTGAACGTGGATCCGGATGATCCTATGAACACACTCGCCATGGCGCAGATTGTCTTATCCAGAATGGCCTCGACCTTCGGAGAAGATATAAAACAATCTCAATTTTCCCACGTATAATCAGTCACTCCAGGAAGAACGCATTTTAGCCAAAAATAGGGAATAGTCAACGCTTTTACCTGACTGTCCTCTCCAAGGTGGTTTCTGTACAGTAGGGCATCCCATTTCTCGGTGGAAGAATGAGCGGGCCTCTTGATCATAGGGATGGGCCTGTTATTTGACGCAACCAGAGACTGAAGAAGGTCGGTTTCACTGGCTGCTGCATCAGTAGATAGGTAAATTACCGGAGCGTTGGTTTTCTCCACCACCCGGAGGATGCACTCGGCTGCTTGAGGCACAGGAAAAAAACAGCTCTCCTCCTTCGCATTACTGCAGAAAAGATCAAATCCAATTCCGGAGAGAAATTTAATTCGGCAAAATATATGCAATCGAATGCATGGATTCAAAGTAAGCATGTGACAAGACCTTCCGAGCGCTTGTCCGTGAAGAAACTTACCAGAATTGTAAGAAGCCATGGCGTCTGAAGTGCACAGCGATGTAGTTGTTTCCCAAGAAGGTCTGCACAAAGCGCTGAGCAGTGAGGAGGACGAGGTGGCTAGGTTGGATGAGGGTCTCGCACTGGTGGGTTAGGGGGCCTCCTGGTTGCATCACCCATTCTTCCTCCACGTCTGCGTAGAAGATGTCGCCAACAGCGAGAACCTCGTCGTTGCAAGAGAACTTGCCTGTGATATCACCGACCACCCTCTTCTTCGGCTGAGTCAACTTCGCATCCTCTGGCCAGGCAGCTTCGAGCTTAGGCAGGGAGAGCCCCAAGTCTTTCAGCCTCTTCGCGTGTTCCTCGTCCACGAAACACGGAGGCGATGCCATGTAGCAGATGAATCTGTTTATCTGGATCTTGTTCTTCTTCGATTCCGAGAATTCTTCAAATGAGATGACAACCTTTCTGTCAAAGCACTGGTTGATGTGGTCGATGTCGATGACCCTGTCGTACTGGTAATCGAACTTGGGGCTCGGGAGGATCAGTATACGATCCAAGATCGCCGCGAAGAACATGTGCTTCTGAAGGCAGATCAGGTGGTTGGACATCTGTCCCGAGACGCAGATCGCGAGCAGGTACCTGTTCTTCTTAGGATGCCATTCGACGGTCCTCCTCCCCCTAGGCTTGTCCACCTTCCTGCAAAGATCTGCACCAACGTAACCGGCGAGAAGATCCCCTACATTGCCGTCAGCGACCTCTGCTGAAGTGTTGACGGCGAGCAGCCCGTGGGAAGATAACAGAGCCTTCTGAATCTGTTGGTTAAGCTTGATCTGCTCGAGCAATCCCGACCGGAACTCTTCTAACAGGATCGACGGCTGCGGATTCAACGGCTCCCCTCGATTACGCGCCGCGGACGGAGTAGAATTGGATGTGGAGTTCGAAGCCACAATTGGAACGGAAGAAGCGGGGGAGTCGCTGGATCTGACGGGGGAAGCCGCAGACGTCCGGTTCCACAGGCGAAGAAGGCCCACCTGTTGGTGTCTGAGAAGGTTCAGAGCACGAAGCTCCGCCTCCCGCATCCGGTCATCCTCGACGGGGGAACCAACTCCCACGGCGGATGCCCCGTGGAAGAGTCGGCGAGTGTCCACGGAGAAGTAGATGACGACGACGAGTAGCAGGCACAAGCAGACGGCGAAGACATACTTCCTGCTGGATCTGAATCCACAGCCCTTCCGATCTGGAGGCTCTCCGATCTCGAAGCTGAGAATGTCGCTGCGTAGCGGCTGCCTCTTCCTCTCGTTCTGGGCGATGAGGGTTTCCCCATCGTCCTCATCGGAGGAGGACGCCCTCTCCATTTTCTTCTACCGGGGGGGGGGGGGAGGGAGCTTCCAGTGTGTGCAAGACGTGAAGGTGGATAGAAGAGTACAGTAAGAAGTACCCTGACCGTCGGTGGACGATCATACGGCTGAACACGCGATGGCTGGCCACGGCAGTTAGTTCGCAGCCACCCAGGTTTTCAGTCGACAAATTATTTTAAAATATTTTTAAAAAACACGCATCTATAATTACCAAATACTTTAAAATATATATATTTAAGCTCTCAATTCACGTGGCATTTTCACGATATTTGGGACTCTAAACAGCTTTTAGTCTCGAATAATTTTTCCCACATTTATTACAGACTTCCCGGATTATCCAAACTTATTGTTTTAAAAAAATGAAGTAATTAGAGTATCCAATCATCGATGGAATTAATTAATTAATTGAAACGAAGACAGTCGATAACCCCGGGCACAAAAGAAAACCCACAATCCAGAGTAATTAGTCAATAATTTAGCGGAAATAAAAAAGGATTTTTTTAGAGCAAAAATACTTCCCCCCGTTGACTCGCGGGAGTTGGTTTTCTACGTATACTCGAGCAGCAGACCGGTGATCGCCCTCGGATTTTATGGCCACATGAAGAGCAAATAGCATGAGGGTTGACTTCAATCATTACTAAAAATAGTAAAATCGAGCAGAAAACACCCCAAATGCGGCAGTCATAAACCCACAACCGGTCATCAATTGGGAAAAAAATAAAGGTTTCTGAGAGCAGGAATACATCCCTGTTGACTTGCGGGCACGAAGGTTCTTCCATCACCAGGAAAACAGATGAAAGGAAACACAACACTTCTGACCCTCTGCAAGCAGCAACAATCCCCTTCACAAAAACAGGGAGAAACCCAGAGTTCTGATCGATCCCCTCGCGTATTATATATATATATATATCCACAGGAAGAAGAGCAGCAATACCGCGTGGACCTTTTTTACAACTTATTGCCCGAAAGAAGACTGCCAAGAGTCAACGCCCACCGGCGACCCAAGGATTAGGAGTCCAGCTCGGAGTCGTCGTCGTCGTCCGTCTCGTGGACGGCCTGGAGATGGCCGCTGGCGGAGACCCCCAAGCTCTCGGAGACGCCGGCGGAGCCGCTGCCGAAGAGGCAGACCTGCGGCTCGATCCTGTTCATCCTGGTCAACTCCTCCTCGGAGAGGGTCCAGTTGAAGATGTCGAAGTTCTTCCTGATCCTGTCGGGTGTCACGTTGCAGGGCAGCACGCTCGTCCCCCTCTGCACTCCCCACCGCAGAATCACCTGCCACAAAGCGAGATGCCCTCAATCAAGATTTGAGTTCTTCAGCGCCGCCGGCGGCCATTAGAGGGTGGAGGAGGAGGATTTGTACCTGTTCCGGTGTCTTCTTGCGGGCTTCTGCGATCTCCGAAATCACTGACAGCTTCAGCATGGGCCCATGGACGGACCTCGATCGCCCTAGAGTGATCCGGGGAGTTCCCGGTTCGTCCTCTGCTCGGCCGTCTCTCTGCAGAGTGCCGCCGCCGCCGCTGCCGATGGGGACGCCCAGCGGCGTGTGAGCCGACACGTGGATCCCCTTGTCCTGACAGAATCTGACGATATCGTCTTGCCTCCAGAAAGGATGCAGTTCCACCTATGCAGTACCGGAGAGGACGACCATGGAGATCTCAGTAGGGCAACAGAAAGATGCTGTGAAGAAAGACGATGGATCTTCGGGGGGTGGGGGGATCAAATTACTTCCTTTGATAATACCCAACAGACGAGAAGAGGGAAAAAAAATCCGTGTCTGTAGATTTACGGAAATTAATGAGAGTTACAGACCTGATTGACGGCGGGAACGATCTTGGCGAATTGGAGGAGCTCTTTGATCTGCTGAACGCTGAAATTGCTGACGCCTATGGCGCGGACTAGGCCCTTGGCAACGAGATCTTCCATGGCCATCCACGTCGGCTTCAGAGCCTGCGATAGCTGCCTGTACTCGGTACCCGCGTTCCATGGACGATCGGTGGCGTCCTCGAAGGAGGAAGTATCGGGCCAGTGAACGAGATACAGATCCAGGTAGGAAACACCGAGGGTTTTGAGGGAAACCTTGACGGAATTCTCCACCCTTTTGTGGGAATTCGATGCCCAGATGAGCTTCGAGGTCAAGAACAGGTCCTCTCTCCGGAGACCTCCTCCTTGGAAGGCTTCGGCCAGCGCCTTCCCCACTTCGATCTCGTTTCCATAGAGATGGGCGCAGTCGATGTGGCGATATCCGACCCTCAGAGCTGTCTGAACGGCGGCGATGCAGAGATCGCCACCGTACAGCCAGGTGCCGAGCCCTATGGCGGGTATTCTCGCTCCGGTGTTCAGGACGAAGGAGCTTGAGGAAGGCCCATCTTTCCCCCTCATCCTCCAATCGACCTGCGGGAGTGGTAAGAACACATTCGTAAATTAACAGAAGATGGAGGGGGAATGCACCAGCAATTTACGAAAGATGGGAAAAATCTCAGGACTGATCCAAGAACGACGAGAGATCTTCACGAACGAAGGGAAAATCTTCGCTCCCTCGATCACACCCACCACAAATAAATACAGAACACCAGGTAATCTGATATCCCCACCAAGCAACTGAGATGGAACAGGAGGAAATCTGAATGTTTGGGGCGAATTCAGAACGAAACCTATGCAGGGCTCAAGAACCCCAAAAATTCAACAGACCAAGGAGCAAAAAACTTCTACTCAGGGAAGGGCGAGCGGCTCACCAGAAGTCCCCAAGCAGCGTTGACAGGCAAGGTCCAATCCCTAGTCCTGAGAGAGAAATCTCCAGAGATCGAACCCTGAAACTCCGCAGAGGGCGAGAAGGAAGGAAGCTCGAACAAGGGCGGGGTGGTCAAAGAGGCTGCTTTTATTGACGTTGAAGAAGGATAGGGTCTCAAACGATAGACAGCCTCCTCCCACCCCCGCTCCACCGATAGCTACAGCGGAAGAGAAGAACAAGTCCACGCGGCCGTCGTCTGCAGGAACCCGCCCCTAACTCTCCCCTATTCGATTCCCTCTCTCTCTCTCTCTCTCTCTCTCTCTCTCTCTCTCTCTCTATCCCCTCGCTCTCTGATCTCCCTCGTTTTACAGGGAAATAAACTAAAATAAAAGCTCACCCACCTTCCCCAGGAGCCGTGTTTGAACAAGAGCTCCACGATCTCTCCACGACGGAACCCGCGAAAACCCACTGACGAAAAGCAGCGGTCCTCCCCGATGACCTCTCGACGCAGTCAACGTCTTTCATCCCCAAGCAAGGGAGACCAGAGATAGAGAGAGAGAGAGAGAGAGAGAGAGAGAGAGAGGGGGGGGGGGGGGACCAAGATCAACAGTAACTCTCTGCCGACCTACCCCCTCCTCCGGACTGTGATGGAAATGGACAAAAAGCAGATCCGCGATTCCAGCTCAGTTCATCTGCGAGAGGGAACTGTAGATGTGGAGGTTTCTCTGGTTTTATGCTCCGGGTCCTTCGAATATTCGTCCACAGTTCTTGGAGGCAAGACGAAGGAGAGAAACCTTCGTTTCTTACTCAGAGGATCTGCTCCTTTTCTGAGCCAGGAAACGAAGTGATGCTCCTCACCGAACCTCTTCTGTTACCCCCCAGTCCCCGCCGGATCGAGCGTTGACTAATTGAGGAGTGGTAAGCGATGACGCAGTGAAAGCCTCTAACGGGTCGTGGGGAGCGTCACGGAAACCGACGGCGGGGCCAAGGGATCTTCTTTCTAACATTAAGCTTCTTGGGACCACGCCCCGGCCCCCCCTCCTCTCTCTCTCTCTCTCTCTCTCTATCTATCTGTCTCTATCTCCAGGTACACGTCATTGAAAATCTACATCCAAGCAATCGATAAGTACAAGTTCGGGCGATATAGGAACGCCTCGGTTGGATCCTTAAGTAGTCAAAGCAGTCATAGCATAGAGAGAGAGAGGAGTCCCTACACGTGGATAGCCGGCATTGGCCAGACCCATTATTACTTTTCCGAATTTGATTTTGTGAAAACGTGGGCCCGCCCGTAGCTTCGGATTTTGACAAAACTAGATCCGATTACAAGACCTTTTATTCCCATAAATTATGGGCACGAACGGGTAGCTAATCCTTCCACGCAATGATCTAATGGGAATGCCATTAATGGCCCCATTTCTTCTCAGACCACGATCAATCTTAAGGGGTAGGCATCATCAATCTCATTATAAGACTAGGAAACCAAGCATACGCCCGCCATTATGTCATCAAGATATTTATCACGCTTTAATTAAGCAATAATACACGTGATTAACAATGTGCACCGCATGATTAAGCTAAGGTTAGGAAAAAAGTCGGCCTTTGCAAGCTTACCTCATCACCCATCTTCAAGAGAGAGAGAGAGAGAGAGAGAGATTGTGTGTGTTAATAATTTAATAAGAATGACACGTGATAACTTCATCTAGAAGCTTGCTGCCGTGTTGTCGTAAAAAACAACGGTTCATAAATTCACATATTACATTACACTCTTGTAAATTCATATTATAAAAAATAAACAAAAATGGGCCACTAGATAGAAATTACATATTTACGAACTAACCCATAAAGATGCATCCTTTTTAATGAATACCCCCGAGTTTTAATCTCGTGTACTGGTCATCAACCCCCTCAAAGACGAGCTATTGTTACCCTTATGTGGAATTTGGTCACCTAAATTGATTAGTAGATTATAGTGAGAGCAATTAAGCGATTAACATGCTAAAAAATCCCCAAAAATCAGTCAATCATGATCGTCTCCTCAGGCCAATGTGGGCCCCATCAAGAGCCTCTCAACTTGGGGCTCTCACGTTCTACTCCACACGAGCCACGAGAAAGGGCATGACTTTATGCATACTTATTTTTTTTAAAATCATTTTTTCGATTAAAAAATTACGTTTGAATATCTGTTTTATCATTTATTATATCGTATTATTTTCGTCTTTTTTGGCATGTGGGAAGGGGTCAGCTAAAGAAATAATGAACTTTGGAGGTTTTTGTTTAATATAATCAAACAAGAGGGGAGTAATCAAATAATATACGGGCGAGATCCACATGTTGTAATTGTTTTCCTGGTTTCCTTCGAAGCACCCGTCCTCCCTCTCTCCTTCCCTCTGTGTGTCTCTGTCTCTCTCTACTCTCTCTCTCTCTCTTGTTGTCGCACACGTTCCATCGGGATTGCATCGCTGGAATCTCCGGTGCCCAGGAAACTCGAGTCACCGTCTCATTCTTCCGTGGATCAATTATTTTGCGGTCCGCCGACTGGTTTTGGCGGGGGAAGGAAATGGCGTCGGCGGCAGCCCTAGGGCTGACGAGCGCCAGGGATCTGTGGGAAGAGTTGAATGATTCACCCGTTTGGCAGGATCGGATCTTCTACACGCTCGCTGGGCTCTTCGGTTTGGTTGGACTCGTCGCTCTCGTATGTTATCGTCCTCTTCCCCATTTCCCATCTTCCTTTTCGATTCTCGATATTTTTGCTTGTAGAACACCTCCATCTCTCGTCATTCTTCCTTTTTCTGTTACTGTGTATCCGTAAGGATGTAGAGTTTGGAAGATAGTTTGATTTTACGTTGTGCTATACCTAGGGGATGGTAAAATTTGTGGAAAGAGACAAATTAGGATTCTCTGCTCTAACATCGTTTGCCTGAGAACGGCTGCCCAAGAATAATGATCGCCTGGGAATAAACGGTCAGATTAAGGGTTATTCATATCTAAGTGATGATAATACCTTCGGAAAACTGGTTAACCATATGGCGAATATCCATTAAAGAAATGATGGAGGATCTTTGCGTCTATCGTACAGCAGTTCAGCTGATTCTCTTGGATGGATTACATCCAAATCAATGTTTTAAAATTTTCAAACTGGATAATACTATCGTCAGGTTGAAAAAGTAAACGATGAAGGGAAAAACAAAGAGGCGAGCTATAGCGTCTTGTTGTATTTCACAAATGAATAATCCTGATCAGATAAATCAAAATCAGATGACAGGGTTTCAAGTCCTCAAATCAATCGTACTGCACTGTTCATGAAGCAGCATTTGAAAGAGATTCTCATAAATCAAAAGCAGCATTTTAATATAATGGCTTATATTAAAATTGACGCTTTAAGTTTTCAATATTAGGATTGGAAACCAAACAACAGAGATAACCTAAATGACAAATGATAAGAACATGATCTGCAATGAAGTATCACTAAATTTCAAAAAATTATATTGCTGGAAGGATCAATCAATATTTAGAAACAATGTTTACACATCCTCAATTAAAGCCCAGTGGGCAGTGTCACACTCCATACTTATCTGCGTGACAGGCATCATTGGCACGGTTGGATGCTAATGGACAGTTTCATTAAGCTAATGTATCAGGTGTAGATCAAGGTGCTGACCCTAAAACTGAATGGCACAGATGTAAATCAAGTAAAAGAAACTAAATAACATTATCGTTGCGTATCTGTAAAGGCCATCAGCGATCAAAAAGGAAAACATCTTGTAAATCATTTAGCTCTGATGCTTTCGGGATGGCAGAATATCAGTACCTCACTCAAGGCAAATTTATACCGTGAGTGACCATGTCTCCTGGTGTCTTGAGATTCTATCATTACTCTCCATGAAGAGATGAGTGAGGGCATCAGGGAAAGCAGAAAGAGAAAGTTGGTAACACCCATATAGAGTATGAAAAGGCTTTTATGTTAATGTTGAGAGAGAGAGAGAGAGAGAGAGAGAGAGAGAGTAGGAGAGTAGTGTAGTTGGTTAAACTATTTGTTTTTGAAAGCAAAAAATGGGCAACTGGTTGGGGAATGATCAGAGTTAAGCCAACCTTCTCAGGCTCAATGGTGGCAGTGAACTTGGCACTAGTTCTTTCTTGCTTTAAACATTGAGCCAACTTGATCATAAAGAGCCCCTTCCAACTTGACCATAGACTCGATATTTGGCTATTATCGATTATAAATCTTACCATCCAGATGTTGTGATATAATTTTTTGTCCAATATATCTAATAGTTCATGCGGAAAACTGAGAAAGGAAATCCGAAAATAATTTGGATCTGCTGTGGATCGCTCTTCTTATTTTTCTACTATGAGTGGAACGAAAGTAATGCAATGCAAATGTACTACTCTGCTTGGTTATCTCGTTAGCCACAGAGTGTTTCACCACCATTTTTTGCTTTTTATTCAGTCCCCAAATGGTTCGACAATAGCACCAAGTGTATCCTTTTTGGTCCCATACCTTTCGATAATCTATCTATTTAGTTCTGGAACACAGACTGATTTAAATGAACAGAATAATTTGCATGTTGGTTATCTTGACCGGAGCTAACTTTATTTCTATGTTGCATGGTGCTTCTGATGGAGCTATAGTTCTTAATTGACACTTATAGCATGAGTTGAAGGCTGACATTCCAAAAGCAGCACGTGCATCATAATGGGTGGGCTTAAGCATAAACTACGATTCGCATATGCATTAATCTGTGTAAAATACTGTACTTAGAAGTTTACTCTTGAGACAACTGTGTCCTCAACAGTTATTTGTGGTGGCTTGTGTTGTGGATCTGAGCACTGGACTAATAGGTGGTGGTTTCATCAAAATCGGACATCATGGATATGGTTGCGTCCCAGTGACCTAGTGGACACAAATAATACCACATTTGATATTTTGGTGGATGATGGGATATTGACAGCGGCATTTTTGATAGCACCTTTTGCAGTCAAGATAGGGCAGCAGAAATGGTAAGCGTGCCTCATAGATCCCAAAAGTTTTTATGATGATGGTAAAAACAAAAGCAGAGGCTGTGAAGTTGATGGTAAAAATATTGGAAGCTAGAGAAGGGATTCCACTAATGGTGAAGAAACGTGTGACTACAATTCCAGACATGAATTGATAAACTCTAAATGATCCTATCATGCGTCTCAACAATGTTGAATGGATTTTGAAAACTTTGCTAATTTGTTTGATACCTGCTTTGTTCACGGTATTCCCGTCTGCTTCTTTTCCAATCTAAGAAAAATTGCACCTTTGTTTGGTTCCCTTGCGACAGTGAAGCGTTTTTTGATACCAATTGATCCGCACTTATGTACTTATCAAAAAACAGAATAGGACTGGAAATAGAGTTGAGAAACGGTTGCTTCTTGGAAATCCAGAACATCGCAATACCCTTTGGATGAGAGAATAAACCATAAAAAATCAGTGTTCAGTGAAACTGAATCTCTCTCTGTTTTTATTTGGTGAGATGCCTCTTAGGACACTTTTTTGATTATGCCGCAAAGGAAGGGAGGATTCCTAGTTACACAGAAGTGGCTGCTGCAATATATATCTAAATAATTCGAATATTTCTAAGCCTATTTGGAAAGTTTATGGAATCCTCAATAAAACGGTAGTTGTAGGAGCAAGAAATAGTTGTCTCACTATTTGCCATTTGTCTTTGTTTGAACATCCATACTTTCATTATCATGTTTTTTGTTGATTTTACTTAAAATTCCCTGGGTTAAGCAAAAGTCTGTTGTCTAAGTTATTGTTCTTTGTGATGCAACCTGCAGATCCAACTTATCCGGATTGAATGTAGAGTTCCAGAGTATGGTTGGACAACACAGAAGGTCTTTCACTTTCTAAATTTTATCGTCAATGCAGGTTTGATTTCTTCGTGCTGCATTTTTTTATATCTATGGGATGCGCATATTATGATACTGCGAATTCTTATTCTATTGTTTGTTTTCTGTTCCTTTCTGCAGTTCGTTCTCTTGTTTTTGTATTTCGTCGTAATGTGCAGAAGCTGAGGCCCGAGGTTTGACACTTTATTTCAGTTTTCTCTCAGATTAAACTTCTTTTTGTTTACCTAGAGGATCCTTATTAGGGCGAAATACCTCAGGTTATTCAGCATATTCTCCTAGATTTGCCTGGTCTTGCATTCTTCACAACATATGCGCTCTTGGTGTTATTCTGGGCAGAGATCTACTATCAGGTTGGTGTCAAGTTTTATTTTTCATGATCTAAACGTGATCATGTGGTCCATTAGTCTATGCACCTCCTCCCCACTATGTTCTCACCGCACCCTCCCGCTCCCCTCTTCTGGTTGCTGTGTGTTTGTTCTTCTGAGTGGGAAACTATTGCAGGCTCGTGGACAATCTACAGATGGGCTTAGGCCGGGTTTCTTTGTGATAAATGCAGGCATTTACGCACTTCAGGTAAGATTTTTTTTGCTGGTGGTCATCATTATTGGCTTTAGCATGTGTAGGATATGACTGACAAGAAGAATTGTGGGCGTAGAACTGGAAGACATGGTTAGTGTTGCCTCGTAAGTTAAACAAGAAAAGAAAAAATAGTGCAAAATTAAAATGCTCAACTAGTTATTACTACATGCAGCAGTTAAAGTTTAAAAAATGAAGTAATTCATGTCTTTTGTGTCTGTTCGCTGATGCAAACTAGTACTATTGATGACTGAATTGGAAACTCGTTGCTAGAAATTACTTTCTAAGTAAATATCTCAGGTATGACTTATCTATCTTTTGAGTATCATCAATCCGTAATTCTTTGAGGAAAATTATGCCTGTTTTTTCCTAATTTTGAACATAAAATTTTATTCCATCAAATAACCGAGTGTGGTGACTTTGTATAAGAGCTGAACTAGGGAGATGAATTCGTTTGTCTCCATTGTGGATCGAGGGATTTTTGAAAACCGTGGAATTCAAATAATTTTGGTTTCGATATGTGAGGGACTTCTGGGTTGTGATCTACTGTGAATCTAAGAACATATTTTTCATGGGCCATGACATTAAACTCAAGGGCGTGTTTGAGTTAGCATGCTAGAAGGTTTCTTGTGAAATTATTGTAAAAGGGAATATAACATCTTAGTTCTAGTGAGATGTTTATTAGGTATACAACCCTTTTTCCGATGTACCTTGGAAATATTTCACTGATTAAATAAAGTGTACTGGCACTTACATGGACTATTTACGTTGTCTCAAATGTGACCTGTGGTGCAGATAATTTTATGGTTATTGTTATGGTGGATGCCGGTCCATGGCCTGCTTGTCCTATCAAAAATTTTCGTTGCAGGTTGGATTTTCTGCCGTTTGCCCGTAACTTGGTGTTCTTTTTCGTGCTCGAAGTTACTTTACATTATTTTTCTCCCCCCAGGTGTCTCGCTCTTCGCTGCCCTTGGTTTTCTTGTCTATGGAGGGAGGTAAGATATTGCTTTTCTGGTTTCCAGTTATTTTTCTCGCGGATATTATCTCTCTAAGCCTTTGTTTATGGTAAATACTTACTTACAGATGGGTGGGAGAGGAGAAACTCTCTCTCGCACTTATCTGTATTCACTGATCAAGTTCATCTACCTCTAAGTCACTATGCATGCACACTAATGTCTGACATGAATCAGGCGAGGTTTTGAGTCCTAATACATATATCTTAGGCATTACATGGCCTATGTTTTTGAGACATTTCTTTTCTGGCCAACCTAATTAGATTATCCCCTTATTTGTTGTTATGTCTTCTTCCCATGGCTCCCATTCACATACATGCTGTTTCTACCCGACCATTCAGATGCAAGAGCTGGGTTGGATGTGCAGGTATGCACATCCAAAATCCTTCAGGGAGCAGGATGTTCTATCCAAATGACGCTCAAATACCACTCTTTCTAGGGTCCAAACAGTCTTGCTAAACATTCATCACCACAGAGTTCCGGTTGTTCCTGTGAAGAAGCTAGCAGGCTAAAGAATGAAATAAATGAACTCCTTCAAAGAATGATATGTATCTGGTCATGCTGACAGGCTCTACCTTATGCTACGACGCTTCCCAGTCGAGTCCAGAGGAAGGAGGAAGAAATTGGGGGAGGTTGGGATCATCTTCACTCATTCACATCACGCCCTTCGACGCACTCCTCTTTTCTCCTCCCTCTCTGAAATGCCTGCTTCTGTTCGTACAATGCAGGTTGGCTACGTCACTACCATTTGCTTCTCATGCTTCCTGATTAGATGCGTGATGGTGAGTGCGGCTCCAATCTACTTCTCCATCTCGATTGTTGTGGGCCGTCAATCAATGTCCTGTCTACTCTGTTCACCTTGCAGCTGTGCTTTAATGCATTCGACAAAGCTGCAGATCTTGACGTCCTCAACCACCCGGTTCTGAATTTCTTGTACTACTTGGTAAGGCATTTGGACATGCGTTGACTGGATATACTGTTAGAACAGGCACCGATGATCAGTCGGTGGAAGTAATTACCCATTTGAAAATTTCCTTTTTTTAATCTATGATTTACCGCTGTTCTTGGACCCGTTTCTTGGATCACAGCTGGTGGAAATCCTACCTTCGGCTCTGGTTCTGTTCATCCTGAGGAAGCTGCCCCCAAAGCGCGACCTCGGCCAGTACCACCCCATCCGATGAACGGCATGAAGAAGAAGACCATGCCGACCCTCCCCCCCCCCTTATAGGCGTTGACCGGCTTTGGAGTAGGGGTACTTATCCAATGCCGGGAGCCGAGTTCGAGAAGTCCCCCGAAAATGGCGGCGCCACCGAGGCCGGATGGGAAGCCCCTAATTGGCTAGAAGGCCTCTCGTCTGTGTGAATGAAAGAACAAATGTGTTGTGTGGTGTGCTTACTCTGTGTGATGTTATCTCCGATCATCCTTCTGTATTTCATCTTACTATGTGGCCCTAAGGTCAACTCTCTTCCTTCTCCCTTCTGGTTTTTGGGTGGATCTTCGAGATCCGTGAGCGGTGATGATCTTCGATCGAATCGGCCGGGGTGATGGCCTCAGTTCAATGTTTCAGGCAGATGATGATGAAGCAAGCAGTGCAGAGGAAGCAGGCGGGGAGGCTGCGTACCTTTCAAGCGAGGAGCGGGAGAGGATGAGCCCTTTGAAGCGGACGACGACCATGTTCGTTGCAGCTGTTCCTGCTCCGTCTGAGGCGATGAAGCCATGGATGTGGCCTCGGAGTTCTCTCCGTGAAGGGGACGATGGCTCTGATAAGTTAAAAATTCCGGCGGTCCACGGTACCACCCACCGGTCTATGCGCGCGTGCTGCTGAACGTTTGGTTTCACCCTTAATGGGCCCACCGGTCTCCCGAAAAACCCAATAAGAGAAATCCGAGAACGTGTACAGCTCAGTTTGATTTGGGGAAGGGGGAGATTGGGCCCATCAACTATATCAAGATTACCTTAGAATCGGCCAGGAGATTGGGCCCATCAACCGTATCAAGATTACCTTAGAATCGGCCAGTCTTCCGTAAACTTTGAGGGCCCAGGGAAACGTTTTGGGAAACTAGTACAAATAAGCCCTCGGGTAAAAATACAAAAGCATAAGAGGATCCTCATTATGTTATTTTGTGGGGGTATCCATTCCCCTTTGCGATGAGTTGACCTGAACAGGGAAGACCGTGGGAAATCTGCGCGCAGTGACTTCGTCTCGGCTTCTCCTCCTATTTAGGGCTCCGATCCCCCCAACGTGAGGCAGCCGGCGTCAAAAACTGCGACCGATCCAAGGAATGGGGTCTTCATCCGCTTCCACCGGCGTCCTCTCCCTTTTCCTCTTCCTTGGTCTCTCTTCTCTCTTCGTCGGAGCGGCTGCAAGACCCTGCAAGACCCTCTTTATTGCCTATACCTTCTCGTCCGACAACTCCGTCGACGGGTACACCGGTACCTCGATCGAGGTTTCGCAGATCTCCGCCACCGGAGATCAGGGCCCGTCAAGGTTCCTCGCCATTTACAGGTTGATTCCCCTGCGCTACTACCTCCGCAATCCGTCTTATTCTTCTTCCGCGGCGGCCGCCACGGAACCCCTGGCCACCGACATCCGCCTCCCCGTCGGGATCGACCGTCCCTCTCTTCCTCGTCACGTTCTCGATTCGGAGCCATCTTTCGGCATCAGCTCGCTCCGGGAGCGCGCCAGGGACATCCTGGTGGTTGTGGCCGGCCTCCTCTTTGGCGTCGGTTGTGCTGCTCTCACATCTGCCTCGGTTTACCTCGCATGGTACCTGATCAACAGCCGCTATGAGTTGGCCAGCGCGGACGGGTACGATTATGTTGACGATGATGACTCAGTGGATGACATGGAGAGCCCCAAGAAGATGGGCTATGTCGGTCTCCCCGCTTTATCTGCAACCCCGGTTGCCCCTCTCAAGGAAGGGTTTGAGGGAAATTAGTGTAAGGCTTTGTGAGAAAACTTTGTGTTGATAATACTGTTCTGTGGTGAAACCTGTGGACCTGTTGGTTTAAATCCTGTCTCCTATGATGAATTATCAGAAGAATTCATCGCTATATGCCTATTCAGTTTCCATGAAAATCCATTAATAGATATGCCTATCATTCACTGCATTGTTTCTTGTGAAATGCCTGGCCTTCCAACGGCCTCAAAGGACTAATGCTTTTTCCGTTTGTGAAGACGATTATATTGGTTTATGGAATGCTAAACTCAAAATTACTTCTGGTTATGTAAGGGTTATTGTGGCTACATGACAACCGTTTCAGATGCTTTGTTTATTTGTGGTTGTTGCTGAAAAGTATCTGATTGATATTCTCTTCTCAAATGTCTTCCTTTGTCCAAAGGTGTACAAGTCCTCTTATGTATAGAATTTAATCAGATTTTTGAATTATAACAAAGCTGTAGCGTACAAATCCAGTCTGTTGCCCAGAAAATGTAGCATTGATTAGTTCCAGAGCCTAGAGGTTCTAATGAAAGGGATATTTACTTGGGAGGTGTGATTGGGCCTGCTGACTTTGGAGATCAATGTTTTTTTTTTACCTGAACTTGTTGCGGTGAACTTAAATGGGTTTCTGGTTAATTTGAAGGACGTGCTTCTCCCTTCTAGTCTGCTTATGAAAATTATTGTGATATTAATGCTGGCAAACTCATGGCAAGTGTTGCTCTGTTATCAAATAAAAAATAGGTGATATAATCTCGTCTCGTGAAGCCCAACGTTGGATGCCTGAAAAAGAGCGATAAGTGCAAACGTGTTAACGGAAGGAGAAGCATCCGTACAAAAAATTGGACCGTTTCCTTTATTTAATAGATGTGCAGGAATGTTCATAGAAACATTTGGGAGATAGAAAGAATAAGAGATTCTGATACCATTTGCTTCGGATGTAAAATGGAAATAAAGCATCCCATTTGCTTCTTTATGCAGCTTTTGTTTAAGTTAATGGCTGAACATCTCTGACTTCGTGTTCCACCGCTAAGAGAATTGAAACTCTGGAGGTTGAAGTTTCATTTAGAATATGGTCCGTTTATAGTTTAATATTTGCCATATTAAATAAAGTAAACTCAGTATATATGCACTGCACTTCAGTCCATCCTCTCTTTTTCTGTTTTTAAAAATCATACTAGGCTCTCATAGTGAGTTATCTCGTGGTGAATGTATTCTTTCTCCTGCTTTGTCAACATTTCTCACCATTTCTTAGGCATTCAGAAAATATCCAGTTCTAATTTAGGCTGGATAGACTGTTTAGTGTTTGGTTTCAGATTTTGGCAACAATCCTGATCTAAATTCGATAGCTTAATATCATTGTCACCTCGTGGAGGATCCACAGTTGTAGTTAACATTGTTGCAGAGTATCCCTCGTATCTAACTCATGCCTGTCGCAGCATATCATGAATATGCTGCGATGAAGATCACATCGATCCTGATCTCGCAATTGATAAACCTTTAGGGTATCAGAGCTCCGGGAGATTTCACCGGGTGAGATAAGGTTCTTAAGTAAGAGTTAGGTAGTTCCTAAATTTTTCTGCAAAGGTAGTAATAATGTGTGTAATTACCTAGACAACTGCATCCAGTGTGGAAGATGAATTTTTGGCTTCCTGGGATGTATCTGACCGGCGTCTGTTCTACTCTTCTTGTCTTGGTTTCTAGTGAAGGCATGCAAGTTAAGTTTTGTAAGCTTTCATTCATTTTTTTTTTCAGAAAACCAAACCCCTCCTCTGGAGGCGTCAGCGAAGCCTTGATTATTTTATGAACAGAAAAAGATGAAAGCTTTCATAAGTTTAACTCGCATGCCTTCACTGGATACCAAGACAGGAAGACTGGAAGCCCTTGTGATCTCATCCGAACGAGGGGTAGAGAGAGAGAGAGATTGAAATCATATGAAGCTGTTCAAACCAGCTCCTAACCTGCCCATGATATCATATTCTCGATCACCTGGTGCTTGGCACACATCGTAGGAACTTGCTGAACTCAAGAAAATCCAGGTTTTTCACCATGAATTCCGCCAATCCCCATTTAGGATCAACGGAGACCAGCCAACTTGGCCGGCCATGGAGATCGGGCTGAGAAAGCAAAGACGCCTCCAGGATGATCCAAATAGACGAATGAATCTGAATGAATAGACCCTTTCTGATAAAAAAATTCCCTTTTTTGGGGGCGTAAAGGGCTAGAATATCACCAGTTCCAGAAGAATCGGCTTATTCAGGCCTCGGAATCCCGATATGTGTGCCACTTGCTGTACCTCTGGCTGCCGACCAGAGCGGGCCTCAGGCGGGAGGCAGCCGTACAGTCTGAACAGCAGCACCCCTTCATCTTCTCCACACACCTGGAGCAACACCTGAGAAACGAAGAACACGAAACTTGTGAGGGGGGCTGACGTTCATAAACTGATTCGATTGATGAGGAGAGGGGAATTGATGAGATCGATGGCTTACAAGAAGAGGAAGTTACAGTCCAGATTTGCACAGTTGCGGTGTCTGAGCTCGGCCACCCGAGACCGGCAGATATAGCAGCTGGCGAAGGTGCTGTTGCCGTCCTGGGGGATGGCCTTCTCTTCTCCCCTGTCCTCGCTCTCCGGGTTGTAAGCCGCAGGCGGGAGCGAGAGGCGGGAATCGAAGACGAACAGGTTCCCCAGCCACTCCGCGGGGCCCTCGCTCTTCAGGTAGTGCGAGACCCCCCCGCTGAGAGTGAACAGGTTCTGAAACCCCTTCTCCCTGCCGTCCAAGAGCTCTCCCAATTTCATGATCATTTATCTGGGAAACAAACATCTCATTTATTTATCTGTATTTTTATACCTCAAGATTGTAGAGTAGACATCACAGCGGATGCCGCTGGTGCAGTACATTAAGACGTCAGTGTTCTCCTTGTCGATTCCGGCCAATGGGTCAGAGTCAGCTGACTGGATAGAGGGAGAAAACAAATCAGAGGACATGAAACTCGCCATGAAATCTGAAGAACGTGAAGATTACGATCAAATCACAGGCAATGTGTGCGCAAATACTACCTCTGATTGCCCAAAAGTGGTGCTGCGGAAGCAGTCCACATTAGGCCGCTGGGCTCCTCTGAAATGCCCGATATCCCACTCATAGCCTGAGAATGAGGATGAACACGAGGATGAACAATAGGATGATCGTCCCGAGGATTCTAGATTCATTCATGGCTGCGGTTACCGTTTCTGACATCCAAAAGCAGGCACTTTCTGTCTTGGCTCCCGGCTTCTCCCCCGCCCAGGGCTTCACCCTTCGCTCCCTGCAGCCTGCGTCTCCACTCGGAGGGGGGCAGCGGAGTGGCCCGCTTCGCGGGATCCACCAGAGGGAGGTGCGATGCGCCGCCTTCCAACTGGAATCAGACAAGCATGAGGTACCCATGACGTGGAAAATGGATGGTATTTTGAGTTACTGAGGGCAAGTGACGAATCTTGCCTGGACAAGAGAAGGTTTATACCGCAGTTTCAGCCGGGGAAAAGCGTGACCGCCCGTAGCCGGCGAAACCTGGACCAAGATGCCGGAGAATCGATCGTCCCCTCTGAGCCACTTGGCGTAGGCCAGGGCGTCCTCACGCGGACCACTGTACTGCACGAACCCCAGAAGGATCAAAGGGAGTGAAAATGGAGCACTGCCCGCTCAACTGCGAGGCGCCTGAGGAAGGAGGACACAGCGGTTCTGTTGCAGGAAATAATTCAGCAACAGGATCTGTAAATGGAAGGATTATCTAATCACAGTTGACAAAAACGTGGAGCAGTTCTGACCCGCAGGTCAGCGAGACGAACCCAGGACGAGGAGCACTGGAGATGCAGATTTTTGGTTTTTACTGGGAACAGAGACGAGCCCAGCAGAGGCATTAAGATCCTATGAATCAGTGATCCGGTGAATTTTTTGCTGATAATGAGTGGGCAAGAAAAGGTAAACCTTGACTTAAAGTGCCGAGTTATATTTTGAACTTAAAAGTCAGCTTAAGCATTAACTTTCAGACAAAATCGACGGCTCAGCATGATAAAATGAGCAAGTTAATGAAGATGTTAAGCTGGTTAAACTAAGCCAGCTAGATTTTCAGAGGAAAAAAGAGAGAGACCTGTGCGTTGATCCCTTGCTCATTGATATATATCCGACCGTGTATATCACGCCCCTGGGAAAGAAGATAAGCCGATATGAATAAGCGAGAGAGGGAGAGAGAGAGAGAGAGAGAGAGAGAGAGAGAGAGAGCTACCTGGAGGAACATGAGGTGGTTGGAGACTTCTGCCTCTGGGCTCTGAATGGGGACGAAGTGATAGAAATTGACGACCAAGAAGTCTTCATCAGCCGGCTGTCCGCCATCGTAACCCTCAGAAGATGGGAGCCCACTGGCCGCACAGAACCGCGCTACTCGCTGCTGCTTCCGCCATTGCTGAGAGCACAAGGCCTCGAGCCTCCCTGGACAGACCAGAGACGTCCGCAGGGGGAGAGCCCTCACGGTGACGACGAGCGGCCTCCGCAGAGGAAGCGGGCACCGCCTCCGCGAAAGAGAGGAATCTGAGCCGGTTAGAACTGCAACCTCTCTCCCCCTACAGCCAGGGATCCCCATTTCTTCCCTGGATGCGAGTGTGAGCCCCCGCCCTCTCTCTCTCTCTCTCTCTCTCTCTCGTCGATCGCTCTCCGTTATCCCTAAGTGGAGGGTTATTCTGGTCATAAAGTAGGAGAGCCGAGAAGAATTTCAGAATTTTTTTACTGCGAGTAAGATCAGACTGGGTCAACTAAAAATTCGTCTTTTGGATTAAATTGACCTAATCCAATATTGACCCTCTTCGAATTCAACCTCGCCGTCCTCGGAGGCGCCGCAAACTCATCCCCCGGAGACGTGGGTTCCGGCCCCGGAGGTCCCCCATGCGCCGAACATCCTCCTCCGTGCCCGCCGCCACCCTTTTCCCACCTCTCCCTAGGCATGGGGACTGCCTGAGGTTGGGGGTGGAGGTGGGGGACGGACAGCTGGAGGACGCAAGGTGGGCAGCGCTGGAGAAGGGAGGCCCGTTCCCAGTGTCCTTCTTTCTGGGTTTGAAATTTTCTTGAAAAAAAATTCCCGTTCTTATCTGGGTTAAAAGATCAAACACTTTTATGGAATAATGGTCCGATCGCACTGTTCTTATCTGATCGCGGAAAGAAAACTGAAAACTGACTTCGCGGGATTCCGCCGTCTCGCGCGGAACGATGACGTAAGCGTTCATGTACGCCGCCGCCTCCTCACACGTCACGAGAAATTCCTCCTCATCGTGGTGGTCGTCTCCGCCACTGCGTCTTGAAAACGAGTTCTTCGGTCGGTTCGGATTCCTCCTCTTGGCGCGCCGCCCGCTCGCTTTCCTCATCCCCACCGACCCACGAACTCCGCTTCCAGCCTCCCGTTTGATACCTCACCGGTCTCCATCTCTGCTCGTCTCTCGAATCCTCATCCTGCCCCTCCCCCTCCCCCTCTCCCTCCGAGAAGTTCTCTCTCTCTCCTCCATCTCTGGTCTCTCTGAAAGCAAGGGAACTAGTTCGATGGAAGACTACGCCTGGTTTGACGACGTCGCCGGAGAATCGGACGGGGAGCTCCGGTGGACCCTCGACGGCTTTGCCGATCTGCTCCCTGCCTCAGGGTACCAGAACCCCTGCTTCCCCATGTCCCCGCTTCAATGGCGTTGGTTCTCGTCGACAACCTAGAATTCGATTGGATCATTTATCGCTCTCTTCCCATCTCTCTGATGACTCAACATGCATCAATCCTCTAGGGTTTTGCATAGCCGATCATGAACTCCTAGTATCCTTCGTCGGCTCAAGCCGACCCGAACCAAAATCCATTGGGGAATGCATATGGCAGTGATTGACAAAAGACCTGATCGGATTATGCGACTCAACTGTGTATCAGGCTGTCGATTGAGAGCTCGGACGTAGATCGCGGCGGACCACGCCAGACAGGCCGAAGAAAAAGGTACATTTTCTGATCATGATTTTTCTTTGCACATCGAATCTGATTCTTAAACATGCGGAGGGTTCCAAGAATCTAAACATCCATGGCGCCTTTTTGTTGGGTTCGTCTTAATCTCTCCCGGGTGAATACTTTTCTACACGAATGCTGTCTTAAACATGCGGAGGTCTCTGCTTTCTAGAGAAGGATCCGTGGGGATGATCCCTTTCTAATGGAATCAGTGTTTACTCTCTGATCTAAACATTTATTAGATTTCGTTTCTCTGTAAAAAAAAAAGAAAAAGAAAAAGAAAAACAACTTCCGGTTTCTTGGTTGGATCTGATTGAATCTCTATCCGCGGCTGTTTAGGGTTTTCCGGATATCGGATACCGATTTCGGCGGAGAAAATGGCCTCCCTTTCTTCCCCATTTGCTCCCATCTTTGAGCCCTCTTGTCCGCATTACTCCGCTGGTATTTGTTTCCCAGATCAGATATTATTCGATAATCCCGTGTGCATATAACATGAGTAATATTCGGGTATATGTGAGGATGTTTTCCAGGGCAGTTCAGTTCATGATATCGGGTTGTCACTGATATCCTCGCAGAGCCAAAAGAGCGCTGTTGATTGAACCGAGCTCAAAAGCTTGCAGGGAGAAAATAAGGAGAGATAAGCTGAACGACAGGCACTCTCTCTCTCTCTCTCTCTCTCTCTCTCTCTCTCTCTCTCTCTCTCTTGTTGGGGTTGGAGTCATGAGGAGTTCGCTGGTACTTATGTTCCTTCTCCCAGGTTTGAAGAACTGAGCGCTGTACTCGAGCCGGGGAGGCTTCCGAGATCAGATAAAGCTAGCATCTTGAGCGACGCAGCTCGCGTTCTTGAGCAATTGAGGCATGAAGCGAGGCAACTCAAGGAATCGAATGAAAATCTTCAAGATGCGATCAAAGATCTGAAGGTATCCTTGCCGTTTTTATTTATCAATATATAATTTTTACAACATCTGTAGAGTTTCAGATACATTCATTGGGTAAGGTTAATCTTCCGTGACCAGCTTCTTCTTCCTCTGGACTGTTGTCGACAGGCGGAGAAGAACGAGCTCCGCGATGAGAAGCTGAGACTGAAGGCGGACAAGGAGAAGCTGGAGCGACAGATCAAAGCTCAAGATCCTGCTCCGGCGAAGACCACCACCACGCCGTATCTTCTGTATCCGGGAGTCTCACTGTGGCCATGGCTGCCCCGCCATGCTGTGGACACCAGCCAGGACACCAGGCTCTGGCCTCCCAATGCGTAGAAAAAGCATAGGATGTTCTTGGATAGAGGTCCCCTCGAGGTGGGCTGTTGCAGAAATGGCGATTCCCCTGAATTCGTAGGCGGATTTGACCTCAGCTTCTAATGGTGGGAATTATTTGATCGAACACTTCTTCGGGAGGAGACGGTAGCCCTGGAGAGCCGTGTTCCTCACGCGAAGGACCCCACGGAACAGAGACTCGGCGGCGCCGCCGAGAGAATCTAACCCCTCCGTTAGCCCCTCTGTTGCCCTCGCTAGCTCCTTCACGGAGCTGCGCAGCTGCTCCTCCTCGCGGGCGGGCTCGGTGATGATCTGAGAGAGACGCCGCACGGCGGCGTCTACGCCCTCCGCCGGCCACCCACCGACGGAGCAGGAAAGAGCGGCGGCCCGGAGCTCGTTGAAGGCTTTGGCCCACGGAAACTCCCGCGGAACCTCCGCCACGGCGGCGAGATGGGCGGCGCCGCCGCCGAGGGACGAGACCCAAAACCCGGCGACCAGCGCAGAGACCGCTTCCACGGCGTAGACGGCCCGTCCCAGCGGCGTCACCGGCGCTTCCCGCCGCGTAAGCCGCAGCACCAGCCTTCCTGATGAGGAACCCTCCCACTGGTTGAGAACCTCTCGGGCCTTACGAACTTTCGTCGGCGTGGGAGAAGACAGGAGCTGGACGGCGAAGAGCAGCAGAAGCCGACCGCGGCGGAGTCGCTGGATCTCCTCGGAGAGGGAGTTGCAGAGGTCCAAGAGCCTGAGGCTGTCACCGAGGTAGGCGGCGACGGCGGCCTCGTCGGAGCCGGACAGGAAGGGGTCAGAGAAGAGCGATTCCAAGAGACGGTGGGCAGAGGACAAAACTCCGACGGCGCGAGAGAGGTAAGGGAAGGAGGCGGCCGGCCCTTCGCCGCCACCGTTGCCGGAGCTGGTGGGGTTCAGGGACTTGAGCTTGCAGACGAGGGATTCTTCGAAGGTTTGGAAGAGTAGGAGGGGGAGAGCTTCGCCGGAGGGACGGGGGGGGGGCTTCCCGGGGGGGGAGGCACCCATGAGAGGGAGTGGCCGCAGGTGGAGGTACATCAGGAACAGCAACAACAACAGAAGTAGAGAGAGAATCAGAATCAGCAGGAGATGGAGAACAAGGGTAACGTGTTAGTGACCGTTTACATATAGGGGAGGAGATGCCAGCTCGAGGGGCTAATCTGGTATGTCGCCGCTAGATTCGAAACCCAGTGGGCGGTGATTGACAAGGACGCGACCGTCGATCTTATCTCCACGTGTCAGGTTTTCTTGTGATACGTCTTCGTGACCGCCAGCCGGGCATTCTGGTTGATTATAGAAGCCCAGGCCCATAATTTTAGGAAACTGGGCCTAACTGACAATAAACGGGCCTTCGTAAATGGGCCTCGATGCCCTTAACATCACTGTCACTGTCGCACTTACCTTTCAAGTATCTGTACGTCGGTGGAAACCTCCGTCGTCGCTGCACATGGAGACCGGAGGAAGAAGACCATCGGAGAGTGGGGCTCCTGGGGGTGGGTTTGGTTGGGAAACAGGACAAGGCAGGGTGCAGGGTAGAAGGGATTAGCGAGAAACTGACCTACCGTCCACCCTCACCCTCCCTCACGCAGAAACTATGGCCTTCTTCCTCATCATCATCATCTTCTTCTTCGTCCTCTGGTGGTGTCGATATATTCCGGGCCGGAGAGGGTGGTCTTCTCAGAGCTGCTGCAGGGTCATGGGGATCTTGGGGGAAGACGGGGGCCTGCAGCGGCCGGCGCTGTTCTTCTTCCTGCTGGCGGCGGGCCTCGTCTTCCTGGACCCGCTCCGGCTGGGTCCCTTGGGACAGCACGAGTTCAGGCCCGTCAAGCACGACATCGCGCCTTACGCGGAGGTGATGACGGGGTGGCGGGGGGACCGGGAGGGGCGGCTGCGTGCAGGGAGGCGGGAGTTCGCCGGCGAGGTCTTCGGCCCCGAGTCCATGGAGTTTGACCTCGACGGGCGGGGGCCATACACCGGCCTCGCCGACGGCCGCGTCGTCCGCTGGATGGGCGACGCCGCAGGGTGGGAGACCTTCGCCCTCGTCACTGGAAACTGGTGAGCCTCCTCCTCCTTCTTCCTTCTGCCGCCCGGTAGTCTAACGCAGCGGTGGCGGCCGCGGGCATGTGAAGGTCGGAGGAGGAGTGCGGGAGCGGCGAGGCCTCGACGACGAGGAAGCAGCACGGGAAGGAGGAACTCTGCGGGAGGCCCCTCGGCATGCGGTTCGACAGGAAGACGGGGGAGCTGTACATAGCCGACGCCTACCACGGGCTCATGGTCGTCGGGCGTGGCGGCGGCGTCGCCACCCCGCTGGCCACCCACGCGCAGGGGAAGCGCATCCTCTTCGCCAACGACCTCGACGTCCACCGCAATGGGTCCGTCTACTTCACCGACACCAGCGCCAGATACACCAGAAGGTGAGAGAGTCCTCAAACCCTTCCCACTTCGCTTTCTCCTCCTCTCACCGGCGGTGGTGGCTCGTCGGAGCAGGAACCATTTCCTCATACTGCTGGAAGGGGAGGCCACGGGGAGGCTGCTGAGGTACGACCCGCCGACGAGGACAACCCACGTCCTGCTCACCGGGCTGGCCTTCGCCAACGGAGTGCAGCTATCGGAAGACCAGACCTTCCTCCTCTTCGCCGAGACGACCAACTGCAGGCAAGCCAAGCGAAGCGCCACCCACCCACCCACCCACCTCCTCTTCTTCCTCGTGAAAACCCTAATCGCAGGCCCTTAATTCCGGCGGCAGGGTGATGAGGTACTGGCTGGCTGGGCCGGCGGCGGGGAAGGTGGAGGTGTTCGCGAACCTGCCGGGTTACCCTGACAACGTGCGGGGGAACGGAAAAGGGGGATTCTGGGTGGCCATCGACTGCTGCAGGACGCCGACGGCGGACTTCCTCTCCCGAAATCCATGGCTGAGGAGCGTCTACTTCCGGCTGCCCCTCCGGCTGAGCTTCCTGGCAAAGCTGGTGGGGATGAAGATGTACACCGTGCTGACCCTCCTCGGCGGAGACGGGGCCACCCTGGAGGTGCTCCAGGACAGGCACGGCAAGGTGGCCAAGCTCGTCAGCGAGGTCCGCGAGGTGGACGGCAAGCTCTGGCTCGGCACGGTGGCGCACAACCATATCGTTACCCTCCCCTATCCTCCCCCAACTTTGACAAAGGGGGAAGAAGACGAAGAAAGCTAGCTTCTTTTTTTCCTCTTCTTTTCCTTTCCCCCTTCCTCATCACACACAATATATAAACCCCAACGAACATTAAAAAAAGAAGAGAGATCTCCTGCAAAACTAGTCAGCTGATCACAAGTTCCTGGTTCATCTGCTCTCTCATATCATGGATCATAGATCAGCCTGCGCTGAAACTACATCAACACTAACAAGTTAGATCAAGTACAATAAAAAAGCCAGGAAAATTACGGCTCACTTAACCCCCACAGAAGCCATCAGGTCCTCGTACTCCGGATCCCCGCCGCCTCCCTGCGGCCGAGGGAGTGTCGGAGGGATGGAAATCGGAGAGAAGGGGACGTAACCGTGGGGCGGCCGCACGGGGGGGGACGGACCCTGCTGCCCGTGGGCTTGGATCAAGGCGGCGGCCCGCGACGGCGCAGACCCCGGTAGGCCGCTGGGAGGTGCGGGGAGAAAGTTTCTTCCCACATCTACCTGGGAGGAGCTCAAAGGGCCGGCATTGGAGAAGGAAGGAAGCCTTGTGGAGGCTAACATATTTGCTGGATTGGCAGAGAAGGGGAGGCCAACAGAAGCCGGAGGAGGTTGCCGGAGAGGGCCCGGCATCATCATCCCTAGGTTTGGGGCGGCGGGGCGGAAGGACGGCTGCTGTGGCGCTGGGGCAAATAGTGGTGGTAGCTGGGCGGCGGGGCTAGGGTTGTTCGGAGGTGCGGAGTGAGGGCTGGGCATGGGAGAGGACGCTCTGTGTGGCTGGAAGGTGAAGTCTCCGAGGCTCAGGTGCTGAGGCTTCGGCGAGGTGATCGGCAGGACGCTAACAGATGGTTTCAGGGGGAAGAAGCCGCCCATTGCAGGCTGCCCAGAGACGGCAGGAACAGTCAGCTGAGACGGCGGAGCAACCGACGGTGCAGCGGCTATGGAGGACACCGGCACCGGTGGCCTCGTGGTGGAGAAAGGAACTGGCTGAGTTTGGGTCTGCACTAATGGATATGGTGAAGGGCTTGTAATTGCCGGTAAGGATGCTGATGATGACACAGAGAATGGGCGAGGAGACAGAGAGGGCACCCGACCAGGCGGCATAAATGTGGGTGTAGCCGACGACCCCATGGCTGGTGCAGGAGCATGAGAAGGAGCTTTTGAGGAATGCTGATGAGAGAAGGGAGGCCGGGGAGTGAAGTTCTGCCCGGGTTGGAAAGGAGCATTGCCTCGTTGAACCACAGGATGAGGCATCTGAGGAGGAATAGACGAGGGAGGAAACATGCTAAACATGGTATTTGGTCTTTGAGGCAGCGGTGGTGTAGTGGATGTCAACGGCCTACTAGTGTAAAGGAATCCGCCCCCAGGTGATGCTGGCCCTGATTGTGGGATCATTGGGGTTGGTCTTGTCTGTGGCGTTGACTGAGGAGCCTGGGGGCCCATGGGAGGATATCCATGGCCCGAAGGTGCAGTGTGTTGACTCAGAGGCGGCCGGAAATTCTGCATGTTGTGGGATTCAGGGCCAGAGACAGCAGGTGGAGGAAATTGGCTGATGGATGTTGGAGGGAACCCAGAAGATGATGGGGCTGAGGTAAGATAAGGTGGAAAATGAGGAGGCCATGGACCAGGATATGGCTGAAAATGGGGCAAGGCAGCGTGCGCAGGCGGAGCCACTGCTGGTTGCACCACGCCTTGATAGGCCACGCTGACAGGGACCGTCGAATGTGCTGGGACTGAAGAATCCTTCTGACTTTGGTTGGCATCGTCCACACCATCCCCAGCTGAAACTGCAGGAATAGGCTGCAAAATGGAATGGTGTGAGGGGATTGGATGCTGGCATCTAAGTTGTGTGGAAAGCTAACATTGTGGGTGAGAGAGAGAGGGGAGGGTCTGCTTACAAATACGGGAGTGACTAGAAGCTCAACAAGAGAGACCGCAGCGTCGACTTTCTCGTAGGTATCCGCTAAGATATGGACGTAAAGGTCGTCGTAGATTCCCTGAGCTTCAGCCGCGTCTGACCGAGTGATTTCACACTGCACAGGAATGCATCTCGCATGTCAAAACAATGACGACGACGAAGAAAAAGGGGCATATGTCGCATGCTGCTTACGGATACAAAAAAGTTAGTGTAACAGGACTAATAACATCTGTATCAGGCACATGCAGAATATGGATCACTTTATGGTCAAGTTGATGTGATTACATGTTTCACAATATTCGGTCACTGAGTTTAATCTCAGAAACAAAGTTTGAAGTATAAGATTTGCTCAACATTTACCATCATTTACTTGCGTACCTCCTAACCACAATGATTTGGGCAGGGAATCGATGGGGTAGTTTAAGAAAGGATTTAGAAACCTACATACTGACACTTCGAGATCATGAATTGTGTTGTTTGAGATCAACCAGCTCACGAATTGGCAAGAAAATGATAATCAATCCTAATGAGAAGCAAAAGTATCTAATTTACGAAAGAGTAATTGAGTAAATGACAATTTAAACTTTAGAATCCCACGCGTCGGCAAAAAATTCTGGAATGGCTGTAAATTATAAATAATAAGTTCATAGGCACATTCATCTTTTACTTGCACTTTTTTTCTTCTCCTTTGTGAGGGGTTGGATGCTAGTATGCTGACTGGATTTTAGCAGGAAAATTATCATTCAGAAGTTATGTTCAACACTAATACCAGGGCCTTGCGCCTGCCAACCAGCAAACCCACCTTCCTGATCAAGCAAACTCGTACGAAGAGAAAATGCTTCATGGTTTCGTAAACGGAAAGGAGAAATTAAGAAAAGCCTTTTCGTGTTATCAGACATGCGACTAAAGAAAGAAAGTTTCCCTGTAACTAAAATATAACATTCTGCTTCCATCAAACGCCGTGCGCCAAATAAAATTACAAAATAAAAAGGTCTACCAGGGAAAGAATTCTGGATTTTTTCACGGTAGCTAGGAAGGTGATGCTATCAATCCAGAAGGCACAAGAACAAAATCGAAAAAGAATTCTCCCAGATTGCGAACAATGCTATCTTGAAATAGAAGGCAGATTAAATAGACAGCATTAAGCACAAACAATGACTATAAAACCTCTATAGCAGAGTAATACCTTCTCTCTTGACGTTCTTTTGGTTCCATATACACGTACTTTAGCACCAGTTTCCTAGTTTAAACAAGCAATATGAGTATCGATCACTCAAGGATAGATCCGTCATCAGGCACAGTTTACATCTACCAAAGGTATACAGGCTTACTTCTTCTAGTCGTTTCTGGGTATTACTTGCAGGCCCCAATATTAGCCCGATAAAGTTGTACCCAGGATGAGCTTTTACCTATACAATGGAATAAAGAGACAAGTCAAAATAAGAGAAATCATGGATATCGCAGGTAATTATTAAAGTTCATGAATTTTATCCTAAAAACAGAAATGATTGTTTCTTGTACACCAAATAATGATTTGCTGATGCGCACATAATTTTGATGTAAATCCAGAACATAATGGCATCAAAGACGGCAAGAAATTACTCCTAAAAAATGGACCTACGTTTGTATATATAAAATAAATGCAACGATTGTGTGATTTAGGCGATTGTTTCCCTTTCCGTCGCCAATTAAGTGGAAATGAAGTACCCAATTCCACCGAAAATGCATTTGGCTGATTTAATTTTTAGTTATTTTTCCAAGGCCCAATATCAACGATATGGACGTTGGGTTTGAGAAGAAAAAGATGAAATCCCCACCGTGTTTGTGGTTATAAATTATGCCAACCGTCTAGAATGCATTCTAGGGCTAATCCTTATAAAGATATTTAATATTCAAGGCAAATGTTCTGCAACTAAATAGATGTATTTGCAGTAGTTGATCATAACAAATTGCATGCATATATACAAATAAAAATTGTGTGCATTTAGCAAAAAATTCTAACGCAATCTCATGCCTTCTGCTATTAAACAGAATTCTAACGCAATTATGTGCATTTAGCAAAAAATTCCCTAAATGGAGCCTTTCTAGTTTGAAAGATAACACTGAAGCATTCAAGTTGTGTTGCCCAAGAAAGATCCACCACAAGTTACAGATCAATGACTCAATGATAGTGTTTGAACCAATCCAGACTAATTCAGTAATGATTCAATGACCTACCCCTAAAATTCAGTCAGCAGGACACGTGTGCTGCAATGGAGCTGTTCCAGGAGGTGATTAACAATAACCATGCCAGCATCCTAATGTATTACTAATCTTCAGCACATTTTAGGTCAATGGGGCTTTCTGAAACGTACAGGTCAAGTGAAAATTTCTCACATTATTTAAATTTGTGTGCCAGCCACGAAGTGATCATTCTTGCCTGACGTTAGAAACCATTGTTTAGTGTGAGATATTTTATAAAATACACGTGAAACCAAAATAGTGAAAATAAGAATAAAAATACCAAACAAAACATAGTGTGAGATATTCTATGCCTTCGAAATAAATTGGTCCGACAGAATAATAAAAAAATAAAAGGGAAGCATTTTCCAAGGGCGTCTAGTGTACTAACTGAAATGGGAACTTTGGCCTCTTTCAGAAGTGGTTTGTAATCAGGTGGGGCTTTATAGTTGGGATTCAGCCGCAATATTTCACCTGAAAACCCAGAAGGTACAGTTAGAAAAAACCTATTTTCTCCCGATACAATATGGATGCTTAGGGACAATGCGAACTTACCAATGAGTTCCCGCTTCTCTAACTCCAACGACTCACGATTGTGGGACTGTAGAGTATAATGGTATGCGTTCAAAAAATACCCAAAATGAAATTTAAAGAGAAAATCATAGTCGCAATTCATCACATATCCGTCCCATTTCAATGGGAGACATACCTTGGAAAGATTTAACTGATCAACAGAATCTACATTAGAAGACCGTTCTGGTGTTTGTGAGCCTTGATCCTCCCCAAGCTCCAAGGATCCAGATTTCAGCTGCTGTGTAATTTGCTCCACTCTAGTCTGCTCAAAATTTGTACCACCACACAGGCAGTAATATCACTTAATGCCACCTGGAATGGGAAGCTTTCCTATATGAGATGTTCGCAAGAAGGGTAATGGCATCTTCACACCAATTGATGAAAGGAGGCATCGAGTTTCCAGATAAAGGGGATGCTTCCTTACACCCATGGTGTGATAAATTTGCCTTACCCATTCAAGAGAGCAACTACCTAAAAGGATAAAGGGTGCATGTAATGAAATGTAAAGAAGCAAAGGAACTAGACAATGTAGTGCAAAGAATGTGGATTTTTACCGTGATTTCGTACAAACAATAAACATATCAGTCGAATGAAACTAAATATTAAGTGTGAATAATACCTGATAGGCAAGAGATCTTCCTTTCCTGACAGATGCATCCTGTGTCAGATCAACACCCCATCGCGTTTTCCTCTGAACTTGCTTACTATTTTCTTCCTTTCCTACATCGCCAGAGTCTACCTTGCTAACTCCTCGATAGATGGGAACCAAAGAGCCAGATAATTTATTCTTTGGTATGACAAATCCAGATTTAATTCCAAACATGGAGACTTTAGGACTGTTGGCTGAATTAGTAGATATGGACTTTGCAATAGGTGACTGTGCAAGCTGAGAGTCATTGGCCGAAGTTGAATCAAGTTTTGATGCCATCTTGTTCACCAGAGATATTCTTCTGAATCTTTTCTAGATAACATGATAGGCACCACAGAAACAGAGAAGATCATTTAAAACATTCTAAACATAAAAATCCATATATAAAAGAGTTCAACCGTTGAGAAAAACGAAATTTAACATATCACTGAGTACGACTGTTGTAATATGACATTATTGGGGCGTATGAATTTGAGTGACCGTATCTCTTCAGCATGCAAACTGTTTTAGCGGCAGCTGACTGTTCTGAATAACATCTATCTTTTCATATTTTTGGTAAATGATTGGCATTATCGGCAAATAATGAGAGCTCACAAGTTTTGTGGCATCTATGCAAGTTAGCCGACATTGAAGTATACGATAACAAATGTGCAAATGTTATTTTTCCCGCTACAGTAAAAGTATACATGCGCCTATCCTTGGGTCGGCTATATATGGTGAAATCCGTATATGACTGATTTAGCCGAGAAAAAACTACACTCTAGAGCGTCCATAAGAGAAAGCAATGGTGCAAGCCAAGATTATATGTAGCCCAAAAAGATAAGACCTGACTGAACTAAGTGTTAGCCAGAACAAGAAACACAAATGAGAAAATCCTGTAACGAACTAGCAAAATGAAAGAGAAACTAGGGTTACACGATGCTTCAGATTCAGAACGAAAGAAGTACTGGCATCCCTATTTTAGGCAAAAAGAACCCCAAAGAGTTTCAAATGAGGAATTGGTCTCCATTTAGGAAGAGCTAGGGTTCCAAAACCAGTAATTATACCTTCACCGAGCTTTGACGCGGTCACTCCTTGATCGTCAATCCGTCAGAGTCTTTGTAGCGTTGCCCAACGCCCCTTTCTCAGGAATCCCAAGGGAGCGAGCAGGCGGAGGGGAGGCGTTCGGAGAAAAGAAAGACCGAAGAGGAGGACGAGAAGAAGAATCAGAAACAAGGGAGACAAGAGCGAAAAACAGACAAAACAGGGGGGACAAGAGATCTAGGCAGCGACAGAAGCAGGAGGAAAGAACGGAATCAAGGACAGGTAGAGGTAGGATGGAGGCATAGGAGCAGCAGCACCCGCCGCGGAGGTAAAAGAGAGAAGAAAGAGCAATACAAAGGACAGCGAGGAAAAGCCAAGGTACGCCAAGCAGCAAGCGAAGTGGAAGGAAGAATAGGAAGCAAACGGTAGAAAAAAGAGGGCACACAGACGACACTGCAGCTCCAGAAACGGAGCGACGGAAATAGGGAAGGCCGCCTCGCCTCCCGGTGGCCTTCTTCTTGTTCACGGTCGTCGGCGTAAAATAAGCCGGGCCTCTTCTTGGTTTTGGACCCTGCTGTCCAGGCGGCTGGAGGCTCAGTGCACCTAATCATTTGTAAACCGGCCGGGTAAGAGAGAGTATATGCCGGCTAGCATGGGCCGGATTCTTCCAAATTTGGGCCATCTAGCCCACAACCGAAACCAAAAGCATCCTCTCTCTCTCTCTCGCTGGGAATTCCTGATATTGTTTACACACAAATCACAAGTTTTGGATGAGCAAGGTGGAAACGTTGGTGACTGTTTACCTTCTCATTTTCCCGACCCAGAAATTATCGGTGGATGAATGACGGGGAGCCATCCACACAACCTCGGATATTCCCCAAAATTAGCTGCCTTTAAAATCTCTTACAGAGATAGCATCAGGAAGGGAAGACCTTCCGAGCTCCGGTCCAGCTCCGTCCGACGAGACCTCGCGGGGCCCCGTGTTCTCTCTCTCTAGAAACGGTGCAATCCCCGACAAATCGCGTCGGAATCTGTGCCATTTGACAGCGGGGAAGAAGGAAGCTCCTCCTTTTCTCTCCCCCGACGATTGGGTAGTTTCGATCAGAAGGTCCATCTAAAACCCGAGGAAGAGGGAGAGAACGTAGCTCAGCCCGGACGATCTCTCGCAGTTTTCTACAAGTAAAGGGGCTCATGAGACGGTCTTCCTGTTCCTCCGCCAACACTCCGAGCTTTCGTAGTCTCTCTCTCTCTCTCTCTCTCTCTCTCTCTCTCTCTCTCGCTCGAACACCAGAGTACTCCCATGATGCCTGGTTCGGGGACTCACCCGCCCAACATATGGGACTGTTATCTGCAGGAGACACCCCACAGTTCTTCACGAACACGCCCACTCAAGCCGACAAAATCCAACCCTTCGTCCTCTACAGAGCCTAGCTTTGGCGATGAATCATTTGGAGCAGCTGACGGATGAAAGCTTTCGGAAATCAGGCTCCAAAGAACAAGTAATCAGACTCCAAAAAAGATCAGCGCGGGGCCGGAGACAGACGACGGAGGAAATACGTTGGGGCATTGGCATAAAAGTAGGATGACATTCGGGGAATGTGAGTTGACTACATAGTTCGGAATAAAAACACCATGCATGGATTTATGGATGTGGTGATGATTCAATAGGGGCAAAAGATAGTGGCGTGTTTAAGATAACATTTGGAATCAGTGTGGTAAATTATGAGCTTCTAGTTATTTGACATTTGGATTGAACATATGATTGCATCAAATAAGCACTGTAGCCGTTCATGACAGGTAAAAGATATAGGAGTAGACAAATCTCAAGGCAGAGGAGATCTTATGCGGTCCATGCTGAAATACATAAAACCCATTTGCCGATCATTACATCTTTCAGGCCACAAATAAAATTTTGTCAAGCAGAACAATATCATTACGTCCCGATTGAAAAATTTCTTGAACATTTGCTATGTATTAGAGTAGTAAAGTTGCAGCTATATTGAACAGATTAAAAAAAACTAACCTAGCTACAATTCATATTCTCACCAAATATTGAAAATGAATGTAATGTGTCATGTATGGAAATCAGGGTAGTCTACATGCAAGGAAGACAAACAAGTGGTTGATAATTTCTATATAGCAGTATATTATCAAGATGACTTAGAGAATTTGTTTTCCTTCATTTTTGTTCCTCACACACTCTTACTCACTTTTCTCTTGAGAGACAGTCACAGATAAACTCGCACCATCATTTCTACTGTACACAGACAACGCCATTAAGTTCAACCAAGTCATGTGTGGCCCCTCAAAATGGGTCTGTCGGATGTAAACGAAAGGGAGATAGAAAGAGAGAAAGATGCTTCAGTGAAGGTCGCTGTGGCCCAACAGAGAAAGGTAAGAGAGGAAGACCCAACAATCGATTCATACATGCATTCTAATTTAAAATCGCAAAGTAGAAAGCTAGGGAAAGAACAGGATAATAACAAATTCGCGACCTGGTAAGGAGGGTTCTTCCGGAAGAAAAACACCGCTAAAACATAGTCTCCAAAAGAAAGAAGCGTTCTTTGAGGCAGAGCAAAAAAGGGAAATTATGTGGACGGATCGAAGCACTCGGTGTAGCCAAGGGCGGTGGTGAAGGGGTTGAACATCTCAGTAGCCGCCCTTGAGGTCGTTGACGACGTCGTAAGGGATGGGGGTGACCGTCTCGAGTGTGGTGCCCTCTACCAAGAAGCCGGGTTTGGGACCCTCCGGCTGGCGCTTGGTGCTGATCTTCTCCCCGCGGGCTTTGGCCTCGCGCTTCAGCTCATCGTTCTTGATCTTCCTGAGGCGGAACTCCTCGGCGCACCTCGACGGCTGCACGTGCTCCACGCGCACGTGGATCCTCTTCCTGATGATCCTGTTCCCCACCTGGAAAACAAAAACCCCAATTCGCATCAGCCATCACCAGAAGACGATTAGAAATCATTGAAACTATATTGAGAGCACATTTCTTTCACAGAGCCATTCGGAATCTTCAAGCACATACTTGACATGAGATGAAAAAACACTGGGAACGAAATCAAACTCGTCTTCATACACAGATGAGAACTGCAGAAACAGTATCATCACCGATGCGTCATAGACGTACAAAAAAGAAACACTACACTGGGCCCACGAAGGACTGATTATAAACATCCCTCGGAACAGATTTAGAACTCGGCATAAAGCTCAAGTGCACAAGGTTGGGGAAGAGGGAAGCGGATCTACCTGCTTGTTGATCTCGACGCCGAGGGCGCGCTTTGTGACGTTCCATACCCTTCCGGTGCGGCCATGGTAGAACTTATGCGGCATACCCTTGTGGACGGCGCCGTTCACCTTAACGTCGACAAAGTCCCCGATCTTGTACGTCCTCAGGTAGGTCGTTAGAGGAATGTAACCCTTCTTCCTGAATGGCCTAGCAAAGAGGTCTCTCGTCCGCGACCGCACACCATGTCCCGCCGGCATCTTCTCGCCCCGAACTCGCCCTTCCGCTCTTGCGCTGCCGTTCGGATGGAGAGGCTCCCTTAGGGTTTCTCACAAGGTTATATAGCCCGCGTTGGGTTTAATGGGCCACGAACGGCCCACACCTCCCTAATTTCCAGGCCCGACAAGACGGACGGTATAGATCGACGACACGAAACACTTGATCGGCGGATATTGGACAACAACCAGATTGGGCTTTTAACCTAGCCAAGGTCGGGCCATTTCGACGTTAGGTGTCTCAGCGGGCCGGGTCCAAACGATGAGCCTGAAAATGGGCCGCGCCACCCATAGCGGAAGAAGAACAGAGAGAGAGAGAGAGAGAGAGAGAGAGAAATTTCGGGAGTGGGCCTTTTTAATTTCGGCCCTGAAAATTAACAACACTCGGGCCAAACGGATGTATCACCAATTTAACTGTCGCAGCAGACAAGCCCCAGTTCCGGTTTGGTCTAATTATTGGGCTGCGATAAACCCAAACCGTAGTGGAGCCCATTATATCTCTCATGAGGCCTAATCAGGCGGGACCTAGAAGAGCCTAGAAACTCACTGAGCACAATATTGCCACGCGTTGACAATTCCACATGACAATAGAAAATGGTCGGCTGACTTCCAAGTCAGAAGATAACAAGAGTGTTTCTTAAAATGGGAAAATTACATAATGAAATATTTTTAATACATAATTACATAGAAAATAAGAAATTAATCTAATATTTCAGCTCCCAAGGCCAGAGCACAATATTGCCATGCATTGACAATTCTACATGACAATTGAAAAATGGTCGGTAGACTTTCAAGTCAAAAGATAACAAGAGTGTTTCTTAAAATGGGAAAATTACATAATTAAATATTTCCAATACATAATTACATAGAAAATAAGCAGCCAATCCAATATTTCAGCCCTCACCCCCTGTTTTGCTGTAGGGCACTGAAGCAAGGAGCAAAATCAGGAGGAAGATACCTTTTTGGGCATGTGGAAGGCTGGAAAAGAGTGAATGGGGGGATTTTTCACATATTCTCCTTTGTTGAAACCCCTCATGTTGTCAGTCGTCTCAATATTGTTCTACTTCTTCAAGCCCTTCCTCTCACCACAGTTGAACTTGGGGTCCCTCCTCTCCTCCAACATTTTTTTTATTAGATCTTCCCAACTGATCATCAGGGGCCACCCTAGGCCTCTTCTTCTAGGACCTCTCAAACCTGCCACCACCATCACCATTATTGTCAAAGCTTGTGAATTTGATTATCTAACAAGGCCTAAATTGTCCAAAGATGGTTTGTGAAATATACAAAAAAAATGGCTGAAATAACCAAAGATGGGATTAGCTAAGAATTTCATATGAAAATCAGTGAGAGATCTAGAGAGAGAACATTGAGAAACAAGTCGATGCCCTTAATTTTGATATTACAATGTGAAAATTCATTTTTTAAGTACTTATAAAACATTTAATGAAGTTCATGAAAGCTTGTGTTAAAGGTTTAATATTTCTAAGAATAATATAATATATATAATGTTAATACTATCATGATCTTATGGCTAATAAATGAATCTGAGTTAACCCTTGAGATCATTATATGTTGAAACTAATGTAACATCCTAAATTTCATATATAAGTATAGAAAATCTAATGCCAATGTATGTGAGGAAATAGTTAAAAAATCATAGAATATTGACTCAAGCATAGGTTTTAAACTTGGAATCTAGATAATGGCACATCAAAAGTTTCAATGAGGAAATATTTGAAAAATTATAAAATATTAAAATCAAGAATATGGACCTACAAGTCTTGAACTAAGAATATGGACAACGAAATGTTGGAAGCTTCAATAAGAAAATATTTTAAAAAATCATGAAATATCAAAGCCACCTGCAAGCCTCAAACTTATAATATAGACAACAACATGTTAGAAGCTTTAGTGAGAATATTGAGGTCTAGTCCAAATAAGCATATTTGTTCCATCGTTGTCTTCAGGTAAGATGCTAACGTCTCACCATCCTAATTCTAGATTCAAGGCTCATATATGACTTTGATAATAAAATTACTCATGTAAGAGCTTCATTCAAGTCCACAAAAAACCCATTAAGAGAGAGCTTCTAGAGGAGTCAAAGAGCATAAAGAAGATCCACTAAATAAGAGGCGGTTATGGAATAGACAATTAAGATGCTGATGTCATCAAGGCATGACCCTTGGGATTGATAAAAGGAAGGAAATGAAGGAGAGAAAGGGGTTGGCCGATTGGTGGATGGACTGAAGACAAGAAAAAAAGCTAAAGCACAAGGTGAGGAGCAAGATAGATCTCAAAACTAGCTGATGGTGTTCAACAAAGTTATTTATAATTTTATTTATTTATTATTATATTATTTATTTTTATTTTGTGGTGATAGATATTGATTAATTTTTTTCTCAAAGTTATTTAATCTACGTATTTTGTTCTTCTCATTTTCTTAGGTAATAGACAAGGAAGTGGGACAGGTTTAATTTTCATTCTAGGTTTTCATCATTGCAAATTTAATTAAATTTTAGTTATAATTTATTGGGCTATCTTTTCTTGTCCTTGGGTGAAAGACAAGGAAAGTAAAATGTTTATATTCGAACTGTTACGATTTAATTAAAATTTAAGATTTTAATCAAATGCTTTATAAGGTCTTTGCTGTGTGACAAACAATTGAGTTCGATTTTATTTTAAGAATTTATTATTTATTAGAAAAATATTTATTTTAATTTATCTTTGATTGACAACCAAGATATTTCTACAGCTCATTTATTTTCATTTTCTTTCAGATTTTCATTTCAAATATTTCAAAATATTCTCCAAGTCAATAGAAGTTTTTGTATTGATAACTGCCCTTCTCATCTTTTTATGTCACATTTTCTAAACCATTTTCCTCTATTCATGATTTAATCATCTCACTCCATTTTATCTTCAAGTGTTAAGATAAATAAACATACAAAAATCATTGGTAAAAGAGACTTGTAAGTAATGTAGAGAAGGTCTCATCAATTATCTCATCTCGTTTTATTTTATTTTATTATTTTAAATCATCTTATTTGTTAGAAAATTAGAAATCTATTAAAATTAATTATCACCATCCCTTTATGAAATGAAACCAAAGAAAATAAGGCTAATTGTCACATGACCAACTGATCACCCTAGGTTTAATGATTAACCTCATGTGTTCTTGAATGATATGGATGCATACCCAAGCAATGATTCACCTTCTTGTAGTTCAAAAGGTGTAAAGAAAGCTAAATTAGAGAGTGACAAATAACTAGCACCCTATTCCACTCAAGGGAGAAAAGAGGCTAAAAGCAAATACAAGGGGAAGCTCTCAACTTGTGGTATTCTTCAAACCATGGATAAGGTTCACCTAATTTATAAGGGAGAACCTAGGAAATGCCCAACTCCTCTCATTAAGACCTTTATGTACTTAGGCAAGATGTGTACCATGTCTAGCCTTAATAGTTGACTACATCAATAATCAAGGCTCCAGCCAAACCTTTACTTGTCTATAACTAGTAGTTACAAGAGAGTTACTAAGCCATGTCCACAATGTCCTATCAACTCCCATAAGGGTTACATAGTGATGTGTACTTGTCATTGTATTTAAATGCTCATCAACTAATATAATTCATAACTAAGACTTCAAATATTTTAGTATAAATGTAAGCCTCAAGTTGAACACAAGGACATTAATTAATTTGTCATGAAAACATGATCTAATTTATATGAAGAGTGATTATTACTTTTAAAACCTTTTAAATACAAAAAGATTATATCATGTATTAAAAATATTAATGATATCAATAGCTATATATAAAAGGAATGATATCATTATGTCCTTTAACACTATTGCTATATGTAGATTTTTTTAGTAAAGCACCATAAATGGATTTGAAACAAGACGAAATGATGAAAGTGATTAAACCACCATAGACAAATAATCTAGACTCAACACTTGCAAAGTTCTGAGGATGAAGAAAAATTACTAAGGTAAGATCAAATACTTTTCCACAATATTTGAAATAAAAGGGTTGACGTGATGAAGAAATCATCAATGATTAGGGTGCTCTAGTGTCACTAAATTGATAAGTGCAAATCAAGTAGGGTCCTCTCTCTACTCTCTCCAGCAACTATGTATAAAAATGGCATTTCTAGGATCACTCAATAACAATATTGTAAGATAAAATACTAAATGAATAAAATGCTCAACTATGGGAAAAAAAGTATCTAAAAATAACCTTGTCACCAACGAGGTGGAGGAGCATGAGTTGAAGCTGAAACCCAATTGTGAAAGTTGACCTGTATGTTGACCATTTACCATTATATTGACCGTTGATCTAGTTGATTATGGGACTGTGACTCGAACCAACAAGACGACTGGAGCGGATCAGAAGGTGAGAATGGTTCTGGCCGGTGGAAAGGTCTGCTCGGGCCAAGCGGTCGGGCCGGCTTGGACCGGATCGTGATCGGACGATTGGTTCAGGCTGAACCAGGTCGGTTCGGTCTAGTGGTTCGTGATACCGCTACCCGGGGCTTTAAGCTCTACCAGTGACAGAAAAAAGGGAAACACAAACGGTTCGTGCGGGCGGAGGAAAGGAGGGCGGCGGCGGCGGCGGAATAGGCGGAACGGACGGAAACGGAGGCAGGGATGATGGCAGTGGCGGGGATGGGGTGGAAGGTGGCAACGGACGGCGGAGGCGAGGCAGGGAAGGTGGCTGAAGACGGCGAGTGTGTGACGGGTGGTGGCGGATACTGGCGGCAGCAAAGGAGGATGAAGGCGGTGTACGTCTGGTCGACGGAGGAAGGTGGCAGCGAGCGGCGGCGGTGATGTATGGCAGCGGTGGCGATGGATAAACGATCCTCACGACCTCTCCTTGCGGAGCGAAAGGGGTAAACCTCGAACTAATATCTTCTCTGCTTATTCTTAGGGCTACACGAGGTCATTTGTAACCTCTCAAGAAGGAAAATGAACGATTAATGGGCTTGGCTGGTGAGCTATTGACGCGGTCGTAGGCTCGGTCTTCTTCGCTCCTCATCAAGATTTTCCCCGATTTAACCCTTATCAATGTGCCTCATTAATGCTTCTCGCCACCCTACAAAGTATCTTAATCAGTGATCATCAGCTGGGATTAGCGCGATGGTTCATGTTCTCACGCACCACCAACTCCTCAGTCGTGTGTCATTCTCCCCAATGCCTGAAGTTCAAGCTCATTGGACAGCTTCTCATGGCCGCTGAAAAATCCGATGTCCTCCGCTGTACCGTTGCTTCTGATGCGCACAGCACATTGCCTGCGCACGCCTACATGTTCCCATCGCACGTCATGAACGGGGAGACACACAATCGAGGACGTCGGACATCTCCTCGTCACCACTGGGAAATCGGACGCCCTCGTCACCAATGGTGTCCCGTGCTCGACGCTATCCGCGTCTCTCCAGTGCATCGCACACTGCTTGCGTGCCCTGCTAGGAGAATGTGGTTCCATACTCGGTGCTCCTCTGAAGCTCCAGTGCATTGCACTGCCACCAGCGTGCGCTGCGCTTCCACGGAATTTCCACGGCGCTCCGCGCCACATGAGGTGCTTCTCATGCCTGATTGTCTCAGCACAGTTTCTAGTAGCTGCACCGTTCCATGTGTTTCCTTGTGCAGTCTGATCCAAATGTCGACGTCGTTCCCACTGTACCAATGTAAGCCTCCCGCGCATGCCATGACGGCTTCCCGTGTCGGCGCTGATACACACCGCTCTAAAGCATACCAATTCGTGCATCCCACGGAGAGATCTCACCATTCCAATGCACGATGATGGATGCAGAGCACCCCCGGCGTCTCGACTTGGCGGTACATCCCGCTCAAGGTAGGTTCCAACAAGCGGCCTCATCTTGTGTGTGCTGGTGATGTTTTGGACCGCTCCACACCGTGTCGTGCACCTTGTGAGCCCTAGTGCCGTTCTGTGTTGCGTTGCACCAGGCTGTACACGTCGTGCGTAGTGGTGCCGTCCACACTGCGGGAGCTCACCTGCCCGCAAGTTACTACAATGCAATATTCCGTGCCCACAGCAGAGCCGAGTGTCGCGCACCCGGCTTACTCCCAACGTCAGATCTGGGATGAGATCTCTTTGTCTCCATCATGTACTCCGTATGCACCGCGTACGCCACACCTGCCACGTACCTCATACCGCCCTGAACGTAACTCCTCGCTGCGTGCCTCTTCGCACGCCACCTCAAAGAAGCTGCGAGCTTCTGCACATGCCGGCAGATTCCCCCAGCGACTCCGCACGTGCGGTGCCCATCTAAGCTTGTCCGTATGCCCCCAGGCTGCCGGGTCCCTCCAAATGTGGGCATGAGCGCATCGTGCCACGCATTTGTTCTTGGTCTGGTTCGCTCTACAGGATCAAATTGTGTTGGTGGCTATCCTGCAGTCTCCTGGAGAAGTTCTAAGCGCCTCTCGCGTGTCAGGAAGCGGTCTTCTTCGGTCTCAACTATTGAGCCCAAATTTTTTCTGCTTATCTAGCTGAACCAACCTTTGGCCACACGTTGCAATATTTCCAAACATCTCCCCTTTTTCTAAAATATGAGAAACATGGCTTTGATACTACTTTGTCACATAGTTGGACTGGGCCTACCGCCTAAGCTCCAAACTGTGCGACCTTCTACCGTTTCCAAAACTTGTGGAAGATTTTGGTCAAGGGGATAAAAACCTAATCTAAGATAATACATTGACATAGATCATTACGTACTTGTTTAATAGTGCTGCCTTGTGGACCCCACCACAAAACTCCTCAACCACATGATATATATCACAAGCCATGAGATGTGCTTTGAAAATAGGTTACATTAGTACACACTTTGGCCCAGCAGTCTAATCACACATATTTACCTCAATTAATTGGCTAAGTTCAACAAATCTTCTCCTTCAATCTGATTATGCAAATTGGGTCATTTTAGTCGATTATTATGATTGCTCGAAAGGACCTAATATGGTTTTGAACTCCCAATTAACTGTAGTGTTTACTCACTAATGTGACTTAGTCATTGTATAGTAAATCACGTAAATTTAAAATTTATAAAACTAGAAAATATAATTTCTTAAATATTTAGAAATATTTTAAAACAAATATATCAATTATAATTCAATAAAACTTATCAAAATAATAGTAATTTTCTAAATTAATTACAAGGATGTAATATAATATCAAATAGTTATTCAGAATTTTCTTCAAAGAATACTATTTTCTATGAATTTTATATTAGGAAATGAAAAATAAATATATTTAAAATTCATGAAAAAAAGAAATAAAGGTGCAGATGTCAAGATGATGTCAACGCACGACGAATGTGAATTAAGCGAAAATAGTGTTTCACTTGACGATTCTTACGTAAGTGATTATAGACGATTTAATTGATCAAATTAAGATCTGTTAAAGTCGAAAGAATTGTAACTAGACAAGGTATATCTTGGTAAATTTAAATAACCAAATTATCACTAAATGAAGTAGAAATTAAGTTGAAAGCAGAAAAATAGAGTTATGACATTGCAACGACGATGCGTCGATGATGCACTGAAATCTTGAGCGTTTGAGAGGATCGTTGTGTAATGTCCACAACCTCGAAGACTTTCCTTGGATAAGGATGACGTGGATAATATCTAGATTTCTTTACAAAGTCTAGAGATTAATGAAATGGGTCATCGAATCGTCTTTGGCGGTTGTCACTTGACAAAACAAAAAAATGACGACTTTATAGCTCTCTAGCGGCTGTCACCCGGCAGAGTAGAAAAATGACGACTTTGCGGCTCTCTAGCGGCTATCACTTGACAAAGAAGAGCTGGATGGAGGTGGGGTGCATATTAGGAAACTTCATCCTCAAGTCTAGGCAACAAGAGGAGGCTCTTCATCGCATCCAATATGCTCTTAGGAGGTGGTGACTTGACTCCTAGTGGATCATCTTCTTCTCGACAATGACTTGTTTGTCCATCAATCGGAGATGCTTTACTCAATGGATTCGTGATCCTTTTATCACGAATTGTTCAACAATTATAGTAACAATACTTTACGAATCGCGTTGACGAGATTTTTGTCGATGATCCAACGATTCTAGTGGCTTAATCCTTCACCGGTGATTTACAAGAAAGTCGCGATAATTAGATAAAAAATATGAGTTTTGGCTATGAGAGGATTCGAACCTGCGTCGATTACCTACCCTTTCTGAGGAAGGTGTGACGTGAGTTTAGTCCCACATCACTTGTGTGCCAAAGTTTTTGGTAAATATATAGTAATATTACATTTACAATCAAGTCCTTTTCTCGTGCATGTACGACCACTCCTTGCCCCACAGCTAGTTGGCCACTTGTGACGTGGAAGGGGAGTGATGCATACGTGCCCCTATCAGTCCTAGCCACTCGAGCCCTTACTCGCAGTTCCTCCCCGACTACATTTCCGACCCGTTTGTGAGTCTGGGTGGCCGACGAATTCCCCCCATTTTGTTATATATATATTTTTATTTCTTTTTCTTTATTTATCTCAAAATTAAGACTGTAAAAATTATATAAATTTATATCAAATCACATAATTACTCAAAAGTTCACGTTAATCAACTAAAAACTACTTTTCACACTTTAACACAAATATAAGTCTATTTATCATGATTTAAGGCTAAAACTATATTATTTATTAATTATTAACTCATGATAATGAAGACTTATCACTCACCATTGGAGACGTTGTGTTGGTGGCATATTACTATGACAATGTGATGACATGGTAGCAAATTACTGTATGCCGCACCACAATTCATTGTGTTGTCATTATTTAGGTGTTTTGTTAGTACATGACCTCACCCTCAAAGGACATCAACTCACGTAAATAGGTTATTTCCTAGAGGCTTAAGTTTTGTGATAGAAACTTGAACTTGATTTTATTTAAAGTGATGCATGATCATAAATAATTGAGATTTTTTTTGGCATTTTGCTTAGTAATTTTAATATGCCCACTTTTAGGGGAATACTTTTGATCTAAATAACTAGGTTATTGTGTTTTCATTAATAAAATATAATTGACAAGTCTTAATACAATCGTTTAGTAAAACACATTTTCTTATAAGGCTTTTTTTTTTGTAATAGATAGTTACAATGGCAGACTATGAATTTTTTGTTGCTTAGGACAAGTAAGCATGTCAATTTGATCATGATCCATACCTTCACATTGCCTAGTTGTGATGGATCTTCATTTGAGCATGTCATAATTGACTAGTCAATGAAATGTCAATTTTACATCTTTAAAATCATGTTATCATATAATAAGCAAAGCCATTTTTCTTTACAAGTATTATCCTCATTTGAGACAATATTCTTCATGGTAAGAGGTTTTAATAGTTGAAGCCCTCAACTATCATGGGTTATATAGATTATCTTGACTTTATGTGTGACCCTCACATACTATGTATAGCATCAAGGTAACGACTTTGAGGACGATCTGTCCTCGTGGGGGTGAAGCTCCTAGATTTGAAACATATTACATGGAGCCTGACAACTGAAATAGAGGACAAAGACAAAACTATTGAAGATAACAACAATTACTGCTAACTGGTGTTTATGAGATGGAGTCGCTAACTCGACCCCACAACATCTCGTCCCACATTAGTAAGAAAACTTGTTGATGAAACCGAAAGAAATTTTAGGGAATGAGACCAGATTTAGGACTTGATGGGCCTGATAAGAGACCTTTTTTTTAGGGGAAGATGAGAGTACAAGTAGAAAATGTCCAAAAGATAATAAATGATATGGAGAAGAGTAAATGTGTTGGAATAAGGACACCACAAATTTAATGTGGTCTAAAGAGGATGAATTCACCTCACAACCACTAAACAAGAAAGGAGAACATATAATAGTTTACAAGGAATGAAATATAGAAGCATATGGAATTAATAAATCTCTAATCACATCCACTAGATGGGAGAGGAGGAGGAGAAGCTGAAATCTTGATTTCAGCTATCGAAGAGAAGAGGACCTCATGTGCCCTTGATTTTACCTCTCTATCTTTCTCTCTCCTTTTAATATTAGTATTACATTAGTGACTGGACTGACTTTGTACTTGAACTAGTTCTAAACAAAGGTATGAAGAATTGTGAATAGGAGGATGATTCTTCGAGATTGGCAATGGTGGGATAGCCACAGATCAATCTTCATTATCATGAGTTAATAATTAGTAAATAATATAGTTTTAGTCTTAACTCATGATAAATAGACTTATATTTGTGTTAAAGTGTGAAAAATGGTTTTCAATTGATTAATGTGATTATGTGATTTTATATAAATTTCTATGATTTTTATAATCTTACTTTTGAGATAAATGAAGAAAAAGAAACAAAAATAAAAATATAACAAAATAAGGGTACCTGCCAGCCAATCAGGCTCGGAAGTGGGTCGGAAGCACCGTAGAGGAGGAGTCGCGAGCAGGGGCTTGAGTGGCTAGGAGCGATAGGGGCACATGTGCGTCATTCCCTTTCCACGTCATCGGTGGCTAGCTAGTTATGGGGTAAGGAGTGGTCGTACACGTGGAAAAAAGAGATTTATTTACAAATGTAATATTAGTGTATATTCGTCCGAAACTTTGGTGCATAAACGATATGGGATTAAACTTATGTCACACTTTCTCTAAAAAGGCTTTGATAATTTTAATACCTACAGTACCCCTTATTTATAACAAAGATATACCATGATGATGTCATTTGATAAGGACATTAGAGTACTTATTTTAATCTCTCTCATATAGGCAAGCAATCGACACAAGTTCAAATCTTTCTAGAGTCAAAACTCATATTTTTTATTTGATTATCATGACTTTTCTACATATAGTTGGTGAAAGATTAAGTTGTCAGAATCATTAGATCATCAACAAAAATTTTATCAACATGATTCACGAAGTATTGTTACTAAAATTGTTGAATGATTCGCAATAAAAAGATCACAGATTTAGCAAATAAAGTATCTCTGATTGATCGACAAATAAGTCGTCATCGGGAAGAAGACGATCCACCGAGAGATGTCGCCACCTCTTGAGAGCATATCGGATGCAATGAAGAATCTTTTTTTGTTGTACAGACATGATGATGAAACTCCTTGACACACGTCTCACCTTCATCTAGCTCCTCTTTGTCAGGTGATAGCTGCCAAAGAGCCACAAAGTCGTCATTTTTTCACTCTGCTAAGTGACAGCTGCTAGAGACGATTTGACGACCTATTTTATTGATCTCTAGACTTTGCAAGGAGATCTAAAAATTGCCCACGTCGTTCTTGTCTAAGGAGAGTTTTTGAGGTTGTGGACATTACATGATGATTCTCTCAAATGCTCAAGATTCCGATGCATCGCTGATGCATTACTATCGTGATGCCGAAACTCTATTTTTCTGCTTTCAACTTAATTTCTACTTCATTTAGTGATAATTTGTATGATTTAAAATTATGAAGATATACTTCATTCAATTATGATTCTTTTGGTTTTTGCAAATCTTAATTTGATCAATAAATCATCTATAATCACTTATGTAAAAATCACCGGGTGGAACTCTATTTCCGTCCGACTCGTGTTTGTCGGGCACTAACGTCATCATGATGTCTGCACCCCTTATTTCCTTTTTTTATGAATTTTACATATATTTTATTTTTATTTCTTAGTATATAATTTATAGAAAATAGTATTCTTTGAAAAAAAATCTAAATAATTACCTAATATTATATTATATCCTTGTGATTGACTTAAAAAATTACCACTATTTTTTACAATTTTATTGAATTATAATTGATATATTTGTTTAGAAATACTTTTAAATATCTAAAAATTTATATTTTCTAGTTTTATAAATTTTAAAGTTGTGTGATTTACTATACAATGACTAAGTCACATCAGCCACCATCAAAATCATTTAATAAGTCTGACTTTTACATGCTGTTCCACATCGGGCCTGACCATAGTGAATAGTATAACGACTGCATAAATTAATTTTCTTAACGGATTATTAGGGTTTCATAGTCATGTATGCTTTAAAAGTTTTCAGGATGCCGACCCTTGCAAAGGGCATTTGTCAAGAACAAGCTGAGCTGGGGAGAATTTTTGGTTTATCTTGCTCTTTTATGCCCTTATTTGAGATGGAATTCTCAAATTTATTGATTGAAATCCATAGCTACAATCAGTCATTATTTGAAGTCTGTAGTTATCTACCATTGAAATTTTTTAGTGAAATATAGTTGGTAGATTTGCCGAAGGTAATCTATCCTTGTTGGGGATGGATCCCACCGACTCCACTTGATGTTGTTTATCAATGTTCGAGAAGCTGTGAAGAACAACTGAGGCTGTGAAACAAAGGAAGTGATTGTAATACTGTGGATCTTATTCCTAGGACTCATCAAACATGACTGTTGACATGTCACCGGGAAAGGAGAAAAAGCTGAGGATGAAGAAAAAGACGAGGAAGCAACCCGAGGTGATTTATTACAGCAACACTCATTTTATTCTCACGCAAGCTACAAACAGAAACCCCCAGTCACCAGAGAACGAGATAGGCACATCGGTAACGGCGCTGAGGAAGGCTACTAGGCAGCCCTTGCCGATGACTATTGCTTTGGGCATGGCTTAATGCAGTAGCACCGACGCCGAATGAAGCCGCGGCACTCTCCCAAGATGAAACCTTCAGTCCTGCAGATTATCGAACAGTTCGTATGGCTACTGCAGCGCCCAGTGAACCTGGTGCTCAGCGAGCTACAGTCTCTTATCTGGGATGGCTCCACTGTTCGCCCAACGTCCTTAGCAGCACCTACATACACATAATGGATTAGTACAATGGCATAGTCTAATGAAGGTGCCTCATGGTTCATCGTCAAAAGTAGAGGCATAGTAATTCTTCCAAGTTCTATCTTGCAAATAATATAAATGGATTGTGAATCATTATGGATCAGATAATTGGGCTTATAATCCTGACAAGAATGACATCGCCAAATTCATAGCCAACTGATCCATGTTTAGTGTCTCTCAATATATGATAGAATAGTTTCTCACGGCGCAATCGTAGACGAATAAGTGTGGTGCTTCGCGGTTCTTCTCCGTGCTATCTTGTCAACAACAGAAATGAGATGAGACTAATAAAGGGCTAGAGATTGGAGCTCCCATATCAGGCAAAATAATCAGATCGTTCAACCGGAAATCGAATTTTGTCTCTCTTAATGCATGTTATTGATCAGTCGAGTGTGATCTGCGTGGTGGACAAGCGTTGTACCAGTGGTCGCGAACAGTGGAAGGAGCATGACGAGCAGGAGAATGGTGGGCACCACGCGGGCGGAAGCCATCGGCGAAGCAAGGAAGACTGAGAGAGGATAATAGGGAGAAGGGTGAATTATGAGAGAGAGAGAGAGAGAGAATGAGGTGAGGAGGCTGGCTAGGGCTCGTGTTATATAGGGAGAAGAACGGATTATCATAGTCTTGTATGCATCTAGGTTCTCGGTAGGTGGATGCCAGTTGGCGAAAATGTTTATCCCAATACCGTTTTAATAGCCTTTGACGTCTTGAAGTCCACGGCAAAGGTGGTGGGATAGTGGCCAGTCATGTCTTTGTCAGTCGGGCAGTTATGAGGGAAATTTATAAGCTCTTATCGCGAACCGATGCTTGCATTTGAACGAATGGAAGAGTAAGTGATCCGAACACAAGATTGGCATGTGAGTCTCACTGAGGATGGACGTTTCCCACTCAGGCCAACGGCCCTCCTCTCCGTGTCCTCTCTCTCTCACTCACTCCTTAAGCCTTTGAAAATATTTCAGAGAATGACCGGACGAATCCACCGTAATAGAGAGCTAAAATTAAATAAATCATGTCATGATTTATTTTTTTTACATCTTTATTTTTCTTGCCTTACGCAAAATCAAGCCCACTAGATCAGGTTCTTCTCGTTCTTTCAATCTGTATTGAGGTTAAGGTCTTAACAGTTGTGAAGGACGCTTACAATTCTCTAGCAGCCATTGTGTAAGCCGGATGCCACGATGGGAATGGAGCGATTGGTTGAGGGAGAAGAAGAGGGGTATGAAAGCGTAACTTGGTAAGGGGAGGGCATGGGATATGCAGGAGAGGGAGACATCAAAGGAGGGAAGAGGTACGGGCTTTATTGGCCAGAAACCATCCAAGCCCAAGTATTATACTGGAGACCCATTATCACAGAGAGCAACATTACACCCATAAACCTACAACGACAACTCCGCCAGCTGCTGCTTTAAAGCTCCCTTTGGCTGTTGAAGGGGTGCTAATCTTGTCTCGACAGCAAGGCTCACACACATCGTTGACATTTGGTGGAGCTGATAGATGACAATTCCTGAAACTTGAGTGCGACCCAAGAGCAGGGTCTAAATTCCCCTCTCTCCCTGATTTATTCTTCGTCTTCTTCCTCCTTGTTCAGGTATATCAAAGCGAAAAATGTCTTTTCTTGTTCATAGCTTGGCATCAAGACACTCACAGAACTATTGTGCACATCCCAGTGCACTTATGAATGAAATCGACGAAATGCTTCATGGTAAAAAGATTCTTGACAAAATGATTCCGAATAATGTTGAGGTTCGCGTGTGATAATGAGAAGGGTGAGGACCATGAGTAGTAGGACGATGTCTGGGAGCACGCGGAAGCTACGGATGGGGAAAGCATGTCCTGATGAAGAGGAGATAACAGAGAGAGAGAGAGAGAGAGATCTATGTAAAAGGGAACCTGGCCCCCAGGTGATCTGTGTATCGTTGACGAGTGAGTAGTTCATATCCATACAGGCTGACACAAACCTACAGTTTAGCTGCCCTTCATCCCAGCTTCCAACTTGATGGGTAGATGGGGATCGACAATGGACTAACCCATAGCACGGGTGTGCAAGAGAACGTTGACCATTATTTTATTGTTGGCATGGACATTAGCGGGGATAACATGAACTGGGATTGACGTTAAAAATGATAAAGTTGGCTGTTTTAGTACGCGTTATGGGTAACTAAGTAACGAGTAATTAATATCATCATATTATTATCTGAAATGCTTTAGAAGCTTAGTTAAATGTGGGAGCGTGAAGACGGAGTTGACCTAAACAAAGGATGATGACCATTCCTTGTGGTCCAAAAAAATTTATGACTTGGTAGCTGAAGATGATAAACCTTGATCGACATTAAGTAAATGGTCAATGGGTTTGTTTCCATGTCAACTTCGGGTGGAGTCCATATTGGGGCTCCTAATCCGCCGACATACATAAGTATAGCTGGGATGGGTTTTTCAGAGATGAGCATCCACTTATTATGCAACGAAAAATACTGTAAACAAGATATTGAGAGAGTACAAAGAAATACTGACAAAATTTTCATGTTTAGGGAATCTTCATACGTCCAATGTCACACAACCCCTTGTTTTTCCTTCTTCGAGAAATTGTCTTATGGGTTTAAAGTGTCAGCGGCCACCCCAGTATTTGAGAGCTGGATCCTCTTACTCACCGTAAACTTGGTATTGATTACCTTCCACATACATCTCATATCCTCCATAAAAAATATATTCTTGAACTTGTGCAACGTATCCAATCAACTAATTTGCAAGATAAACTAATTCCATTGATAACCTCATTTTCTTTATGACGATTGCCTTTATCAATATGTGTATTGAATTATTCAGTAAGCTGATGTTTTCAAGTGTTAATTCTCCATCTTGTAGCAAGTTGTGAATTAAATGTTACCTCAGAAGGATGTGGTTTGTTCTAGAATGAGACATAGCCTTCTTTGCTAGATTAATGGCGCCTGGAGTATACAAAAAGGACATAATGTGGTCATGCTTCCTACCTGCTCAACTAGGAAATTCAACCAAATCGTTTAATTGCTAGCCTCTATAATTGCCATATATTTCTCCTCATTGGTAGAGAAAACATCCCAAAATTTACAATCTTTGGTGTTCCAACTTTGAACCAGCCTTGTAGATTCCTCTTTGACATTAACATTCATTTCCTTCTCACACGTTCCTCAATCAACACTACTATTTTGTTCGCAATTTCATTATCTACCATTACTACCAAGTTTAATGGGGGTCATGTAAACAAAGCTGGTTTTTGGTTTCCTTGGTTATTTTTCATAAGTCACTTGGAAAAATTATTGTGTAATCTTCATTACTTTGATGTCATACAGAGATCTAATTTCTCATCAAACTTGAGACATGTTTTACATCCAACAACTTTCCTAGTGTTCTATTTAGATGCTTTTATTTAAATCTCATTTGTCAATAATCAATAAGGTATACCTTGTCAAAATTTCTAATAGTAATCAACTTCAGTTTTCCTGCACAGTAGTGTGACAATACTCTAAAAGTACCCAAACGAAACTGTATTTGATGCAGTACATACCTCATTGAACGTAAGTTTTTTTATCCACAAAAGGACTCCCATTTTTTTTCTATGCTACGAGACACAGTTGGTATGCTCTCTCTCTCTCTCTCTCTCTCTCTCTCTCTCTCTCTCTCTCTCTCTCTCTCTCTCTCTCTCTCTCTCCTTAGGCGGCCCATTTAAACCTTAGGTTTCTCAGTGGGCCGGGCCCAGTAATAAAGCAATGCCCACAAGAAAAAATATCAATGAGGAATATCAAGCAACAGATTATTATTGCCCAAAAGTGGATGAAAAAATATCGACCGGAGGTAACCAAGAAGCATCTTCTATATGCCCAAGAACAACGATTCTAGAAACTCGTCGATGTAGGCAAGGCAGGGCCAGTGGTCGGTCCTAATTCGGACTAGCGTTGAAGGCTCGGAGACCTCCATCTTGAAGAGCAGGTGGAACCGTGGCGGGAGGAAGATCAGAACCAGGAGAGACCCCAAATCGGCCTCTTGGAACCTCTCTGCTGCTGTGTCTGCATCGTCTTCATCCGCAAGATACCCCAGCTGAAGAACAGGGACAGCGCTGCCGCCGCTGCCGCCGCTGCCGCCGCTGCCGCCGCTGCCGCCGCTGCCGCCGTCGTGATCATCCTGCCAGAAGGCGTCAGCGAGGGCTCCGCCGCCTGACTTCAGGGCATCAGCAAGGGAGGCGCCGGTGAAGCCGACAACGAACGGAGCCAGGTGACACTCAACGGTGGCAATCAGAGAGGCAGCAGCGGTGTCGAGAAGCTTGACGGAGCCAGTCCCGTTGACGGCGGCGACTCCTCTGGCACCTTTCAAGGGGAAGGTCTCCCGTGCTGTGTTGGAAGAGCTGGAACAGGCTTCCCAGAGGGCGTTGAAGAGATCGGAGTAGTACCGAGGAGCTGCCGCCAGTGAAACGCCGGCGGGAAGAGGAGCCTTCAGGAACATGTCCTCAATGCCCACCGGGATGCTCTCCAACCGACCGGAGATGAGCTGGCCGTCCTCTGCATTGGCTTGGACAGTGACGTCGATGAGGCCCGGCATGGGCTCTCGAGGCTCCAGTTCCACCACCACAGAGCTTCTTCTGGTTCTCGGGTCGGAAGGCTTCTCCACGAGGACCATAGCTCGAGGATTTGCAGGAGATTCTCCGAGGAGGAAGGGGACACGACATGGAGGGATCGGACCATACTTAGCTGTGGATGAGAAGGTGAGGACAACAGCATACAGAGCAGGTGGCCCCGCTCTTTCACCTGAGGCGAGAACGCCGGCGTCAAATCTCAGGCTGCAGGGGATCTCGATCTTCAGGCCCTTCATGTGGCGGAAGTCAGGAATGGAACCGAAATGCCGCCGCAAGATGTCTAAGATCTCAGCAACCTTCGAGTCAACCATGCGCAGTGGTTCTTGGGTCAAGCTGATTCTTGCGAGATTCTCTTCGGCCTCCTCAGTGGGGTCCGGGATGGGAGGAGCATCTCTGATCACTTCCAGAGAACTGGGCCCGTTGACTTTGGCGTCCAGATTAGGAATTGTGAGAGACCATGACTGCTTCAAGAGCAATGGGATTGCCCTCTCGAGATGGATGCAAGAGGAAGCACTGAGTGTCTTCTTCCACGACGAGCTCGGAGTGGGCGCCTGGTAGAAGAAACCAGGATGCGGAGAGGGTGTAACTCCCGTAAGCTGCTCCCCAGGGTTAAGTACGTGCCTCAGCTTCTTCCCGGGAATGCAGACAAGCATCCGCAGGTAGATCCTGTAGAATCACAAAACATTCAAATAAAAAAGCATGATAATTCATATGATTGATTCCATCGAATGATCGTCTGATAATTACCTTGCACTATCGCGGACCTCCAAGTCAGGATAGCACTGAGAAGTGAACGACAAGAGATGAGAAAGAACATTGAATATTCTAGAGCTGTGGTGGTTCATCATCACTGTGCGGCAAATCCGCAAGACTTTGCTTCCCTTTGACCATAATCTCAACCCCGAATCTGGTCCGTGCTTGTCTACGAGGAACACCATGAACTTGAGCAGGAATTGCAGAAGACGACGTGGAGGTATCTTGTCATTCTCGGCGATCCTCTCAAGAATCGAGAAATAGACTGATATCCTCAAGTCCATTTCGAGCTTTGGGAGCAAGGACTCATCAAATGTCTGAAGCAGACGCTCACCCAGGAGCCTGTGGATCCTGGAGCTCTTCAAGCGGTCGACAAATGCTGCCACCACTGGGACCAATCCAGGGTGCTCCACAACCATATCGACCAGGGTACTCTGCAACGAATTCCAAGCTTCTTCAGGAACAACCCATAATTCAACCAAGAAAGAATGTAGCCTAGAGCATTGGTGATGAGTGCACCTGGAGACTACAGAAATTGGTGGACTCCATGAGATGAAGAACTGTGGAATCATCCGAATCAGGACGAGACACTGCGCCAGTAAGAAACTTGTGGAGAGTGCGGAAGACCACCAGTGTCTCTGTGCTCCAGGGAGGTAACCATCTGAATGCTGAGACACAGACAAGGCAGGCCTGGAAGAGTTTCATCGGAGAAAATGCAATTTCGTCGGCCTTCTTCCCCTCCTCGTCCTTACCCTTATCATTCTTTCCACTCGAAGAATCAAGGAGTACTGCTATGAGAGCGAGCACATCTAGTTTTGCAGCTTTCAGCGCCAGAGGATCAAACAAAGAGGGATAAAAGCTGGGAGCCAAGGAAATCAGAAGATTCTTCTTATCAGGCGGACGAGAGGCTATACCCAACAGCCAGTGGAGGGCAAGGAGCCGGTAGACCAAAGGCTGTTGGGCCTCCTTGGGTAAAAGGGTGAGGCGGCGAGCGATTTCTCGCTCGTCACCGGAAAATGCATCTGAGAAATGCGAATACAGCATGAGAACGACATGGCATAGCATTGGATCGTACGAGTAAAGCAGGCCAGAGAACTGCACCTTCAGTAGCGCTGCGGCCCCCGACATCTGAGCTTCCAATGCTTTCACAACACGAGTAAGCATAAAGACCATCTCGGCAATGGCCAGCGGGGTCAGAATCAGAGGCCTCTCAAGAAGAAATGACATCACCCTTCTTATGTCCCTTAGATTGTCGTCCGAGAGGTCCTGATTGTTCCTTGCCACGGAATTCAAATACACGGGGACATTGAATGGCACCAACTGAACCGAGGTGGACAGGATCCCCGTCGTAGGGGGGGGCATACAATGCTGCACGATGTTGTGCACTACCGTGGTGAGGAGAAGAATGTAGCTTTGGGCGGCGTGAGTCCTCTCGCTTTGGCAGAGATTCCACAGGTGGCCGACGATCTCCGAGAGCAGACAGGGGTAGGCCTTCTCCAGCTCTCTCAGACAGTCGCAGGCGATAGCCCTAGTTTGCCGATCGGGGCTATGATTGGGGCGGTTGACTACAGCGAGGAGAACCTCCACCACGGCCTCGAGCTGGCGAGGCGCGTAGTCGAGGCCGTCGATTGTGATCGCGATTGAGGTGACAGCCACCATCATCTGCTCCTTCAGGGCGTACGCCGTCGGGGCAGAATCTGCAGGCGACTGCACGACGATCCGAAGAGCCTCTGCGAGAGCCGATAGGGCGTGCGCGGCATCTTCCGGAGGAGACCTAACAAGGAGGTGACCGAATTCCTCGAGAAAGAGGATGACGAGGGGCTTGAGGGGGAAGTCCCGACGGAGAAGCGAGGCAAGGGCAAGATCTAGGAGGGAAAGGGGGGTGGGATGCTGGGATAGCCACTGGAACTGCCGCGAAGGGTCGCCGGATTGGAAATCTTCGACCAGGGCCTCCCATTCCAACGTAGAGATGAGAGACTGCGAGAGCGACTGCAGGAGGGACGATTGCTTCAGTGACGATGATTTCTCCATGTAAATGGAGATGAGAAAATGGGAGGAGAAACGAAACCCTAGCTACGTAGAGGACGATGAGGAATCCATTGGAGGGAAGGGAAGAAGCACAAAGTGGGAACTGCAAGAAGAAGGGGGAGGGGGGCGGGGGGGAGAGAGAGAGAGGGAGAGAGAGGGGGGGAGGGTACGGCCGTCATTTTTGTAGCGAAACTTCCGAATGTTCTTCATTATATTCGTTCGTTTACTCGTGCACGTCAAAAAATTTCATATTTTCATTCATGCCACCGTAACAATAATCTCAATGTTCCAAGAGAGCGAATGTTTTTTTTTCTGGGCCTACTGCCTGGACGAAGCCCAGAAGGGTCCATGTAAGGCCCATACGAGGCTGGGCTAGAAATTTTTCAGGATATAATTATTTAAAGTAGTAAAATTCGGGAAAAAATATATACCCAGTGCATGATATTGTCCCATCCAGTACAAATTAAAAATCTAGAAAGGAGCACGTGGACGACTCCCAGCCGAGTGAGGAGCCACCCGGGCGTTATCTCAACTGCCTACGCCGTCGCCGCCGCACACGCCGGGAGGACATCGGAGCCCTTCCGCCGTGGGGGGCGATGACGATGGCGATGGCGAGAACCTGCCGCCAAAACTCGACCTCCCAGCTTCAGCATCCCATCAACGGGGACTCATTCCCGAAAACCATGTCCAGGGTCTCCGTCCCGCGCGCCGCCTGCGCTATCCACGGCGGAGCTCGCGCTTCCTCCACCCACCCCGGCGGCGATTTCGCTGCCCCTCCTCCGCCGGAGGAGAAGAGGGCGGCGCGGAAGGCGCCGAGGGCCCCGAGGCGGCTGATCACCATCTCGACGTCCGACGGGAGGTGGCACGGCGAGTGGAGCTGCGACTACGTGTTCACGCTGAGGGAGCTGGGTGTGGCCGATGTGGCGGAGGGAGGGCAGGGGGACACCAAGGTCCTCATCAGTCTCGTCATCCACAAGGTGAGGTTGCTCAACGCCAGCTTCTCTTCAACTTCCTGCTTCGGTGGAATGGCTCGTTCTTTCCGTGACCGACGATTGGAAAATTGCAGCACGCCGGGTTCGGATTCTCAGTGGAAGGGAGAATCGGCACGTCCTTCACTCGGAAATGTAGCGGCTGCTTCACCTCGTACATTAAAGAGGTACTGGTTCCGGCGTGCTCTCTGAAGAATTTTCGGTTCAGCCAGTAATTACCGTGCTGTTCTGCAGATTGATACATCGTTCAACGTCTGGGTTCTTCCTTCGAGCAGGAGCAACCCCATGGAGCTCCCCGAAATCGGCAGTGGTGACCCCTCGGTATACCACTGCGAGAGAGAGAGAGAGAGAGAGATCATAGTTTGGAAGAAAACTAACAGGGGAGAACCGGATGAACAGGTGATCTACGTGAAGCCTGGATCAGAAGCCGATCTCGATTCGCTGATCCGAGACGTGATTCGTCTGGCGGCCACAGCAAATGCGGTAGTAATGGAATTCTTCAGAGATAGTGAAGAATGTCCAAGGAAAATTTACGTCTCTCGTTCTCTGTGCAGGGCGCCTGCTCGGAGGCCTGCGAGAAGTCCACTCCGAGATGGAACTGTACGGAAGTCCCTTCCTCCTCCGTCGCCCCCTGCATCATACACTGATAAAATGATCCAAAGGGTGACTCCTTCCGCCATTCTTTCCTCTGCAGACATAGACAACAGGAAGGAGACGTACGACAAGAGGTGGGCTAGGCTTCTGGAAATCCGGGACGTGCTGCCCGGGTAGTATAGGCTTTCGCCAAATCTGATAACAGAACCCAAAAGATTGCAAATATTGTAATTTCATCAAAGAAATCAGCTGATTGATTTCTTGTTACCATAATCGAAAAGAGTAGTGTGGATATCATTTTCAATTTAAGGGTTAGACTTGAAGCTGACACTCATTGACGTAATCTTCGGGATTGGACAGTAGCACGAGGTTACTGGTGGAGAGCTGACCATCTACTTTAAGGAAACTCTGAGTCAGAGAAGAGTCGGAGAATGCGAGAGAGAGAGAGGGGCGGATATGAGTATGGTCTGGTAACATTTACGTGAGAAGAAAAACAGGTGTGGAACGTTCTTGCCTAACCCAGAGTACTACTTTTTTTCAAACACGCGGATGTGCTCTTTGAATCTAAAAGGAAAACAATGGGCTACGGACAAAACAATTGCTCCCTCTTTCAAACAAGCTCCGCATTTGTTCAGAAAAAGATGGGTTATTAGCACTCCGTTAACTTTAATGATGAAAACATGGAAAATCATGACGACAAGATTGCGAACACTTCCAAAGACCGTGGTAGGTAAGAAGGATGTAGAGTCACGTGGAAAAATGTCCTTAATTCTTATAAATGCAGGAGCTGAAATATGGAGAAAATCGGAAGTTGATTACAAATAACCTTCATGCCTTAGAAAACCGTTATAATCTACGGTATTCAGAAAAGCAGAAACAAAAAACGGATGGACGGAAGAACAGAGAATCTATCATATCGACGGTCATACAGATTATGACCGGAGCGGAGCAAAACTGGGAGATCAAAGGGATACATGAGACCGTGTAATAGCAGAGCGGGAAGCGGGAGGCTAGCAGATCAGGGAAATGTAACCGCTGGATAAACCGTAATTGATAAGCTTCGGTCTTGTCTCCTCTCTCCGCCTCCCTTTCACAGTCCAACACGAGACCCAAAAATATGGTGCAGATAAAGAGATGATCGGTTATAAAGACGAGGTATTCAAAAGTTACATCAATGCGGGATTAGAGAAACTTTCGAAGCTATTTAATCGAGATTTATCAGATTAAACTTCTCGGAAATCGTGAACGAAGGAAAGAGAGGATGAGGTCACCGCGTCGTCGATCACACAAGATCCAACAGCGAGAGAAGCGCTTCACAGGAAAAGTATCCCGATCAAAGGAAGATCCGATTATGATTTCCCACGACTTTTTTGAACGGTCTACTGCGACGCTCGACTGGAAAAACCTCCGCATCTCTCTCTCCCTCGCTCTCCGATCATCTGACTGGATCAGGAATCGGAGGAAGAGAGCGGGGAGGGTGTGATCGCAGTCCAAGTACACCGTTCAAGAAAGCCGTGGAAGAACATCCCCGCGATCTCGATCTGGATGAATGCGAAGGACATTCTCATGTTGAATGCGAAGGACTAATCTCAGATGATGATCTCCGTGAAGGAGACAATGGAAAGTACCACCAAACTCCATGGAAGAGGAGAACACGCTTCACAGGAATCCATCTCTCCGAGCAGAGAGAATTCGGGGACGCAGAGTTGAACCAAAGACGGGAGAGGAGAGGGGCAAAGGGTAGAGAAGGGAACGGATGGTTCCTTGGGAGGATCGAAGGTGATCGTGTTGGCTATTAATAGTAGCAGCGGCCCGAATGGCAACAGACTCCGCACGTGCGGCGGCGGACGCCATCCCATTCGTCGCGTCCCATGCGGGAATCCCCAAACGGCGGGCACAGGGCGGGAGACTAACCGTCCTGCGAACTGTCTCCGAATATGACGTGCAATATCTCCAAAAAAAATACGGCCCACGGTCTTTTGAGCCCATTGGGCCGCCTAAAAAAATGGGCTCCTCGTAACCACAGCAACGTTAGATGATGGAGAGCATCCATTTTAACTCTTTTTTAATATTACTTGCACGGAGATAATTATAGTCAACGAAGTAACAGGGAAACTATAAACTATCATTATTTTTTATTATTTATTTAGACTGCCACGGATGCAACGGGAGAACGTACCTAGCGGCGATTATCTTCTCAGCTCTGGTCCTTCTCTGTTCTGGGGTTCGCAGAGGATGCTGGTCTCGGCGATCTGCGAGGTCTCGTAGTAGGGATCAGACGTAAACCTCGGATTGAAACCTGCAGACACGGGTGAGGGAGTGCCCATCAGGGAATATTCTAGCCATCGAATCAGCAGCAGCCAGCAAGATAAATCTTATAATGGATAGTTGGGCCAAATAGAAGAAATTTAATTCATTTTATTTGGATATGTATTAATTTTTTTGTCATTTTTCTAAACCTAAAAAATATTATATTTCTATCTGCGTCTACAATTTTTTTCTCTTTTAGTGGCTGGGAAAAATTAGAATTCTCAACAAAGAATCATACTGCATTAATTTCTTGTATAACATGAAAATTTCAGAGTAGAAAATATAGGAAAAAAATAAAGTATTCGCAATAAAATAGAGAGGAGTGGAATTTAACAAGCACACAGGATGAGTTTTGCTATTTAATACGAAGTCACCCTCACCAACGCGGACGGAGGCGCCCTGATCCGCGATTGCCTGAAATAAAGTGGAAGCTGGCTCGTAATTGATTGACTAATCGGGAGTGCGCCACGCGGCGAGTAAAAGACTTCCGTGGCCGTAATCCCTGTGCGGCTGATTTGCCGGTGAAAAGGTCAAAAGGTCAAATCTTCCTACCCACGGGAATGTATGGAGGATGTCCGCGGATTCCCCACCCGTCAGTCTCCTCTCGTTCCCGTCCCGGGAAGCTTTGCGCCCTTCAAGCCGCAGATTTAGCTTATCAATGGCGCTTCTTATCTCATCGATGCCGCCGTAACTCCTCATTGACTTCGTGCTGGAAAAATCAAGTCGCTCGTCGGAGGGAGAAAAAAACGAGCAGAAGAGGAATCTGAGGAAGCGCACCTGTAATTAACGTGACAAAAATCTCTCGTCTCGTTGCCCTGGGTTGAAAACGAAAGCATGTCAGATGGTCTCGATTGAGCTTCACATAAGCTGGATTATTACTTCAGGATTCTGCCCCAGGATGATTACCCCCTTGAAAAGGTTTGGGGCGAATTCCAGGAAGAGGTCAGCAATCTCTGTGATTCTCTGGACCTCGACGACGCCATTTTGAGCGTTATGATGAGCTGAAGAATGAGTGGAAGGTTTTCAAACAGGTAGTTCTGTGTCCACTCCGAGAATGTAACGCGCCGCATACATTTGATCACCGGCGGAGATCCCGACAGCGGGTCCCACTAAGAACACCCACTGAACATGGAAAAAAACGATTTATGTAAATATATGTAGACATGTGTGTGTGCATAAAATGTAAGGCTTTTCCTGGGCAGAGGGTACGATCAGACAGACCCATGTTCGCATAGGAAGGAGGAAGTTTGTGTTTAACATGCAATCATCTTTGTTTAACAAAGAAGGGATTAATGGAGATGATTTGTTATCATTTAGACGAGTAGTTCCCTATACTTGGTGCCAAGTAAAAGAGAGTGGGGAGAGGTGATACCTGATCAGGCATGACTTCGCCGTTGACTCCCTTGATAGGTATGTCAGCGTAAAGACATGCCTATTGGAATTTGAGGTACCTGTATTCGTCATCAATGCAGAAAATGATGACGTCTTATGATCATTTTCCTCTATTCTTATGTTCGATCCCCACAATCAGAACCTTTCTCCTCTGGATAGAGTGTCTCCGAATGAGTTGTGTTGTTCTATTGTGTTGAAACCCCAAGGGTAAGGCTTTATATAATACATTCTATAATTGTATTATTGTTTTACCCCGAATAAGCCTTAATACCACGAATCATTTATAATTACATTAATATCTACATTAATACTCTAACAATCTCCCACTTGACTTTATTTAATCTTCTTTATATTAGATAATCATGTGGAGCGACCACAATCTTAATGTTTATAAATAATATCTTCATTTTTATCATAATATCTTTCAAAAGCACTAATCATGATGATAGTGCAATGTTTAGGATGTATATCTAATACTCATGATCAATATTAAAATTAAATACTTTGTGATATTTAAAGAATCTTTATGAATGTACTCATTATGTCATGACAAGATAAACAGAATGTCATTCCTATTTATCTAATGATAAATGATAGTTCATCATGAACTAATATTCGGATATCAGATGCGTGATATCACATATTACATTAGTGTCTAAATACATGTCATATCCTCTAGAGAATTGATCAACCTCATCTTAAAGACATGCCCACTATAGGTATTCGGTGGAAGAGACTTCGTAGGAGGATCAATTAACATATAGTTAATTCTAATATAATCAATTGATACTAATTGATCTCTGATTCTCTCCTTCACAACTAAGAACTGAATCTTCATGTGCTTACAAGCACTCAAGCTCTTGTTGTTGTTGGAGAATTTGACAACAGCTTTATTATCATAGTATATTCTTATGGGTTTATGTATAGAGTTCATAACTCTTAATTGTATGATGAAGTGCTTCATCTATATAACTTGCGAAGATCCGTGGAAGTAAATTATATACTCAATTTCCATTGTAGATGTTGCAATTGTCTTTTGCTTGGTACTAGACCATGAGACAACTCCTCCAGTAAGTAAGAACATATAGCCCAAAGTTGATCTTCTTGTGTTCAAACATCTAACAAAGTTTGAGTCGGTGTATCTAATGACCTCTAGTTGATCTATTCGCCTATATGTGAGCATTAGATTTTTAGTTCCTTTAAGATATTGTAGAATCTTCTTCATAACTTATTAGTGCAATAAGCTAGGATCACTTTGATATCTTCTACGATATCTAATGACAAATGATAGATTCGGTAAGTACATGTTTGTGCATAGTTGAGAGACCCAACAACAACAACATATGATTTTTCCTTCATTATAAGCCTCTTCGCATCTAAAAGAGGTCCTTCTAATTTCCTTAGATTATTCCTTTAACAATAGGTGTTTTACCATGAGAGTAATTTTTCATTGAAAATTGTTTCAACACATTTGATAGGTAAGACCTTTGAGACAGCCTAAGCATGTCTAAAGACCTATTTTGGTGAATCTCTATATCAATTACATAATTCATTTCACCCATGTCTTTCATATCAAAGTTGATTGATAGAAATTCTTTGATCTCCTTTAATAAATTAAAATTTGAACTAACAAGTAGAATATCATCTATGTACAACACAAGTAGTATCCACCCACTCTCACTTTCCTTTAGATATATATATTGATCAACAATATTTTCTTTAAACCTAAATGATGTGATAACTTTATTAAATTTGAAGTACCATTATTTGAAAGTTTGCTTGAGTCCATATATAGATTGATCTAACTTGCAAATCATATGTTCTTTACCTTTAACCTCAAATCTTTAAGACTACTACATGTACACTTTTTCCTTTAATTCGACATTTAAGAAAGCTATTTTCACATCTATTTGATGTAGTTCTAAATCAAAATGAATTACTAAGGTCATGATTATTCTTAATGAATCTTTAGAGGAAACATGAACATAAGTCTCATAATAGTCTATGCCTTTTTTCTGTGTAAAACCTTTTGCTACAAGTTTAGTTTTATATTGTTCAACTGTGTCATCCAAATTTAATTTAATTTTATGAACTCATTTGTAACTAATAAGTTTCTTTTCAAAGACAAGTTTACGATGTCCCATACTTGATTACAATCTATGGACACAAGCTCCTTCTTCATAGTTTGTAACCATTTATTAGAGTTCACACAATTCATGGCTTGTGAAAACATAACAGAATCATTTACCCTTTGACCCATGTCTTCACTTGAGAGATATACCACATAGTTAGATGAAATAGCTGATTTTCTTTGTCTATTTGATCTTCTTATATTCACTTCTTGATCCTAATGTAGATCTTGAATAGATGGATCTACAGTAAACTCAAATGATTATTTATGTGGTTGTTTTTGAGTAGGTATATTTATCCTTTCATTGTTGTCCAAGGTTGAAACAACATATGACAAATAAATCTCAATTTCTTGAATAGAATAAATATCATTACCCACTAATGGCGAGTGGGACCCATCTCCATCAACTCAGGAGACATCGACAGTCTGAGTTCATCCCGATCGACGTGGGAAGACGAAGGAGCCTGGCTTTCGCTACACGGCCTAGCCCTTTAAGACGACGATATTCCACCTCTGCGACGACGACGAGCTCGAGCTCACCCTTATCTTTTTTTATATTTTCACGTTGCCTTGTTGGGCCTCGCGTGTGTGTTAGTGGGCCCAATTCTATGTGTGTGTTGTTGTTTGTGTCTCCCTTTCTTTAGGGTTTTATTGAGTTTCTCTTCTGAGGCCCAATTAAAACCCTAAGAGGGGGGACCTATGTTTCTTTCCTTTTGGGCCTCTTTTGGGGCTTATTTGGGTCTTCATTTGAGGCCCACTTAAGTACCGTACGAGGGCCCTCCTCTTTCTCCTTTTAGAGGAGCTTATTGGGTCTCTCTTTTAGAGGCCCAATAAGCTCCTTTTGTAGCCTTTTTGTGGCTTATGGGCTTGAGGGCCTCAAGTGGGCCCACCTCCCCTTAGCCCACTTGTGGGCCCTATATAAGGGGAGGTAGGACCCCCCCTCAACAAGAAGTGCCGAATTTTGTGAGAGATTATCGTTTGTGAGTTACCTTCTTCGTGACCTAGGATAGGGAAGGAAGGAGGGGGAGGAAGGCCGTCGATACCCTTTGAGGACTTCGTTCATCGTGACGCTGCTGCTTGAGAAGTCCCGCCGCCGCCTGAGACCAACTGCCGCCACTGGACATCTTCATTGCCGCTCGTGAGATCGTCGCCGTCATCGGACAAAATAGTTGCGGTTGCTACTGCAATTGCCGCCTCCTCTGCTAGAACCCCGTCACGCCGTCATGAAGAAAGGGGCTTGCTTCGCCTCCCTACGAGCCGTCGCTGAGCACTCCGCCGGAGTCTCTTGACTCCTAGTTTTATTGCCCCCTCTTCCTTTGGAACGCCACCATAAACTCGCTGGAGCTGCCATCCACTGCTCCACCCAATCGCTGGCCGTTTGCCGACGAACGCCTACCTGCCGCCAATGTCGGGAGAGACCCTGCAGCCGTGCCGACGAGCCAGATCCAGTCCAAGCTCCTCACAGGCCCCCATCGGAGTTTCTCGACGATCCGCCGCCATCGCGCCGTTTTTGGCACTGCCTAGACCAAGAGGGCTCAACCCTCCCTAGTATCGTTGGCCGGGATCGTCTCCTTCCTCTGCTCCGCTTCTCGGTGCCACCAGAGAAGGCCAATCCTTCCAGCGATGGTTGGGCTTCCGCCCAACTGCCGACGCTCGGCATTCCCGTCGAAGCGGCGCCGCCGCGCGCGCCCCGCGCGCCCACTTAGTCCCCGCCGCCCGTGTGCCCCAAGGCACGCCACGCGGCTTGCTGTGTGTGCCCACTAGTGTGCCCTTCGGCCCACCAGCGGGCCCACGCCCGCGCCGACCGCGCCACGCCTTACGACGACGACTACTGCGACTCTCGACTAGGACCAACTGTTGACGCTGAGCATCGCTCTTCACTGGACGTCTCTACTTACGTTGAGTCTCTGCTCCGTCACGACCCGCCGGGCTACCCAGCCCAGAAGGTTAGCTCCGTACCCCTTCTTACTTAAGTTTAATTATCTTTCAAAGGGTTTTCTCGGCTCATTTCCTCGTCATCTGGAGAATGTAGATAGGATAGGACGGGTTATAAGATCGTGACTTCTGACGCTGCGTCAGACTCATCACTGTTTGTGAGCTGTAGCCCTAGGCTACTTCACGACGACCGTTCCGCCGTTTGTCCAGACGTGGACCGAGAGTGTCTCACACTTACCATCGTCGAGTGTTTCCCCGAGTTGTCCTGGGTTGATAGTGCATATTGGTATGCCTGCTTGTACTTAGGTTAGGCGGTCAGACCTAGAGTCTAGGGTCCATACATTCTTATCGGATTGGTCCGACTGCCCCATCAAGGGTCTTGAGTTTTATTGATCAGGTACAAGGGTTCTCGCCCCATCCTACATCAAATTGGTATCAAAGCACCCATAGGACCCAGCCATGGTAGAGACACGCTCAACCAGAGCTTGAGGAGGTTTACCATCGTCACGGCACTCGAGCGAGGCCTCAGATCCCGCTACTCCCCAAGTAGCTAGAGTGGACACGAGTCCACCATCTCCGTCGAGACCGACGGATTTGGTACTAGACCCCTCCTAACCCCGGGAGACTCCAAGCCCTATGTCAGCCGGAGAGGCATTAGGGCGGCCCCAGCCGCCCGCAGCTACGAGCCGCCAAGCTGGGAAGGAATCCGTGTCCTATTATCCACCGAAGAGTACTAGGGGTCGTGGCAGAGGTGGCCAATGGCAACCTTCGCCCCAATACCCTTCGAGGGATGGAGCGCGCTCCCTCCAAGATGATGTCATGTGTAACATGACCTAGGCTATTGACCCTGCTTGTAGGGACGATCTCTCACGTCCACCTCCACCACCACCACCACCACCCCGACCCCACTACAAGGACTATCGACCCCACGAACACGACCAGGGACACGACAGGAGAGACCTTCTGGGTTACAAAGCTGACCCTTCCCGACGAGAGGAGCTCGATCAGCAGGCAGAGCATTAGCCACGAGATCGCGATGATTCCTACCGCAACTACCAACGTGCTCCGGACTTTCACTGAGCACCCGAGGATGCTCACTAGGATCGTTACTACAATCAAGGGCGTTACCCGAGTCCTCCCCACCGTGACTTTGGTGGTGACCATAGGGCCGATCGATTGGATGATCGGGATAGGCGACGTGAGGATCACAGGGCCCGCATACTGAAAAGTATGCGCGCCGATGTGACAGTCTTTGACGGCTCCTGTGAGCCCAAGGACTTCATAGATTGGGAGTCTAGTATGAACTCCTATTTCTGGTGGTAGTACCACATGGATGATGATTTATACGTGGAGTATGTGGAGATGAGACTTGACGGACAGGCCAAGATCTTTTGGGAAAATGAGAGCTACGCGGCACACTACAAGGACTATCGACCCCACGAACGTGACCAGGGACACGACAGGAGAGACCTTCTGGGTTACAAAGCTGACCCTTCCCGACGAGAGGAGCTCAATCGGTGAGCAGAGAGTTAGCCACGAGATCGCAATGATTCCTACCGTGACTACCAGCGTACTCCGGACTTTCACTGAGCACCCGACGTGAGGACTTTCACTGATCCTGGTGGGCGTCCTCGAGTGCTTAGTGAAAGTCCGGAGCACGCTGGTAGTCGCGGTAGGAATCACCGTGATCTCGTGGCTAACGCTCTGCTCGCCGATCAAGCTCCTCTCATCAGGAAGGGACAGCTTTGTAACCCGGAAGGTCTCTCCTATCGTGTCCTTGGTCGCGTCCGTGGGGTCGATAGTCCTTGTAATGGGCCGCGTAGCTCTCGTTTTCCCAAAAGATCTTGGCCTGTCCACCAAGTCTCATCTTTGCATACTCCACGTATAAATCATCATCCATGTGGTACTACCACTGACGAGGGCAGCCCATCACATCATGGGTTGATATGACATCACGCTTGAGGAACAAATATGTTCCTCGACAGTACGACTCGATGTTGTTCCTCAGTTGGTTAGACCTCCGACACGGCAAGATGCCCGTCTGAGACTATATTCAGGCTTTTGAGGAGTGCCGCATGAGGTGTTGCTTTGTCGAGGACTCACATGTGGTTTTGGGCATTTTCACCCATAGACTTAGTCTCCAGCTTTAGAATGAGGTACTGAAAGGCAACCTATCTGAAGTAGATGAGGCCTACTATATAGTAGAACATATGGAGCGACCCACCGAGGACACACAGTTCACCCCACCTCCGATCTCCACGAAGATCGCGTCCACACGATCTGCACAGACACCAAAACAACACCGACGCGTACTAGCTTAGGGAACAAACGGACTACACCGGCGACATCAGTAAGGTCTGCACCACCCCCGCGTCCGCCACCAGCCGACGCATCCAACCATGCTACGGCCGCGTCCCAAGCCCATATCACTTGTTTCAAGTGTAAGGGTAAGGGGCACCGAATGAGCCAATGCCCATCTTCGAATCTCCTCATAGAGATCGAAGAATTGGGTAGCGGTTCACACAAGGATGACGTCCCCGTAGGCGATGATGTCTACATTGCTAACGAGGGTTTGGCCGAGGAGTGTGATGACACTCCTGATTTGATTGGCTACATCTAGATCCGGCCAGCCACCGTAACAGCAGCCACGGCTGCCTCTCTCACTGCCTCATCAACGAGCACTTCATCGAGGGGACTAGATAGCATCACTGTCTAGCGTCCATCTCGAGATGCAATTCCTGCACCACAGCCAGACACCACAGCAGCTAGAGAGATCACCCCGGCACCGAGGACGACTATGTCCACATCTTCACCTATGACATACGATTCTTTTTGCACGTCAATCTTCTACACCTATGTGAAGATCAACGGACACACATGCAAGGTGATTGTGGACAGCAACAGTTGCATCAATGTTGTGTTAGACCAGGTCTTGTAGAGGGCAGGGTTGAGTACTATCAGCCATTCAGCTCCTTACAACGTATCGTGGATAGACGCCACCACACTACCTATTCGTCGATAGTGCCAGGTGCCACTTAGGGTGAGCACCTATGATGAGCACATCTTGTGTGATGTACTTCCGATGAAAATCGACGGTATCATACTTGGATGGCCCTAGTTGTTTGACTATGACATCCAACTCATGGGAAGAGCAAACACTTGCTCTTTCATGTATCGAGATCGCCGACTTGTTTGATATCCGCATACCAACAAGCCTGCGCCGAAGCGTGACCTTAAGTCACGTATTGGGTTAATCATGATGAAGGGACCTGTCTTTCAACACGAGATCACGTTAGACATAGATGAATCCCTGACATGCTTCGCTTTTACTTTGGATATGCGAGATGACACGACCCTTACCCCGCCTTCTCCAGAAGTCGAGGGTATATTATCGGAGTACGCCGACATACTCCCAGAGGAGCTTCCCAGAGAGCTGCCTCCATTGAGGCACATTCAGCATGCTATCGACTTGGTTTCTAAAGCATCACTCCTGAACCTGCCGCACTATCGCATGGAGCCGGCCAAGTACGAGGAGCTTAGTCGACAGGTACATGAGCTTTTGGACAAGGGACTCATCCAACCGAGCCTTAGTCCTTGCGCCATACCTGCATTACTAGCGCCGAAGAAAGATGGCACTTGGCGCATGTGCTGCGACAATCTTGCGATTAATAAGATAACGGTTAAATACCATTTTTCGATCCCAGAATTACAAGACTTATTCAACATGATGACAAGAGCCACTATCTTTTCAAAGATAGATCTACATAGTGGTTATCATCAAGTCAAGATACGTTTAGGGGACGAGTGGAAGACCGCCTTCAAGATCAAGGAGGGCCTGTACGAGTAGAGGGTCATGCTATTTGGCCTCTCCAACGTGCCCAGTACGTTCCAGAGGCTAATGAACGAGGTTTTACGCCCATTCATTGGCAAGTTTGTCGTAGTATACTTCGACAACATCTTGGTCTACAGCGGTACCTGAGACTCCCACCTCCAGCACTTATGACAGGTGTTTGAGGCACTTCGACAGGAAAAGCTTTATGCCTATCCTAAGAAGTGTAGTTTCTTCACTTCTGAGGTTACGTTCCTCGATTTTGTCATCTCCGAGCGAGGAGTTTCCGCGGACCCCAAAAAGGTCCGCGCGATAGTCACCTGGCCACGCCCAGACAGCATGCATGCCATCCGGAGCTTCATTGGACTAGTGACGTTCTACCGTCGCTTCATTGGGGACTTTAGTTCCGTTACCACTCCGCTTACTGATTGCCTTAAGAAGGAGACCTTCCTTTGGACAGAGGCAATTGAACAGGCCTTCGATCGGGTGAAGGCTCTTATCACTCAGGCACCGATACTTCGCCTACTCGACTTTGGCAAGGTATTTGAGGTCGCATGTGACGCCTCGGGTGTCGGTATTAGGGGTGTCCTTAGCCAGGAAGGACATCTCATAAAGTACTTTAGGGAGAAGCTGAATGACGTGAGGCTTAGATACTCCACTTACGATCGTGAGTTCTACACCGTCATTCAGGCTCTCAAACACTGGCGTCATTACCTCCTTTATAAGGAGTTTGTGCTCTTCTCGGACCATGAGGCCTTGAAGTATCTACACTCTCAGCGGAAGCTGAGCAATCGATACACACGATGGGTCAAGTACTTGTAGGACTTCACCTTCGTCCTTCGCCACAAGAAGGGCAAGGAGAACATGATGGTAGATGCCCTCAGCCGACAAGTCCACTTGCTGAACCTTGTGAAGGTTCAGGTGACAAGATTTGAGTCCCTACTAGATTCTTACGCAGATTGCCCGGACTTCAGCCACATTCTACGAGCACTCTCAGATGGTCCATCTTGAGATCATAAGGACTTCCTTGTGGCCAACGGATGTCTGTTCTTTAGGAGCAGACTGTGCATTCCATGCACATCCCTCCGTGACTTTCTCACTTGGGAATGCCACGTAGGAGGTCTATTCGGCCATTTCGATTGCGATAAGACCATCGCAGTGGTCGAGTACTAGTTCTACTGGCCAACCCTCAAGCGCGATGTAAGGAACATTGTCGCTTAGTGTCAAGTGTGCGCACTCACCAAGCAGGTAAAGAAGAATGCTGGACTCTACACGTCACTTCTAATGTCGACCCGCCCATAAGACGACGTCAGCATGGACTTCGTTTTGGGACTCTCGCGCACTGCACGACAACACGACTCGATCATGGTGGTCGTCGATAGGTTTTCAAAGATGGCACACTTCGTGCCATGTTCGAAAACCTCTGACGCCTCCAAGGTCGCTAGCCTTTACTTTAGAGAGATTGTGCGTCTTCGTGGACTACCCAAGTCCATAGTCTCAGACCGTGACGTATGGTTTACTAGTCACTTTTGGAGGACTCTTTGGAGTTTACTTGGGACTAAGCTCAAGTTCTCCACTACTTACCATCCACAGACTGACGCCCAGACTGAGGTCGTCAATTGTAGCTTAGGGAATCTACTTCGGTCATTAGTCGGTGAGAGTTTGACCACTTGGGATCTGATCATACCACGCGCCGAGTTTGCCTATAACTCCTCGACCAACCGTACCACTAGCATGAGCCCCTTCGAGATCGCACACGGCTTAGCACCCTACAAGCCCCTAGATCCAGTACCCTTAGACCATCATATTAGAGTTTTCGAGGATGGTGTTGCATTCGCCCAGCATGTTAGTCAGAATGCATTGTACAAGCAGGCTGCCGATATGCATTGTCGACCCCAGATCTTCCAAGTGGGAGACCATGTTATGGTGAGGATGAGGCCTGAGTATTACGCTCCTGGCTCTACTACAAAGCTTCACGCTTGTAGTGCCGGCCCGTTTCGTGTTCTTTCCCGAATAGGCAAGAACGCCTATGCCGTCGACATCCCTCCTTCGTGGGGGATTAGCTCCACGTTCAACGTGATGGATCTAGCGTCGCAGCAAGCCCCACCTCTTGCATCTGACATCGAGCCCTCATCTACTGGCCCCTTCTCTAAGAGAGAGTTTGCCATGGAGTCTACTCCCCCCATTTTACCTCCTGATTGGCATGAGCGAGTCGAGAAGATTCTTCGGGAGGTAATTGACTTTATAGGGGACGGAGTTTCGTGGAGATTCCTAGTACGTTGGCAAAGTCACCTGTCAGAGGACGATGCTTGGATTTCAGAGGCAGACCTGGAGCGACTACGACTAGACCTGCTGGAGCCCCTGCCTTCCCCACTTGCCAACTCATCAGAGTCGAGTTCTTTTGACCCCGGGAGGATTGACGGCGAGTGGGACCCATCTCCATCAGCTCAGGAGACACCGGCAGTCCGAGTTCATCTCGATCAACGTGTGAAGACGAAGGAGCCTGGCTTTCGCTACACAGCCTAGCCCTTCGAGATGACGACATTCCACCTCTACGACGACGACGAGCTCGAGCTCACCGTTATCTTTCTTTGTATTTTCACGTTGACTTGTTGGGCCTCGTGTTTGTGTGTTAGCAGGCCCAATTTTATGTGTGTGTGTTGTTGTTTGTATCTCCCTTTCTTTAGGGTTTTATTGGTTCTCTCTTCTGAGGCCCAATTAAAACCCTAAGAGGGGGGACCTATGTTTCTTTCCTTTTGGGCCTCTTTTGGGGCTTATTTGGGTCTTCATTTGAGGCCCACTTAAGTACCGTACGAGGGCCTTCCTCTTTCTCCTTTTAGGGGAGCTTATTGGGTCTCTCTTTTAGAGGCCCAATAAGCTCCTTTTGTAGCCTTTTTGTGGCTTATGGGCTTGAGGGCCTCAAGTGGCCCCACCTCCCCTTAGCCCACTTGTGGGCCCTATATAAGGGGAGGTAGGACCCCCCCTCAACAAGAAGCGCCGAATTCTGTGAGAGATTATCGTTTGTGAGTTACCTTCTTCGTGACCTAGGATAGGGAAGGAAGGAGGGAGAGGAAGGCCGTCGATACCCTTTGAGGACTTAGTTCACCGTGACGCTGCTGCTTGAGAAGTCCCGCCGCCGCTTAAGACCAACTGCCACCGTCATACATCTTCATTGCCGCTTGTGAGATCGTTGCCGTCACCAAACGAAACGGTTGCAGTTGCTGCTGCAACTGCCGCCGCCTCTGCTGGAACCCCGTCATGTTGTCGTGAAGAAAGGGGCTTGCTTCGCCTCCCTACGAGCCGTCGCCGAGCACTCCGTCGGAGTCTCTTGACTCCTAGTTTGACTGCCCCCTCTTCCTTCGGAACTCCACCATAAACTCGCTGGAGCCGCCATCCGCCGCTCCACCCAGTCACTGGCCGTTCGCCGACGAATGCCTACCTACCGCCGACGTCGGGAGAGACCCTGCAGCCGTGTCGACGAGCCAGATCCAGTCCAAGCTCCTCACAGGCCCCCGTCAGAGTTTCCCGACGATCCGCCGCCGTCGCGCCGTTTCTGGCGCCGCCTAGACCAGGAGGGCTCAACCTTCCCTAGTATCGTCGGCCGGGATTGTCTCCTTCCTTTGCTCCGCTTTCCGGTGCCGCTAGAGAAGGCTGATCCTTCTGGCGACGGTTGGGCTTCCGCCCAACCACCGACGCTCGGCATTCCCCCTGAAGCGCTGCCGCCGCGCGTGCCCCGCGCGCCCACTCAGTCCCCGCCGCCCACGTGCCCCGAGGCATGCTGCGCAGCTTGCCACACGCACCCGCTAGTGTGCCCTTCGGCCCACCAGCGGACCCATGCCCGCGCCGACCACGCCACGCCTTACGACGACGACTACTGCGACTCTCAACCAGGACCAACCGTCGACGCTGAGCATCGCTCTTCACCGAACATCTCTTCTTACATCGAGTCTCCGCTCCGTCACGACCCGCTGAGCTACGCAGCCCCGAAGGTTAGCTCCGTACCCTTTCTTACTTAAGTTTAATTATCTTTCAAAGGGTTTTCTCGGCTCATTTTCTCATCATCTGGAGAATGTAGACAAGATAGGACGGGTTATAGGATTGTGACTTCTGACGCTGCGTTAGACTCGTCACTATTCGTGAGCTGCAGCTCTAGGCTACTTCACGACGACCGTTCCGCCGTCTGTCCGGATGTGGACCGAGAGGGTCTCACACTTACCATCGTCAAGTGTTTCCCCAGGTTGTCCTGGGTTGATAGTGCATATTGGTACGCTTGCCTGTACTTAGGTTAGGCGGTCAGACTTAGAGTCTAGGGTCCATACATTCTTATCGGATCGGTCCGACTGCCCCATCCCGGGTCTTAAGTTTCATTGATCAAGTACAAGGGTTCTCGCCCCGTCCTACATCACCAACCCTCATCAGAAATTCATTGGGATACAATAATATTTTCGTGAGACTCCTCAAAAATGAAATCCCTAAGGATACTCTCACTAACACAAACATCTTCTAAAAAGATAACTCTATTAATTTCAACAACTTTAGGGGTATGTGTAAGATAATAAAATCTATATCTTTTCAACCTCTCTGGATAGTCAATAAAGTATTCGCTAACTGTCTTTCAAGCTAAATATTTCTCATATAGATTATAAAGTTCAACTTCAGCTGGACAACCACATATATACATGTAACCTAAATATGGTTTCCTATTAGTCCATAACATGTAAGGAGTTTTCTATATGACCTTTGTTGGAACCTTATTTAAAATATGTATAATTGTCTTTAAAGCTTCACTCCACATAACCTTTTAAGTATTATGTTTTGTCTTTGTGCAACCCCATTCATGTTAGGCTTGCCTAGTATTGTGTATTGAGGTACTATGTTATGTTCCTTAAGAAACAATGCAAATGGTCCCGACATTTATTCTTTCTCAATATGTCTATCGTAATATTATTCACCTCTATCTAATTTGACTACTTTTATAAGTTTTCCTAATTATTTTTCTACCTCTTTCTTAAAATCTTTGAACATGTCAAAGATTTCAAATTTATCATATATGAGGTAAAGATACATAAACCTTGAATAATTATCGATAATAATTACAAAATACTTCTAGCTTGTAAAAGATGGATGAAAAGGTATATACATATGTATGAATCAAATCTAAAATTACCTCACATTTTATGTTATTTTTCTTGAATGTGTTGATTGTTTTTACTTCGATGCAATCAACATAAGTATTGAGATTTTTGAAATCTAAAGATCCTAAAAAATGTAATTGTAGAGTTATCGTTAGTTCTATTTCTTTTATTTGAGCAAACTAGAGAAATATTTTTAAAAGAAATACTAAGCTTAAATTATCCATCAATTATACTAGTCCCAATAGAAATATTTTCTCTAGTTAAAGACATATTTGATGCATCAAGAATGACGCAATAATTATCTTTAACTAATTTAATAACATATATCATTTTTTGTTGAAATGATGAAATAGAAAAGTAGTTCTTCAAAAGTAAAGTTTTTTCAGACTCTAGAGGGATTCTATAGTCTCTCACTAACTTTACATGTGAACATATCTAATTTTCAGATACGACATATAGTTCACACTTAGTTGGAGGCCGTCTTGTTAGAAACCCCTGCAAGGTGGTTGAAATGTTCACACCCACTCAAATTAGGAACATAAGCTAGATTTGATTCATAACTCATGACATGAACCTCATTACTTGAATTTTATTTGATTAATCATTCCTCATACTTCGAACATTTCTTTTTCAGATGACTAGATTTCTTGCAGGGTCTTGATTCCAAGGTTTACTTTCATACAATATACAGAGAAAGGAAACATACAAGAGTACATCATGCCCATGTGTGACATTGTAGGAAAACTAAATGATTTGAAAATTAGTATTCTTGAGGCCTTTTTGGTCCATTACATCTTACAGACACTACCACTGAAATATGACCCTTTTAAGGTCTCCTATAACACACATAAGAATAAGTGATCAATGAATGATCTCATGACCAAATGTGTTCAGGAGGAAGAAAGACAAGCTACTAGTCAATTGGACAAGATAAATACTAGGTGAATATGATAACTTACGGATCAAAGAAGTGTGCATCAAAAGTCAAGATGATCAAGAAATTTTCAAAAAAAATACTTAACCTTACAAATAGAGCTTTCAGCCACACCTAATTCATGCTTCTTGTCTGAAGATTTTTTTATCATCTTGCCTTTTGATGCATGCTTCTTTGATCAGTGAGTTACTATATTCACAATATTTATCTTGTCTAATTGACTAGTAGCTTGTCTTTCTTACTCTTAAACACATTTGGTCATGAAATCATTTATTGACCATTCATTCTTATGTGTTATAGGATATCTTAAAAAGGTCATATTCTGTTGGTGGTGTCTGCAAAATGTAATGGACCAAAAAGGTCTCACCAAAAAGGTCTCAAGAATAGTAATCTTCAGATCATTCAATTTTCCTACAACGTCATGCATAACCATCCAAAAGGTTGCAATGAGTAATGTTAATCTCATTGATTTAAATGCAAAGTTGAATGTCATCTAAATTAAATTTAAAATCTAGTTGATATAATTAATATAAATAAGCATTCAATATATTTTTATTATTGGACTGAACAAATTAATATTCTATCTTGATAGTCCAATGCATATTACATGTTATACATCTAATTATTGTCTAAAATTCAAAAATACCAATAACATGAATATAGACAATAAATTAAAACATTAAAACTGCAATATGATTATTATTATTTTAAATTAATGTCCTATCTTGATAGTCCAATGCATATTGCATGTTATACATCTAATTATTGTCTAAAATTCAAAAATACCAATAACACGGATATAGACAATAAATTAAAACATTAAAACTGCAATATTATTATTATTATTTTATAATAATCGACATCAAATGACATCATCATCGGGCGGCCGTCGCTTCGGATTCCGTGCGAGGCGGTTAGCACGGCGAAATATCCACCGTTACAGCGCCTCGGGAGGTGAGTCACCGCCTCCCACGAACCGCTTAGTCGGCCCAGGAGGCGGCGCTCGCGTCGAGGCCCTCTGCCAGACGGTCGCAACGCTCCACTCTCCTTCGCCAATGTCGGCGGGGGTGGAGACACCGCGGAGGCATGGAGTGCAACTGCCACCGCGACAGGCAGCGGAGCCGGCAAAGACGGGGCCCGCTGCGATGAGGACCGCCGCCGCGACCAGCATGACGGCAGTGGGTATTGGGACTGCCGTTGTGGCAACCCACGCCTCGACAACGTACGACGGTCGTCTGCATGCTCATACTGCACTGCCTATGGCCACTTTACCGCAGCGGCCGTCAGCATGGTCGCCGCTGTGGTCTTCTTGGCCATAGCTTTCCTGGTCGCCAACGCGGCCATTGGCTGCCTTGGTCTACACCTCATATGGACAACACGATCGCCTATTCGGCCGCTTCCATCATCTCAGCCTCACGGCAAACGTATGGTGTGGTCCCCATGCGGCGACTTAATGGCTGACTGTGCTTCTCATATGCCTCTTATGCGACGAAAGTCGCATAGAGTAATCAGAACAGATAGGAGAAAACCTTGCTCTGATACCACTTGTTGGAATATGACGTACCTGCTGTATTCGCTATCAATGCGGAAAATGACGAACGTCTTATGATCTTTCTCTTCTATTCTTCTATTCGACCCTCACAATCAGAACCTCTCTCTTATGGATGGAGTATCTTCGTACGAATTGTGTTGTTCTGTTGCATTGAAACCCCAAGGGCAAGGGCAGGCCTTTACATAATACACTCCATAACCGTATTACTGTTTTGCCCCGAGTAAACCCTAATACAACGAATCATTTATAATTGCATTAATATTCAATTTGATTGGAAAAGTCACCTTAATGGAGTTCGACTCCAACAATGCCTTGTAGTGAGAGTCGACGATGTCCCTTCCAAAGGCCTTGTCGGTTCCAACACCGCAGTAGTATTGACCCTATATATACACAGAGAGATGGACTTTCAGATTCCCGTTCATGGTCACAAGAAAAAAAAACAGTTTGTGCTGGACCCATTTTCTGGTCGTGTTAAAGAATTTCCACAAGATGAGAGATTTCAAGAATCCTAAACAGTTTATATTGAAATGTACGAACAAGGGGATCTTAAGCATTTGGATTTCTCTTGGAGCTATAAATTATGATTAAAACAAATGGACATTAGAGCAATATTAGTAGTATATTATAAATCATGACACAAGAAAATTGAGTATGATTGCAACCTAAAGACTGATGGAGTCACCAAAAGGCCATTGAGGATGGCAACTGTAAGGTCTCTGGCAATTAGTGTGGGGTCTTACGAACGGATCTGACCCAACCAGACTGAGAATACTTCTAGCCTAGTTATCTGGGTCAAGAGAAAAATTCATTTCATTTCAAATCAACAAATGAGATCCACTGCTGTAGCAGCCATTGCCTCTATCCAAAATATAATAATGCAAGCAGATATTTCCATGACTAATAGAAAATAATGATATATTTAAACATCTCACAGACAGAAATATTTGAAAAGAACTTTGAAATGAAGACATTCGGATAGCAATATTTTTTAAAAGAAAAAAAGTCGATGGTACACTTAATATGCGTGGGAGGACTTTTTGAATCGGAGAAACCCTCCCATTCAATTAATATTTTATCAAAAAAAAAAAAAAAAAACAAGACTTGAGACCCTTCAGAAGGAAAATTTCCACTTCCATAGATGTTCCTGCCTCTGTCTTTTACCTTTCCTAAGCGTAAAACATGTGGGAGAGACAGGATTTGAACCCGCGAAGGAAACCTTCAACAGATTACACAGAGAGAGTGGAACCTACGAGTTGAGCTGTAGGAACCTGATAAGAAAACACCAAGGACTGAAAACTTGAACCCAGCGTTAAAAAAACTGTAACTCGTTAGAGAGCCGTCGTCAAAACCTTACGTACAATAATGGGTGTTCTATTAAGGATGGGTCGTCAGAATTAAAATGTCTCATGACCAAATCGGACAGAACAAACCTTCAGGATAGAACAATACTTCTCTGATAAAACTCTTGATTTCAGCTAACAATACTTATCCGGGGTGCCAAACTCAAAACAATGAAAGGAAATATATTATTAAGGAAACTCGACGATGCTTCAGAAACAAATGAGATTAAATCCCTTGTGTTGAATGAATGAAAGCAAATGGAAATTTACCGCGGCTCCTCGGCGACGACGTCGGATGACTGAATATCTTCTCAGCCGGGAATCTACTGTTCCAAGGGATCGGCTCCCCGTCAGGGGTGTATGCATCGCAGATGACCTAAGCAATACCAGAAGGGGAATTTATGCCAGGAAATCCATAGTCATTCCTGACGCTCTTCCCCATCCCTAGCCTTCAACGCTGTGCTAGAGAACTAGGGTCTGCCTTGAGGGAATAGTAGGGTATTTATATATCCAAGACAAAGAAACATGTGAAGATAGCGATTGCGTTGGATACAGAAGCTCACCAGAATATTGTGTTCCCTCCTGAAAGGATATTTGAATATTGCCTGGGGACTGATCCATGAGAGACGAAATAAACCATGCAATTAATAGACCTTGACCCACCATCGCGTAAGATTGTATATGGAAAGTCGATAAACGATAGGGTAGATATTCGGGAAAGGGAACACGAGACACTCACCAGAGAATGACCTCGCTGTTCTCACCAGAAGCCTAGCGGGTACATGATATTTCATAGTTCCACGTAGGCAACTCCTTCGAATCCCGAACACGTCCCTGAAGAGTCTGGTCTCGCAGAAACAACAACAAGAGAAGAAAAGCAACCATGAACGTCACCATAAGATAGTCATAACTCAGCTCCTCACTAGAATATTACAGGTAAGGACCACGCAGTCAGAACTTGGAGATGCTCACCCTTGCTTTGCTTCTCACATTCTCGCTATCCCTGGTCCAGCGAGATAACAGCAATCAACCGCCACAACACACGGCTCACGGCACAGGAATACGAGAATATAATTCACTGATGGAGATAGAAGACGGACGTAGAGCAGAGAAATCCGACGACGGAGATCAAAGAAGGATCAAGAAGCCACACCACGAGCAAGGGTGGAGAACTGAGAAGGGAAAAGGAGATTCGGAGACGGTACCATATGTACTCGGCGATGATCTCCTCCGTGGAGTCGGCGAGGTCGAGGTTTAGGAGGTCGTTGAGAAGAGCCATGGCCGACCGAGGAAACAGGCGCGCAGGCGCTCTCAAGGAAGAGGAGAGTGTACAGCACTTGGTACGAGTTCTGAGAGTAAGCAGAAACGATAGAATCTGCGCGGGGAAGCCAAGATCGAGCTTGCTACGTGTCGCCCCGAGAGCTTCCTTCGAATAGGTGGCATTTCCATCAGCTGACACTTTTTGGCTTTTCACGTCCTTGAGAAATTGGCCTCTTCAACCGCCTTCATTTGTACGGAAAATGGGCTCTACACGGCCCGCGGCCCAAACTTCTGGAGATGGGCCCACAGTGATCTGGATTTGGGCTTTTAACTCTACCCATATCAACCCCATCCAAGCGAGACGAAGCCCGCGCTTTCACAAGGTTCAGCTCTTCCCCCCCCCCCCTCTCCCTCTCTCTCTCTCTCTCACACACACACACCTCGAATCCGACGTAGACAATCTAAAAAATGGGCTCATCTCAATCTATTGGACCATCTAGAAAATGGGCTCCTCTGGCGGGCTGGCAGGCTGGCGGGCTGGCGGGCTGGCGTCCTTCACAGCCGGCCCGGATTCCCAAGATCAGGCCCAAATCCGGCCCGTTAACTACAGCAACGTCGGACGATTGAGAGTATCTATTTTAACTACTTTTAATATTATTCTCACGGAAATAATTACTGTCCTCAAAGCAACATGAACGTACCATTATCATTCATTTCGACTGCACGTACCCAGCGGGGATTCTCTTCTCACCGAGAAGAAGAGAAGGCGGGTGATCTGAGCTCTGCTTCTTCTTCTTCTTCTTCTTCTTCTTCTTCTTCTTCTTCTCTCTTCTAGGGTTTCCAGAGGATGGTGGTCTCGGCGATCATGGAGGTCACCACGTAGGGGTCCATGTTAGACGCAGGCCTCCGATCCTCCAAGTAACCTGCCGAAAGGAGTTGAGGGAGGGGCCTACGAAGGAACATTCTCTGACGTCACCTTTTGTTCATGCAGGATGAGATCCCTTACCATTCCCAGCCATTTCGGTCTCTCGGCCAACGCGGATGGAGGCACCCCGATCCGCGATTCCCTGAAACGAAGAGGAAAGTGACCAGGTGGCGAGTAAAGACTCCGTCTTTACGGAGGAAGCATCCCGGAGTAAAAGTCAAAGGGGGGGGAGTCTTCCAACCCAGGAGAAGGTATGGATGTCGGCGGTCTCGTGACGACCCGTCAGTCTCCTCTCGTTCCCCTCTCCGTAGGCGGTGATGTGTTCCCTGTGCCGCAGGCCCAGCTTTTCAATCGCCCTTTTAATCTCATCCATGCCGCCATTCCTCCTCGTTGACTTTGTGCTGGAAAATTCTAGAAGGTCGGAAGGAGAGAAACCCAAGAGCTGACGAGAAGAAGAGAAAGGATCACGAGGAAGCGCACCTGTAGTTGGTGTGGGCGCCAGCTCCGTTCCAGTCGCCCTGGTTGAAGAAAAGAGCAGGTGAGATGATCTTCATCCAGCCTAATCCAACGGACCTGGTGAGACGATGACTACCTGGATGGGTTTTGGGTCAAACGAGACGAGGACGCCGGCGATCTCTGTGATTCTCTGCGACTCGAGGACGCCGTTGTTAAAGCGTTATGGGGAGCGGAAGAATGAGTGGAAGGTTTCGATCGGGTTGTTCTTTGTCTACCTCGAGAATGTAGCGCGCTGCCCAGATTTGATCACCGGCGGAGATCCCGACCGCCGGTCCCACTTGGAACTCCCACTGGGCATGACAAAATAGATTTCCAATTAATATACATTTATTAATATAAAATGTAAGGCACTTCCTGGACTGGGCATGACGAAATAGACGAAGTAGTGGAGCTTTATAGGTGAGAAAGAGTGCGGGAGAGGTGATACCTGACCAGGCATGACTTCCCCGTTGACTCCGCTGACACTTATTCCAGCGTAAAGGCAGGCCTTGTAGTGAGAGTCAACGATGTCCCTCCCAAAAGCCTTGTCGGCTCCAACACCGCAATAGTACGGACCCTAAATATATTCAAGGAGATGGATTGTCAGATTCCCACTTGATGAGAGATGTCAACGATCCATATTAAACAGTTTATATTTCAACCATATAAGTCAACGATTCCATTTGGATTTCTCTCGGAGCTATTCAACATGATAAAATAAATGGATGCTAGAGCAATATTAGTAGTATAATAGAAATCATGACAGAGGAGAACTGGGTATGATTGAAACCTGAGGACGAGGAAAGCCACCGATAGGCCATCCAAGAGGCCAGTGCACATCTCTCTGCAGGAGCGTGTACTCCTGCTCAATCCCAAACCTGGCAGAATTTTGCCGGCAATTAGTGTGGATCTACATGCCGATCTGATCACACCAGACTGAGGATATTCGCAGTCCGGTGGAATGAGATATACATTTCAATTTGACAGATAAACACCGCTGTAGCAGCCGTTGCCTCAATTCAAATTATCATAATGCAGAAATATATTTCCATGATTAGAAGAAAATAATGATATACGTCAATATTTCATAGACTTAAATATTTGAATTTTTTTTTGAAATGGAGACATTCGGAAAGAAATTTCTGTAAAATGAAGAACAATTCAATGATATGCTTGAGATGAAATTGTGGGCTTTTCTAATTGACGAAAAGCGAGACATGAGAAAGGTATCCTCTTGATCTCACAACTAAGAAAGGAAATATGATAGAAAGGAAACTCGATGAATGCTAACTGTCAGGAACAAATGAGATTAATCCCTCGTGATCCATCAATAAAAGCAAATGAAAATTTACCATGGCTCCTCAGCGATGACGTTCGGATGGCTGAATATCTTCTCGGCCGAGAATCTCTTGTTCGTCGGGATCGGCTCTCCGGCGGGGGTGTATGCATCGCAGATGACCTAAGAAATACCAAACTATAAATTTATGCCAGGAAATCCATGGTCATTCCTGACGTTCTTCCCCATCCCTATCCTTCAACACTGTGCTAGAGAACTAGGTTCTACTTGAGGGAATAGTAGGGAATGATGTCTAAAACGAACAAAGATGTGAAGCCAGCGATTGAGTTGAGTACAGAAGCTCACCAGAATATTGCTTCCCCTCCTGAAAGGATCTTTGAATATTGCCTCGGGGCTGATCAACGGGAGACGAAATAATACACGAAATCAATGAACCTTGGCCAATCATCGATTAAGATATGCGGGAAAGGGAACGTGAGACACTCACTGGAGAATGACCTCGCTGTTCTCCCCAGGAGCCTGGCCGGTGCTTGATCCATCATAGTTCCACTTTGGCAACTCCTTCGGATCCGATACACTTCCCGGAAGAGTCTGATCTCGTAGAAGCAACAATAAGGGAAGAAAAGTAAAACATGAGTGTCACCGTAAGATAATCATAACTCAATTCCTCACTAGGCTATCACAGGTGTAGACCACACAGCCGGAGCTTGGAGATGCTCACCCTTGCTTTGCTTCTCATGTCCACGCCAGATCCCCCGATCCTGCGAGATAGCACCCATCAACATCCATAGCATACAATTCACTGATGGCGAAAAAAGACGGAACGGAGAACAGAGAAACCCCACAACTGAGATCAAAGCAGGATCAAAAAGGCCCACAGCGAGAGAAACGGGAAGGAAAAAGGAGATTCGGAGACCAATACCATATGTATTCGGCGATGATCTTCTCTGTGGAGTCGCCGAGGTGGAGGTTTACGAGGTTGTTGAGAAGAGCCATGGCCGACCGAGGTAACTGCCGCGCAGGCGCTACTGCCTTAGCGAGGAGCAGGAGACTGTAACCAACCAGAAACGACAAAATCAACGTCAGAAAAGAGCTGCCGAGCTTTCTACGTGGCGGCCCGTCACCGCGTTTTTTGAGCGGTGGGAGCTGGCCGCCGAAATGGGTGGCATGCGAGGGCGACAGTCCTCACGTGATGAAGACACTAAAATGGGCCTTTTAAACCGCATCTCTTTGTTGGGCTACAAAGGTACTAAACGGGCTGAAGCCCAAATACGCTGGTGACGGGCCCAGTGTTACTAAAACAGACCACCCATATCAGCCCAGACTCAAATAGTCCACTCTCTCTAATACTTGACTGCTTGGTGGCGGTTGAAGGGCAGATGGTGATCTCTCTCTTCTCTCTCTCAGAAGAACAGATCTCCTCTTCATCCCTCTTCTTCCTCCCTCTCCAACGATGGATCCCCCCATCCCACAAGAGGCTCCGTTGCTCCCCCCACAGCCGCCGCCGCCGCCGGCGCCAGCCATGGGAGCCGATGGGCTCCTAGCTTCATGGTAAGCATCCCCTTCTTCTCTCACTCCCCCTCCCTCCAAGTCTTCATTTTGCCTTTTCCCTCACATCCTCGTTCTCGAATTCTCTACAGCCTGTGGTTCGTCTTCTGCTGTGGGCTCTGCAACTGCTGCCCACCACTGTTTGAGCCCTCCCCACCTCCGGCTTAATAGGGTTGCCGTTGCCGCGCCGCCGCCGCTGCCGCCGCCAAGTGAAGAAATCTACTGATGTTCCGCCACCGCCCACTGCCCTGTACTTGACTGTGGATGTACTGAGCCCCTCTTTGTTTGAAATAATCCAAGTTTACGCATTACTCAGATGGATAATCTCATTAGAAAGATGTTGGTCAACCCAGGGATGGGATCAGGTCAACCTAAGGATTCTTGAGCTAGATTTCGGTCAACGGTAGAGGTATCTCAAGCCTAAAATGGAAACATCACCCAGAAAATAGTAGCCCTCTAAAACAGTAAAAAGCCTCATCTAGAAAGGAAGCACTCCTACTGCTCCCTACCAAAACATCGGCCAAGGAAAGATGAGGAACACTTCCGTCCACGTTGACCAGGACCGAGGGGCTGGCTTGCCTGTTGGCCCTCCCCATCTCTCTTGTCTCAAGTCAACGCCTGTTGCTGGGGGGTTTGACTTTGTATATCCTCACTATCCAGTTTGATGTCGTGTACGCCTCCTCCAGATGCTCGAGCTTCACGTCCTTATTCCCAATCTCCACTCCTCTGGCTCGATCGTACCTGCAGGAGGGGGAAGTCATTGGGAAGAAAGAACACATTTTTATTGACCGATAAGGAGTCTGAGAGCAAATCCCACACTAATAATATTTTCATGATGCGCTAAAGATCAACGGCAGCAAGAGTTTGACCGTGGGATTACACCCAAAGATGGAAAGGGGAAGGGTGAGGAGATTACCCGGGCGGTTTTCCATACTCTGTGGTCATCTCCCCAAAGCGGTAGTAGCAAAGCTTGTACCTGTAGACCACCGGATTAAAAAATATAAAAAAATAAAAAATCTAGTGAGAAGCTGAATAGGCATGACAATTGTCAGCATGAATAGAAAAGAATATTGATCGTCGGGTAAAATAATGCACATCGTCAAGATTTTTTCCTAAGATAATCATCATGTATTTGGTGTAAAACCAATGTTTTCCAGCACATTAATCGATTTGTATGAAATAAAATAAAAAATCTGCAACCAGCTGTGTAAAGCTGTAAATAGGACGGATGCAGCAGCAGCTGCTGTTTAATATTTGTCACTGAAAATAGATTTACTCCCCTTTTCTGTTTCTGATTGAGATTTGTCACTGAAGATGTGGATCAGCGGTGGGATCTGGTGGCATTCGACACAATGAGCTTTTCTTTTTCTTTTCTGGTTCCTCCCATTCTTGGCATTCTCGGTCCTTGGTTCTACTATATTCTGTTTGACTTTGTGAACATCTAATATAACACATCACACGGCATGATACTTTGAGTCAACTCTAAGGCATTATATGCCGCTCATTAACAGGTTAACTATAGTTAGTGAACCCTACAATGAATAATATTTCATCCATATAATAGCTTGACTACGAGTTCATCGAGGGTTTCCAATACTAGTGTCATAAACTTGTGATCTCGGTCGATTTCTTCGTCAAAGCTTAAATCGACTGAGGGGGGTGCATGATTTTCATTTTTCTTTAATGATCATCGAGTAGAAGAGAAGAGAAGAGAAGCCAATTATAACGCGAAGGAAAGGATGGTGTATGCTTAACATGTGATTAAGGTTTCCTGGGCGTGTTCAAAGAAATTAATGATAATAACCTGGTGGGATAGATTTCCGGCGTCAGAATCCAAACGTTAAAGCAGGAAATGAATTCGGTGACCCAATCTCAGATCTGTTTGTCGTGCTAAATCAACATGAAGGTCCAAAGATGTACACTTTATTGTACCAAAAATCTGCCATGAGTTCGAGTTCACACAGCACATAAACCTTCCCACAAGTAGTGCCAAGGGGCTTCCAAGAATGAAATGATCTCCAGCCCCAAAATGAAATCAACATGCAGTATCTTGTGAATATGGATTGGACCGGTTTATCATTCAACAAGATTCAGGAAATTTCTAATTCTGTCATTTAAAGAGTTAATTATCACGCAAAAAACCCTCGAAAAAAGTATATCAACACTTGTACGCAATCAAATCACTCTATCGAAATTAAAGAACGTGGTAAAACGGATTTACAATAAAAAATAAAAATAATACAAATGAAAGATTGGGAGCAGGAATATTTTAAGTGGGACAGCACAAAGATGTAATCATCTCCCTCAAAGAAAAGAAGAGATCAAACGAATACGAAGCTCTTGATATGATTCTACAATACAATCCAGAAAAAAAAGGTAGCCCATTGGGATTCAGCTGAAAACAAAACCTATTGTAACAGCCGAAAAACTCTTCATGAACCATTGGGGACATAGACTTTTGATAGTTATTCAAAATTAGATCGGGTGGCAGAATTGCCTGACGCGCTATTCGATTGTAATCTGAGTCGGGTTAACCTAAATCCCATCAAATTAGGGAACTAGAGGGACTTTTTTCAATTAAAAAATAAATCTGTTAAAATTTTCCATCTCAATTTGATTCACCTCCGTTGCCGGATGCGTTTCTGTGAGTCTTATTTTCTGGATTTTTTCTTCCGACCCAAATCCAGATCATCTCATTTATAATAGAAACTGGCCGACCCTACAATCTGTTGGTCTGACAGGTGCAGACAGTGAAAATCAGCTCTTGTCACAACTGTCGCATTAACGTTTACTTTTCAAGAAAAAATACTCTACAAACAGCATGTATCAAGGCATGGAATCCAACCATAAACGGTTTTCTCTGTTTCTAAGCAATGGACAACTGCAAGCCTGGAGATATTTGAAATAACAACAAAGACCATGAGAGATCATAATGTTTATTTGATGAATAGTTCTATGTAAAAACCTAACGGGAGACAAAGGCATCCAGTTTTGGAACTCTGGGCAGGAAAAAACATAGGCGTTATAATCGAAATTAAAGAGTCAACCAAGAAAATGCTACTTGAGCAGTGTTAGATGATAAATATAAAAAAATATTCATAGACATTGATCGGATAAATAAACATAATTCTCTTCTAATGGTATCGCACTTACATCAGACAGTTCAGCATCTTTGGAGCTGCACCCTTGTCAACGCGATACTCTCCATTTACAAGATAATCAGGTTCCCTTATGACAGGGAAAACTCCACCTCCTATACGTACCATCCAGAGAAACCTAGTATAAAAAATGTATGTCGTCAGTTGTTTACAGAGAAATTTGGTCACCATAGAATGTTATAAGGCAACAAGATTCTTACTTATTAATATCATCGGATGAATATCCAGTAACTCCACCGAAAACAACAAGAACATAGTCCACATCCAGTGACTGCATTATTTCATATGCCTCATCTTCATATGAGGACATTGCTCTTCCAACAGTTGCAATGTGAGTATTATTCCATGTATTGTTGTCCACTATGACCGTTCTGTTACCCATAGCAGTTATTTGGTATCCATAGTCCCACCAGGACATAACCTTAGCATCTGGAGGAGTATTCTGACGAAGCCAAAAATATGCCTCTCGGTAGTCATCAAAGATGACCCTACCACCATTGGCTCCTCGGGCAGCCAATACAATGGAAGGAGAAGAATATGCCTCAGATGTAACCCAAGTGCAGTGTATGACATACCTACTAAGCAGATAAAAGGCCCCAAAAAGCAAAGCCATAGCAACGTTTTTCTGGAAAGGCAGAGACTGACCAAGTGCAGCCTGCAAATAATTTCAACAAATACGAAATGTTATCCAGAACTGTGAGATTAAGACAACAAAACAGCGTAATCAAAGTGAGGGCCAGAAACACCGTAATCAAAGGTTTAAGTTTGAAATGTCAAGTGGTTTCACTAAAGATTGGTATGATCCTTTGGTTCAGTGGACACTCAAATATGTTAGCAGCGGAATTTGGCAATCCAAGCACATGTTGGTGGCTTACAGAGCATACGATCCGAAATTATTTTGAAAATCAATGGTTACCAACAATGCCTAGCAAGATTTAAGTGATTTTATTCTTCCATGTATGGGAGTGGATACATCCGTATGGTCACCCTTTATTTGGGTTTTACATCTCAGCTGAACTTCGTGCTTGTCTTTGCCTCTACATAATAGGTCACTAGATGCAGTAACAATCAGAAAAAAGATGAGTTACTCATATGGATAATTTCTGACTACAACCTGCGAGAACAGAAGGTGGCATTTGGTAGAGTTTTCTAGATTACTGGGGACTGGGAGATGCCAGAGTAACCACACATTCAGCTGGAGGGCAATTTTTCTGTTCCCTTCTTTACTTGTTTCTCTTGAATATTACATTAGTTAATATGCAGTTTATGCCCAAGAAGTTAATACCCACTCCTGAAATAGATGCTCATTCGAAATAACCCCAATCTATATTGAAAGGAGGACCTCAGCAAGGTGAATCTGACAGAATAATAATCGACCCAGCTAATACACCCTTCGGATCTATGAACCAAAAAAGGAGATCAGGGTCTACCACATGCAATATCTTCTTAGCGTACGCCTAAATTTGAAAAACATTCCAATAGAAGGTGAAAACTGAGGGAAAAGATATGACTATTTGAGCAACCTCCCTAGTTAAAAGTTCAAGCGCAATATGCTATTTTACTGTACTAATTTAGAAAAAGGAGACAGCAAATATGCCCCGTGTCATGGGAGACATTAGAAGACACAAGTTTATGAGGCAAATTATGCCAAAGGAAACTAAATTGTCTTTATTCTTCATTACTTTTTCCTCTAGCATTTTGCATTGATGCTAGCAGTCTATACTCAGTTTCCATTAAAGAGAAAAGGGATAGCCAAAAATCATTAGTCTGTAAAGAAGAAAACAACATCCTATTGGACGGTGTGGGAAAGAAAAAGAGGAAATTTCATCCTATCTTTGTAGACATTCATGCTAGACATGGAATTAATCGTCAAGCGAAAGATAAACAACATTTGCAAAAGATGTGCAGACTTCATATGACGGATGTCGGTACGTTTTATGAGGCAAAAGTAAAAAAAATTGGTAGAATCATAGCAAGCACAAATCTTCACCTTAAGTGATGCTTTTGCGTGGCCTGTTCCTTTACCAGAACTTGTCTGCTGACTTTTACTTTTTGTTCGCACCAGTGATGCTAAATTTTTGACCGTGGCCGAGATTGCAATAGCACCAACAAGACACATGGCTGGTGCTGCCACCAAAATAAGCCGAACCATCACACCAGCAAAATACATGCTTGTAAGGCCATACATAACAATAAATATTGTGGCATCAGTCAAGCGCTTGAAGCAGAAGTACAGGCCGGCAGGGAAGAGCAGAAGGAGAATGTGAAAGTCGAACATGAACGACGACCAAGCCGTTGGCTGATGCTCTGAAACAGACGCGATGATGGGAATGTGATCCTTTGCATACGTTGGATCCAGTAAGGAGTAAAATCGTCCGGTCCATGGCGATATGTAACCAGATGCCGTTCCCACTCCCAGAGCAAGAGCACCCACACCAACAGCCAATGTCACAGAAATTTTCAAGAAAGCTTGGAAGAGTTTGGCATCATTTAGCAGGTGTTTCACCCAGCCTAAGAAGTAGAACATCTACAAAAAAATCACCACCCGCGTCAGAATCCTTGCATTCATGGAAAACGTCAAAAAACGAAGAGAAATAACTCAAAATTAGCACTTTCAAATCAGAGCATGTCGTGATTTCGACAAGGATTAGGCGTCACGAGCAAGGGCACATATTAAACATTGAATATACGACCATCACGAGAAAATCTCGTTCAAAGAAGAGGGTATCACTTACCTGCATCAAGAAGAACACGCCCATGGCAGCCATGTGCTCACCCGACTGCACATGCTGGAACCCTACGAACCTAATCTGCATAGCGAGCAGCATCCCTAATATGTACATGCAGTTGTACGCAACATAGAGCCGCATCGAATACCTCCCTGTGACCAGCAGGACCAACACGTACAGTGGGATCAAGTTAATGATGAACACGTATCCTCCCCATGCCGATACCATATAAAAATACCCAAACGCTGAAGCCAGCGACCAGGCCAGTGATCCAGTGTTCACTGCCTTGACGAACAAGAAGAATGTGAACAGCAGCGCAAAGATCGCAACACCCTCATTGTCGTAGGATCCCGCAACCGATCTTGAAATGTACCCGGGGCATATGGCAATGAGTGCAGCAGCAACAAGCCCGGCACCCGAGTCCCAGATCTCCTTGCCGAAGAAGTAAGCGACTATGGTGGTATTAGCGGCAAAGAAAGGGGCCGTAAGGACGCAGACCTCCCGGATGTGGGCGGCGAAGCGGAAGAATCGGAGGGTCCAATAGATGAAGGCGGCCGTGACCATGAGGCCGGGGTAGAGGGTTCCACCAACGATTCGACCAAGGGGGTACCAGCTCTCGTAGTCGAACCAGTTCCAGAACTCGTAGAATCCGTTTTCGGTGAGGAAGAGTGTGGTGCGGTAATTGAAGTAGGGATCAAACTCGTGGATCATGGACTCGTACCGCAGCACGCTGAAAAGGCGGACGGAGAAAGCGAGGAGGTAGACGAGGCAGAGCACGGAGACCCGGATCAGGAGCTCCTGCTGCTTCGTCTTGAGCTTGAGGGATCTCATAGAGAAGAGGATCCCGCCGGCGGACGACGCCGATGACGTGATCTTGGCTCCCTCCTCGGACTTGACCCCCATGGCGAAAATGGCAGATCGTGCGAAGCAGTGCCCTCAGTTTGGGCAATTCCGCCGGGAGGAAGCAGGCAGATCAAATCCTCGCCATCCCGTGGTCAAACCCTAGCTTTGCCGTCTCCACGGGGTTCGGAGCTCGGAAACAGCAGACCAGAGGCTTTAGCGTCTCGAGAACTGGAAGTGGTCGGATCTCCCGTCGTAATTTTACCAGTAATATCTCCACTGGTTAAAATCACAGCAACAACGTGCGGGTGATGACGTCACATCTCCCTGAATCGCACTGACTCGGTTCAACTCGCCTGACCACACGGAGTCACTGCCCGAGTCACGGCTCAGAAGGACTGGAAGAAGAAGAAGGGGAGAGGGAGAGAGAGAGAGAGAGAGAGAGAGAGGGCGGGTCCGATCTTATCCTCCCCGGCACGTAGAAGCCCTATTTAAGACGTCAGGCTCATTAATCAAAGTACGGCGCATTGATCCAGCTGGGCCCAATCGAGGTCCATTAAAGCGCGGAACAACCGGTGGGACAAATTGGGCCTGATGAAGATATTGGGCCGGCCCAAATGGGATGGACGACTCATACCGAGATTCAGACCCATAAAACACGCCCGTTTCTCAGAGACGAGCCCCCCCCCCTCCACCTGTTGTTCTTCCGAGTTTCTTGGAGGCGCGTAGAAGAATCACTCAAACAGTTCAGAGTGTCTGACTACAGCAAGAAAGAGGGCCCCTCGATTGAGCTCGATAGGAGGTTCAGATCAGGGAGAGCGATCGAAATCAAAATCAAAATCAAAATCGAGAATAATCTGAAGGATTACATCGACTTTCTGCTCGTCAGTTGCTCGGAGGGCGCTCACCACCCTACTGATCTAGAGGAGGGTGAAAGAAGATCTCAATGCCATCCACAAGCCATGGAGTTTGTGATGCAAGATCACATCGAAACAGGCAGAAACCCGGGGGGGGGGGGGATTCGCTGTGGATGAAGATAACGGAGAAGAAGGCGGAATTCGGGATTTACTCTGACAGATTATGCCGGTGTCTCGTCTTTTTCTTCGTTCGCGCTCTTCCCGATCCCTCCGTTTCCGCCGGAGGAGGTGGCCTCACTGCGTTCTACGGCATCCGAGACCAATGCTATGGGGCGGTGCTCGATGACCTCGTCGATGAGTCCGAACTCCTTGGCCTCATCCGGCGACATGAACATGTCTCGCTCCATGGACTGCTCGATCCGCTCGATCTCCTGCCCCGTGTGCTTGGCGTAGATCGAGTTGAGCCTCTCCCTGACCTTGAGAATCTCCTTGGCGTGGATCGCGATGTCGCTCGCCTGCCCGCTGGCTCCGCCGGACGGCTGGTGGATCATCACTCGGGAGTTCGGCAGCGCGCGGCGCTCGCCGGGGGCCCCGGCGGTGAGGAGCAGGGACCCCATGGAAGCTGCCTGGCCGATGCAGAGCGTAGTCACCGGCGATCGGATGTACTGGATGGTGTCGTATATTGCGAGGCCGGCGGTGACGACGCCGCCGGGGGAGTTGATGTAGACGTGGACCGGCTTAGAAGGGTTCTCGGACTCCAGGAAGAGGAGCTGCGCCACCACCACGGCGGCGGTGTCGTCGGAGATGGGGCCATTGATGCAGACGATTCGTTCCTTGAGGAGGCGGGAGAAGATGTCGTAGGCGCGCTCTCCCCGGGAGGTGTGCTCGATCACCATGGGAATCAGGCCATAGCATCGGGCCGGCGGCGCACCGGCGACGGAGAGGTGATGGCGGACCACTGCGGAAGGGAGCCACCGCCCGCCGACGCCGGCAATCCGGCTCCAGAACATGGCTCCGACAGTGAAGCGACGAAATTAGGGTTTCCCTGTTTGGAGAACGAAGGAAGGGGATTTTTAGGGTACAAATCATCTCATCTTCTTCAAACAGAATCGGGTACTCGGTAACGGGTCCTACCCAGAAGAAGGCCGTCTGGGTAATCTTCTTCGTGATGGGATCTGAATACTAAATTATTTTTTTAAAATCCTATATTTTAATTATTCTGCTTCTTGCCCATTAAAGGCTCGTGGCAGTTGGTACTTATTGGGCCGGGTTTCGTGCCAGCCCAAACTCGTGTTTTCCCAGGAAGGCGAATCTCGAGGAAACCCAATCACTGAGCGCCACGTCCGACCCAACTCTGGCCCACCCTGCCGTGGCTAAAACGCTGATGTCCAGTAACAGCCTTCAACGACGGTCCAGAAGCTTGCGATATTGCAGAGACAGAAGGAGCAAAATACGAAGAGAAAGTAGAGAGAGAGAGAGAGAGAGTGGATATTTTAATATAATTTAAAATTTTCGAGGATTTTCATAATTTATCGCCCATAGCTTTTTAATGATAAATTAAAATATTATTGGGTCTTTTCTTTCATCTGGCGGCCTGATCCGTTTACCCGAATTTATCGCGTGCTGGAAATCCGATGTCTGCAATCGCATCCAAACAGTGTGCTCGGGTGAGCGGAGAGGATAACCACAGTGGGGACAGTTTGACTATTATCCCCCGCCTCTCCCTAATTGCTTACGTCACCACATGGGCAGTCTACCAATGCAGATTCTCCACGCTAAGCTACCACTCATCGTGAGAGGGTTTGTTTTCGGCAAGGGGACCCACCGTATCGTGGTCCTGGATTCGGAACATTTATAGCACACGTGTATAATAAATAAGTATTTCCAATAAATAGATAAAAATATATATTAGAAACCGAATTTTTTGTAAGATTTAAACTAGGGAAAATTTGTGTTGAGGGGCTATAATGGGGAGAATCCCGTCGGCCTCGCCTTCGGCGAGGAGGGAAGTTATCAGTTATCCACGTCATCTGCGACTGCGATCTAGCTGTACAACACATCGCAGAGAGAGAAGCAGCGGCCGAGTCGACTCGGTCTCCCGCACCAAGTCACTTCTAGGATACATGAGTAGCTACGAGAAACCTGCCGCGCGACGGCCGTTCCGCTGCAGGAGCCCCTCGAGGACGACCCGTTTCTTGTACTCGTCTGAGTCTAAGTCCAACTCGGGGGTCTTCGGCTCTCCTTCTCTGGTCCCGGTGGCGGGCACCCTGAGGCGAGGGAGGAAGTAGAGCCAAACGCAGGTGCAGATAATGGCGCTCACGCGGCCGGAGAGAAGCATCACGACCATCACCACCGCAAGAACGGACAGCCCCGCCAACTGGTTGTTGTTCCCCTTGCTTGATCCTGCAACGCCGCCGAGGCAGGACCTGGCGGTGGGATTCGGCGGCGCGTTGGCGCGAGGAGAGGCCGGCTTGCTGCTGCTGCTGCTGCCGCCGCCGCCGCCGGCGGCCCCGGGGGCGGCGGAGGTTCCTCGAGAAGGTCGTGGTGGCGAGTCAGACAGCGCTCCGCGGGGAACGTCTGTGCTGGGAGAGTCCGATCGGCGGGGCGGCGCCGGCGCAGGCGGTGGCGGCTGCCGCTTCTGCTTCTTCTTCTTCTCCGGTGGGAATGAGCTGGCGTCGCCGCCGTGGTGCCGTGAAACCAGTGCCTGAGAGCAAGAAAGGGAACCGCGTGCGGAATCGATCAGCTATAGGGAAAGGTCTGGGAATCACGGCGTACGAAATTATCGCGGGAAAAAGGAGCAGTTTTATTAATGAAGACCCGATCATGCCCAATAGAAAGACGCGATACCTTCGTCTAGACCTCGAGGGAGGAGAATTTGGGTTTTGATAATGTGGGCAATAGCGCCTTAACCAGAGAAGAGCATCGTTGCTGGAGATCGGATCATGCCGAGCGTTTCATAAGGATGGATCTTGGACTGGTTTAATGGATGGTCAGTATCGAGAGGGTGGTTGGGTGAGGGAAGCTCTTAGGGAATTAAGTGGATAGCTCCGGCACAGCGGGCCTCCGCCGCTTGTCGGCCGCCGGCCTAGAGGTGGTCAGAGGAAGCCACATGACTCTCAGGATGGGAGGACTTTCTTCTTGGTTGCATATTAGTGGTCAAAAATCGGAATTTGGATCGAATAAACATCAAGATCAAGTTCAGGTTCTTCGATCGATATGGGACTCCCTATCGAGCCCTTAAAAGTCAACCCTAACTGCACGAATAGGAATCTGAAAGACGGGTGATCGTTCTTACCTTCAAAATCTTCTTCAACAGGAATTTTCTTGTCATCTCCGCGGGGGGGATCGTCTTTATGGGCACCTCGGCAACAGGCTCAGCTGCGCCGGGGAGGGATGGGTGCTGGCCGCTGGATACTGTCTTCTCCGGAATCACCTCCTTCACCGAAGAGTTGTCCACTTGCACGGCTTCCTTATTCTTCCGGAACCGAGACAGTGTAAACAGAGAGCCCTCCTTCCGTTGGGCAACCGATCGCTGCGCCTCCGAGTCGGCCACAGGGGACCCTTCGAAGCATGCCAGATAGGAGCGATACCTTCTTCTCTGGCCCTGGCCTTGACTAGCCTGCATCACCTCGGGTGAGGTTTCTGCTCACATAGAGAGAGAGGGAGAGAGACGAGTTAATGTCGAGAAGGGGCCCCAAGGCTGATTATCAGGAGCTCAAGAACGAATTTCATACACGTATCTTCCTCAGAGGAAGGGAGAAGAAGATGGGCAAGGAGAGAGAACCGATGGGGAATTTGTTTGGTGGGGTGCAGCTCCGGCCGATGACTTTGTCCCAGAGAAGATTATTTATTGACGATGACTACGTCTCATTGATGATCTCCTCCGACCCCTAGCATTTTTTTTCCGCGCTCCTCTCTCTCTCTCTCTCTCCTTCCTTCGAATAAACAATTAGTCTTTAGAGGCTTCTCACAATTTTTCAAGTTAACAGGACTTGCCACCCAAGCAATCCTTACTCCTTATCTTCATCTTCTACGCGGCCAGTGACTAAGGCGAGTCGTCAAAATTCCTATTTTCAACGCGTTAAAATATATAATTCAGTTTGACAACAGCAGCAAAATTGAAGAATTTTGCGCAACCCAGTAACCAGATTTGTACTCACGACGGATCTCACGCTGTGTTTTTCTCAGGCTGATTCAAGTTCTCTATTATACATTCCCTGAGACTCCCAGAACTGTCCGGGAGAGACGAGAGAAGAGGGGGGGGGAGAACATTATCGAAGCTTTTACCGAGTAAGGCAAAGCCAACCGAGCTTTTTTTAAAACCAAACCGAGGGTCTCTATCCAATATTAAACCCCCCCAAAGAAAAGTCAGAATTGAACAAGAGACCAAGAGAGCCGTCGCCCCCCTCTTCCCTCCTCTCCAAGCATCCGATCATCATCCTATTAACACCCTGGTCAGGTTTCTAGAATTTCCAAATAACGGAAGACGAATCCCTGTTTCTTTCGCGATGACGTTGACGCGTCAGGAAAGACCCCGGGGGCACCCCGTCGATGGGGACACCGATGGAAGATGAAGAGAAAGATTGAACGAGGGAGCAGGTTTAGGGTTCCGTTTCTGGCGGAATCAGCAGACCCCTCGCCGGGATTTTTTCCCGCAGGGAACTGGCTTCGTTCAGAAGCCTCCCGTGAAAGGTAGGCGGAGATCGCCGTCTTTCAGGCTCGCTTTCTTGACGGGTGTTCTCCAACGTGACCAAGGATAACGTCGAATCGGGAGAGCGTTCTCGGGGCAGCCGGGTTGACTCACCCCCTTCTTCGACAAGGGCATCTGCGACTTGAACCAGCCGGAGGTCGCTTCTTCCATCGCGGCTTTCCGTTGGATAAAAGTAAGCAGCTTTCTGATTCTCCCTCTATTCCCAGCAGAAGGTTGGTGAGCGAACGAGTTAACGACGCTCCCGGCCGCTGTCTAACTCGGGAGAATCGGATATCTCTCTCTCTCTCTCTCTCTCGCTCTCGTTCTCGTCACGTTTTCTTTAGGAGCGTTGACTGCTCCATGCATCTTCTTCCCCAAGGCACCACCGGCGGTTGAACCGACGACCAGGGACACGGCCGGTGCGGGCGTCATGCCTGACCTAGTCAAAGCTGAGATGCGCCTTGTCTCGCGCAATCAACGTTTGACGCGTGGTTTTTTTTTAATAGGCCATATTTCTGATTTGAATATTTTCGGGCTTTTGGGCCAAGTTCCTCAAAGCATCGTACAATCCACAGAAGTCACGTCCATCATTGGTCAACGAAAATATGGAAAAAGGCTGAGACAGAGCTGGAGAAGTCCACGTAGAATGGCCATGTGGGGTTAGAGGCCCAAAGCTGCCGCGTGGCAATTTAACATTTCTTTGCGACGGCGAAACGTCGGCGGCAGCCCTGAACCCAATTCGCTATGGCGAGTTTATTGGCCGCTGGATGCCGGCGCCGCGTGGCCTGAAGTGACCCAACAGGAACGATACGCGAACTAAAAAAAAAACAATAATTTTCAAACAAAAAAACTTAAAAAAATTGTAGACTGCAAATATATCAAAATTATTCCATTCCCGAATGGAGAGCATCTACTATTCGTCAACAAATCCAGGAGGTTGATCGATCTTTTCTAGTTACGATTCTGGTGGGCCGTTCTTCGTGGCTTTCTTTCTCCGGATTCTCCGCGCAACTGACCGGAGATCTGTTGGGACGCATTCATCCTCGATTTAATGGCGTAATGAAATGCAGACGAACGAATCGTTTCACAGAGACGTTGCGACGGCGACAAGGATTCAATTTTCACGACTGCTCTTGATGGCGGCGCAGTCGCCGCCCCGCGGAGAACACAACGACCGGGAGGATTGGCGCCCGCTGGCCAGCGCCGCTGCTCCAGTTCAGCCACCGTCGGAGATCATCGGAGGAGTTGCCGGAGTGCGGCGCAAGGCTTAAGCTTGGACGAGCGGAACGCCGGTTAAATCGTCACCTGTAGACCCAGAAGCGGACGCCAGCATCGAGAAGCTTGCAGGTGGTGAGGATGACTGCGACCGGCGAGTTTCTCCACTTCTTCGTGACGTCGCTGCACCGGATAGAGATCAGAGGGACCGCCGCCATTTAAGATGTCCGAGACAGAAGCCTTCTCAGCATTTATTCCCCGGGAGGAAACGTGTTCGGAATGAAGAAGACCAGGAGAATATTATCGACGGCCCGTGATAGAAAAGCTCTTCTAAAAATAGCAACCGTTGCGGGGAAAAAATAAACCACGTATTCTGTAGATATATCCATAATGTGATGGTTTTTCGTAAAATAAATTATTTAGAATTTTCAAAGAACAATATTGGCGTGTACGCTGTCAAAGGGTGCCTCGCATGGGGTGCAACTTTGACCTAGCAAGCGGAGTAGGGTTCGCACAGCTTCTTTAGGTTGGCATGGAAGTATTCCTCCAAGTATCTTCTGCGCCGGAGCTCCTGGTTCGCCACAGAGTAGAGATCATGACCGTTCCAGGTGACACCGTCTTCACATCGCCGAAGAGCAGGCCTTGCCGGCGGCACCGCCGAGGGGTCTGTCTCGTTGTATATCACCATTTGACTTCTGTGCACTCAAAATCACGACGGCGATGTTTCTGGAGCCGCCATGTCTTGTCTCTGGTCCTTGTAACATCATGCAAAGATTATTCAAGGTTTCGCTGTGTGTGGCCGCTTCCTCTCTCTTCCGACTTAACTGAAGGACACGTGTTAACAAACTAGAAAGAGACTCTAAGATCGGCAGACATAAAAGCAAGGGAATAACAGGAAGATATTGTTCAACGGAGACGAGAGACGGAGAAGAGAAGAAAGGCCACACGCAGTTAAGCCTTGTATGACCTTTATATAATGTTACAAGGTCCAGAAAATGACAAGGACAATAAATATAATAAAATTTTATTTAACTATCCCCATCAAATTCACGACGGAGAAAACATCGCGAGTCTGTCCAAGAGAAATTAAAATTTTATAATATTATGTGCTTCGGTGAAGAAGTCAACGAGCTACGATTAAATGAAAAAAGACAATTCCAAGAGGAGTATGGTCACCCATTTATCCTACTCCTAGATGAGCTTTGACAGCTGAGGGACGCGTGTTCTTGGTATCGCCAAGAAGTCAAAAAGAAGAACGCGCGTAAGCTCTCTACGACGATGTAGAAGCCGTTGGATTTGAAGTGAGGGGAGATGTTGAACCAGTTGACAAGGAAGGTGTATGAGTCAACGGATTAAAGTAGAAAAATTAAAGAAAACCAGAGCACCTCAAAGAGTAAATTGGTTGGAAATGAAACACGCTATTTTCATAGTCAGAGCTAATGCAGCTCAGAACTTAGAAAGTGAAGACGAGACTGAAATCAGAGTCCCAACTAGTTTGGAATTGACCCACCAAGAGAAGAATGTTCAAAGAGAGACTAATAGATAATTGAGCCCAACAAAATCACAAAAAAAATATTTTAGGAAAGCTACTTTATGTCTATTTTCTTCTAGAAGTTAATTTAAATATTATTCATAATTTGATGTGTTCAAGATCTTAGTCTATCAAAGTCTATTTCAAGTCATTCTAGAGCCAATCAAAATCTATCCCCAAGATCTGTTTAGGATCCTCCTTTTAGGAGTGTCACATCCTTTTTTCAAAAGTTTTCTTCTCCTGTGAGGTTCTCCTCTTTATACTTGTAGATTCAAACGTTTCCATGTAGATTTAAGGTCAACCCCTTATGGATTCAAGGTCAACTCTTTGAAAATTCAAGGGTTGAAGACTCTAGTTTTATGGATTTAGAAGTTAGTGTGTTCTTTAAGTTTTATGTTTTGTAAATTCAAACCCGGATTTTACTTATCATTGCTGCATCAAGAGCTGATCTCCATTGACCCAAGGGAAGAAACGGTTGACGAGAGCGCTGCCGCAACCACCGGACAGCGAAAGCAGACAAAGAAAACTTGCCGATACTTGCCGGCAAAGACAAAGACGAGAGAAATGCACCGTTCACCTGATCAGAGGGGGTTCTCTGCCAGACTCTCCGAGTTTTTATTCCACTCAGGCTGCCATCGTTTAGGCGCGCTCTTATTCATTGCTCTGAATCACGATACCCATCCGGCAGTTCTCATGAAGGGTGCCCTGCTTTAGGTCCGCTGTGAGATTCTATTTCCTCCTCCTTCAGAGTCTCTGGGATCTCAGGGTTTCAATGGAGCCCGTCAGAGTCTTCTTCTCTCAGCAGCTGCGGAGGCGGGGAGAAATGATTTCCTCCCCATGGCCAGATGATCAGAGAGCACGGGGCTGCTGAGGCGGCTGTTATGGGCTGGCAAAAGGTGGTTTGTGGCGGCCCAGATCATCCGACTGGGCTGGGTTTCTGAAGTTCTCCGGCCCGTTGACAGAGAAACCCTCCGGAGAAGTTCCATAGTACCTCCGACTCCCGCTCTCGTCTGAGACGGACGCCGTAGCCAGCCCTTGGGGAGAATCCTGTGTGGGGCGAGCTTCGGGATCGGCGATTTTGAGTAAAGAAGAGAGGGAGGGGGCGACAGACAGGATTCCGCGGCGGTGGCCATGGCGTTCCTATTTCAGAAGTTTCAGGAGGTATTCCCATCGTCCCGTCTCTGAGGAACTCAAGCATTCACTCTTTTCTCAGGTCACTTCGAGTTTGTTCCAGATGGTTTTTCATACTTTTAACTGTATCAGATAAGAGAAATGCCCTGATTGTCATGAAAAATACTTATACGTAAATCTTAGCAGGATATGCATATTACCTTCTCTGTGTTTTTTAGCAACACGATACAGTCGTCTCAATGTAAGGATGGTGGACCGATATTTTTTTCTGGAAAATCTTCAGAGTGGTACATTTATACTTGCATAGGCCATTTTTTCAGATTTGTTATGTTCGTACTGTTTCATTTCAGGCAGTCAGAACCCTCGCTAAGAGCCCGACCTTTGCCAGAGATCCAAGGCATCTCCAATTTGAGGCTGACGTCAATCGATTGTTTCTTTACACCAGGTCATTAGAGATAGAGAAATATTATGTGATGTCAAGACTTCGTTGCTAATTTGTTTTTCCTATACTCGACATTATCCATCTGCTGAAACCATGGATTCTTCGTTCTGTTTGGGGCTATGGCGGTTATTGAACAGACTGCAGATTCCATCATTTCACTGGGGTTTTTTTCACTAATTTTATTTATTCGCAATACTGGGTGAAATATGTCAGTTCACTTTATTCGCAACACATTCGGTTTGTCCACAAGCTGGTGAGGGATTTTTGGTCTTCAGATGATTGAATGGTATGAGATAGTACTGTATTTTGAGATATTCGGCCCATGATGTTCATACCTTTTGTGTCCATGTCGTTATTTTCCAGAAATGATTAAGCTTCAATGCTTATTTTTCATTTTTGATTTTTGGGTCGATTTTCCCATTAGCTATCATCAATTAACCCGGATTTCAATTGAAAAAACTTTGGGCACTGCAATCGTCCCAATGCTGGAAATGGGATTCGAGGGAACAAAGGAAATTTTGTATAAAGATCTGGGAAATGAATTTCTTGAGCTGTTTCATTTCATGGGATCAGAATTTATTGTGAACAAAAAAATAATCTTAACAAGAGACATTGTCAGAAGTTAATGGTTTTAAACCGGAAAATAATCTTTGATGTCTGAAAACATTACTTTGTATAACAGTTTGAACTGGATGTGCTAATGTTATGGCTGATGATGACGCTTTTGAAAGCCAAAAATGTGCTGAACTTGAGGTACAGTTAAAGATAGAAATCTATCCCCATGTTTGTGTTCTTGTCCGTTAGGGTTCCATTCCTACTTCGCAAGGTCACCCCTATCTAAGTGTTGATCCTCATTTCCGAGGCACAGAGAAAGTTTCTTATCGAGCCATTTTGGCTATCTGGGCCTAGATATGCCTCTATGGCTGATACATTGGGAAACCTTAGAAGATTTTTACTATATCCGAGGAAGATTTTGAGGGATCCAGGATCCATCTCAAGTGTTAATCTTATGATTGTGCTGGGATAGAATTAAAAGCTTGGCCTTCCTATCAGATGCAAGAGATCAGTTCATTAGCTCCGCAGTTATTTTTTGTCCTTAATCCGTGGAAAGTGGATCCCCAGGCAGGGAGTTCAACTTCACTTTTTCGTATCCTTCAGTGGAGATACTCACCAAAGAGGTAATGTGTGGTAATGCGTGTAATATTGCATCAGGGGTGCTCCTCAGTTCAGTAGGCACAGAAAAATATTTACAATTCCTTGGTTTACTGGTTCGCTGCAGTGGGTTGTTTTTAGGGCTATGCTGCAAATAATATCATAAGCAGAACAGAGTATGAGGTACAGAGCATCTTTAATGGCGTTGATGCCTTCAAGTAGCAAGACCGTCAGCCTTGTGTAATATTGCTCTCCTTTTTTTTTTCCCCCTCCGTTGTCTTCTTTTGTCCCCTTTGTGAGAGGGAGTCTTTTACATTGAAGGTGAACGGATAGAGTCTGTAACATCAAAACCGAATGGACTCCATCACTGGAAAGGAAGGCACTCGACCCATGGGTGAGAGATAACTCACCCATTTTGATTGTAGCTGACCTTACGTCCATATAACATGCATTGTCCCCAATCATGCAGTGTGCCATAAAAATCCGCCTAGCGGACAGATGAACGAAAAATCTTGCTTTGTAAAGCTTGTCTGTTGGTAAACTTTTGTGGTGTTCGTCACATTCTCTCATTGTATGACTTCTGTTAATTATTAGCCCTTTATCAGAACAACAGAAGGTCCTGAATGCCACTAAATTGCAGTTATAATCGACTGGGGAGGAATGCTGATGAGAAAGATGCAGAGGAGATCATAGAGATGGCTGCCAAAGCCTCTGTTGTCGATCAGCAGAAACAAGTTCACGAGAATGTACATTCTCAGATCAAGGTCTTGTGTGGTGCCATGGACGACATTCTTCTCCCAGATTCAGACAGCGTTCCTGGTTTGGATCATTCATCTGCAATGTCCAACGGTTCTCCACGACGAAGTGGCCTCAGTTTGGCTGTTGGCAGGGCACCTAGACTCTCTCAACAACCTGGTATGCACTTAGTGGAGCTGCTTGTCATATTTTTATTTTTAGATGTCAGATTCTTATGAACGTTACGAGAAGTTGATAGTTGAGCTGCTGCTACTATTTTTTCAAAAGCAGATAAGACAATATATTCAGGCTTTCTATATATTTCTTTTAATGTTACATGCTCATTACAGGATTAGTTTCCCTACAAGATCAAGATTTCTGACTGAAATTTTGTTATTTTTCATATCTTCGTTTCTATACATTTGCGACTGTGTACATGATTTGCTTTCTAAGCAGTAAAATATTATAAGGTTGAGGCTTGTATGTGTCTTCGGAAAGAGCCAGTCCATTATCGATATAATTTTCTTCTTTCTGTAACAATGTGGATATCTGTTAACTATATATTTATACACAATGGATCATTCGTCTTCCAGTGGTTTATTTTTAAGTGATTTCAGATCTGATGTTCTGTGCTTCTTCAGCTGTAAATCCTCTGAATTTATAGGATTTTCCACCGTATCCGATTCGGTCAACCTCATTTATTCTTGTCAACAGTTCCCTATTAAATATTTCATTGTATTTTGGGTCTGCTGTGAGAGTATCGTGAGAACTTTGTTCCTGCTTTTTAGCCCGACGCATTTTCTTGAATTTTTTATTTTATTTTATATTCAGGAAATGCTCATTGTTACATAGATTTTTTTTATATAATTTAGGATAAATCCTCTCTTTTAAGACTAGGATCCTCCTTGTATCAAGTTTACGCGAGAATGGGGTATAGATTTGCAGTCAGATATTGGTTTATAGTCTCCCTTCATAGTGGACTGACAGATATGGGTTCATATGAATCCTGAACAGTAATTTGTTGCCAACTATAATTGTATGATTCATTCAAACTTTGCACTAAATCATACCAGAATATGGTTCTGTCAAGTTACTCCTAATTTCACAGACTACTTTTGGCAATCTGACAAGGTTGTTCCTCCCCCCTGAACCGAAATGCTTGTGATGTGCAATTTTTTTCTTGCTTTAGCCAAGAATTGGAAACAGATTGAAAAAGAAAGTAATTTTCTTGATGACCGCTCTAAATGCAATGATTTTTGTAGACCTGTAAGATCCATTTTTATTTGGTTTTCTTGCATTTTAGGCCTTTGACTTTATTTCTGGACTCCTGTCATGAACAGAACGATCACAGGTTGCATTATGACTCCCATATACATTTTCTGAAAAAATAAAAAGCGTTGGTGATTAGTCTAGACAATGCACAGCTGATTGTGCATTCGAGTGCTTCAGAAGCCAAATGTCTCTCAAGTCCGATTCTTCCAATATCTGCGGAGTCACATATGGTTACAGATGACTGTGCTGATCACACCACGAACTTGCGAAAAAGTCAACTTGAGAGAAAAACACTGGCTCATGAGAAACCCTAGTCCAAGCTCGTTGCTTTCGCATCTCTCACACCATTAAACTTCGTTTTGGTTGGAAATCGCATAATTAATCTTGTGCTGATTCTAAATGGTCAACGATTAAGCTGATCTCTGGCATTTTGCAGCGCAGTCGTCTCTCCCACACGATCACTAACTCAAATTGAACTATCGAAGACCCTGAAAGGCAGAGTCGGCTACACCCTGGAGCTCAAACCGTCTCAGATTGCCCACCCGGAAGCCGGCCAGGGCCTCTTCCTGTCTGGAGAAACCGAAGCTGGGGCCGTCGTGGCCTTCTACCCGGGGGTGATCTACTCCCCAGCTTACTACCGCAACATTCCAGGGTACCCGAGGATCGACGCCCACAACTCCTATTTGATCACGAGATATGACAGCATCATCATCAACGCTCAGCCATGGGGCCAGGGAGGTGAATCCAGAGAAGCATGGGACGGAGCATTCGAGCCAGATCACAATGGGCCGGCCCGTTCAGAAGCTGCCCGGATATGGAAGATCCTCAGCTCCCCTTCGGAGACCCGGTCGCCGACCAATTCAGAGGTCCTGGAAAGGCGGAACCCACTTGCCTTTGGGCATTTTGCCAACCATCCACAGAGAGGGGAGGCCCCGAATGTCATGGTCTGCCCGTATGATTTCCCTGTGCAGGAGAAGGAGATGAGGCCGTATATTCCCAACATCCCCTTTGGGAGCGACTCCGACATCAAGATGAGGAGAGTTGGCAGCTTCTGGTTCAAGTCCAGAGGCTCCGGTGGAAGTGAGATGGATGCTC